GGGCAGGGCTGGCCTGGGAGGGCAGGGCAGGGCTGGCCTGGAGGGCAGGGCAGGGCTGGAGGGCAGGGCAGGGCTGGAGGGCAGGGCAGGGCTGGAGGGCAGGGCAGGCCTGGGAGAGCAGGGCAGGGCTGGAGGGCAGGGCAGGCCTGGAAGGCAGGGCAGGCCTCGCAGGCCTTTCGGGCCTCCTCTGGAGAGGCCTGCGGAGGAGAGGAAGGGAAGGGGGAAAGCCTGCCCCTTTGGAGGTTTGGGGGTCTGGGGTTGGGATCTGGGGTCGGGGCTGCCTATTGGAGCTTGGAGGCTGAGGCTGCTCTTGGATCTCGGTATCTAGCCCAGGGCAAGGCCGTCTCAGGACCGCTTTCTGGTGTACAGAGTGTGGCTAAACTTCTCTTGTCCGTCCTTCTCTGTCCGTGCCTCCATGGACTGTCCCGCTCTGGCCCTGACCCGCGCCCCCATCCTCACATTTACTTAAGTCTAGGCCGGCCTCCCCAGCGTCCATCCTGTGTCCAGTTGGTCGTCCTCTGAAACACAAGAACAAAGGGACGACTGAACCCCGAATCCAGAAGCCAGGAGCTCGCACCCGGGTCCCCCCCCCCACCTGGGGACGGGAACCCCGTTGACCGTGCCAAGGGCCAGCACCCGGGACCACGCAGCTTCCCCGGACCGAGCTCCACTGCCTGGGCAGACCTCAGCCCGTCCTGAGCGGCCTCACCCGTGCCTCTCCCGACCCTCGCCTCCAGCCAGCCCCCACGGCCTGCAGGGGCTCACCTCAGCGTGGGGCGGGCGGCTTTCTAGGGCTCCTCAGCGCGCAGCTTTATATATAGGGTGCCCCCGCCCCCAAGCCACCCACGGCCCAACCGCCCACCAACCAGCAACGGCTCTAACCCCTCCAACGGCCCTCTGACGCCACGCCCCTGGAGCTCCGCCCCCTAGCCACGCCCCTGGTGGTCCGCCCCCAAGCCACGCCCTCTCCATTGATGCCCCGCCCCTGGCCCCGGAGCCACGCCCAGGCGCCACGCCCCCAGCCCCACCCTTAGTGCCTGGCCCACGCTCCTCACCTTTGATGCCCCGCCCCTGGCCCCGGAGCCACGCCCCTTGGCACAGCTCTCCCTTGCTGGGGACAGCCTAGGTAACCCAGTTAATCTGGAAAGGCCTCATCTGGCCTCATCTTGATCACTTTGTCTTGGCCCAGGCAGGTGCCTGTGAGGAGCCTGGCTCACATTTTCCTGTGCTGCCGGGGAGCAGCCACACATTGAGCGAACCCAGGAACAGAGACACCTGTTCGTCAGGACGCCTTGACCTGGCCACAGGAGGGACCCGGGGGGCCGGGTTGGGCGGGAGGGCACCCACCACTGGCACAGTACGCCCTCTGCACGGTTTGGGTGTGGCAGGTGTCCTGTACTCACCTAACAGTAAACTGATGCCCGTGTCTGTGCCCATGCCTGTAGCAAAAAATGACGGGACCAGAGATGGTGCCAGGGCAGGAGAGGACCCGAGGCCAGGCACCTGGCACTCAAGGCTTTTGAGCAGACTCGGGGTCCGATTGGAGAGGCACCCCTTTCTGACACTAACGTAGACAGGGCCACCACAGGGCAGGTCTCTGCCACAGGGCAGGAGGGCCAGGCCGGACCACAGGGATCCGAGGGAAGGACAGGGTCTCATTTTTACTCCTAGGTCACTAAACTATCTTGGAACTTTACAGGTGTGGCTCTGCTGTCTGCAGGTCTTCACCCGTGAAAAACTCGTAAGATTATTGAATTACTAGTTTGTGTGTGTTTGTGTGTGTGTGAGAGAGAGAGAGAGATGCTTGAATTTTTTTCTGTTATTGCCATCAGGGCCAAAAAGTTCGTGATACCACATCTTAAACAATAAAAGCTGAGTTCTGTATGTCAAGCCTATCATGCCTGTTGAGGAAGGTGCAAAGCAGTCCAAGACTGTTGGGCAAAAACACCGCTCCCTATTCTAAAAGTAGCCCACCTAGTAAGCACAAAAGTCCCCAATAGGCCTCTCCCCACTTAAAAAAATGTTAGTTTATTCCATTTAGAGTTTGCTAAGTGTTTGTATTAGGTGGTTGGAATTATTAATTGTATACATTAATGTAGTAATATATTAATGTATTAATTGTATATATTAATAAGGCTCCTTGTGAGGATTACAGTGTATACCTGTGAAGTCCCACCTGTCTTTATCCATCCTTCTTCCGAACCTCTGGTAATCACAATTCTATGTTCCTGCCAACATTAGCCTTCTGTATATGGGTAAGAACATGTGGTACTTACCTCTCAGTGTCTGTCTTATTTCATGTAACATAATATTGTACTGCTCCGTTTTGCTGAAAATGGTACAATTTTATTTTTGTGACTAAATAATATTCAGTTGTGTATATTTATCAAATTTTCCTTTATCCATTTATCTGTTGTCGAGCACCTACATTAGTCCGTATCTTAGCCACTGTGAATAGTGTCACAATAAGCGGGCACATGGGTATTTGTTTGGTATGCTAAGATCTTTAGTCATAGAAACAGGCCAGCTAGATCATATGTGAAATCTATTTTTTTTAGCTTTTTTGTTTTTCCATACTGTTCTCCACTAAGTCTATATCAGTTTGGATTCTCAACAATGTATGTACTTATGTGTGTGTTAAGTGGACTATCATCTAAATTTAAAAAGGAAGGAAATTCCAACACATTCTGCAACACGTCTTAGAAGATACACTAAGTAACACAAACACCAAAGGAGTCATTCTATAGAATCTCTAAATATGAGCCCCTTGGAATGGTGGTTGCCAGGGCCTGGAGGAGGGAGAGGGCAGTGTTAGCCCTCTTAATGGATAGATTTTTCTGTTTGCCATGATGAAAAGAGTTCTAGAGATGGATGCTCATGATGGCTTCCCAAGATGCGTGTACTTCAATTCCACAGAATGGTTAGAAGGGCACATTTTGTGTTATCAATATATTCCCACATTTTAGAAGAGTCATTGGAATAATCGGTCAAGTAAACAAGGACTTGAAGTATCACAATACGTTTGTGGGGAAATTCCTGATAGTTCCATAAAAGCATTTCGGGTAAAATATGGTCCTCAAGTCCAATATGTGCTTCAAGTCCTTTAGGATGTGAATGTTTTTATTGTGCACACTGAGGCACAACTTAGGCCCTTGGGAACCTCTGAAGTGGGGTTGTCAGATCTAACACATAACAGCAGAACACTGTGGAAAGTTGGGATACATCAACAATAAAAAGACAATCAGTATTTGTCTAAACTCAAATTTGACAGAGGGTCCTGTATTTAACTGCTCCCCTACTCTTAAGGGTGGAAGCCATGCTCACTGTGAGGTTTGGAGCCAGGTGTCAGTATACCAGTATACGCAGTGAGGCTGGGCTGTGTCACACCTAGAGCCTGAGTTTTTTTCCCCTCACATCACAGGGAGAAGTCTGGAGAGTCTATGAAGGGTCACAGAGACAAATGTGGATTTTGCTTTGAGAGGATATTTGAAGCAAAGCCTTCATAAAAGCCCAAATCATGAACCGTGAAAAGTCTTCTTTAGGTCTGGTAAGAGAAGGGGAGGAATGAGACAAAAACGTCGAGGCCAGTTCACTCTTTGCTCAACATGGCAGACCACCATCTCACATGCCTGGGGCTTCCTCCTTGCTGTTGGAAGTTTCCATAGTAACAGTTTGCTTCTCCTCTGTCTCGCAAACCCAGGGTACAGTGAGGAATCCCTGGTGCTTCTGTCTAGATGCCTGTAGACGGCATGAGTTCTCCAGGACATGCTGAGCCACCACAGCTGGCTGTCACCATTCCCTAAGAAATCCCTTTCTGCTGAGGTTTAACTGCAAAGGAATTACAAATGGCAAATATACCCGCCAAGGAATGAAGATGGCTACCAGGGTTTAGGAATAGAGGACAGGAGCCAGCCCACGGAGGCCCTGGGTGTTCATCAAGCTGAAATCTTGCAGACATTAATTCCATTCTGTCTTCTGCCATAAAGGAAAATCCAGGAAGCAGTGGGAAAATGAAGGTATTTTTCTGAAGCATTTGTAACAGCCAGATGTTATCCCAGCCACAGAAGAGAAACAGTATATTCAGAGGAGCCTAGGAGACTCCAGGAATCTGGGATTAAAATGGCTTAGTCCACTGGAAGACCATACCCACTGTTTCTTCTGAATCATCCTTTTTCTCATTACATATATTCTCTCAGGAAAAAAGAAAAGTAGCCAATCAAGAATGTTCATCTTATTATAAGAGGGAAAAATACAATTGACAATAAAGGATGTGTTCATTCCAAGGTTTCCTTTCTCCCCACCCTCCTTCCTTTTCCTTACTCCTCTCCTACTTCCCTTCCTCCTTCCCTTTCTCCCTCTCGTATCTTTTCCTTTCTTTCTTGTGAGAATCTTGCTGTTAGGACAGGACCTGTTAGAACAAGGGCATGTCTAAAACAGCTTTCTTCTCTTTCCCCTTTGCCCCCCACCTCCCATGACTTGATGGGCATCTTTAAAGGTTTGTGTGGTAAACAGTGCCCTCTGCTGGAAAGTAACCGCTGTTTATGGCAGAAATCAGTTCGTAATTTGCAAAAAGAAAAGTTCACACTTGTTCTACTATGTTGCAATCTGTAGGATATTTTATTTTGAAAAGCTCCAAATACAATGCATAAAATACTGTTAAGTGCTCCATAAAATATTCAATGTTTACAAAGATCCATTTAAAAGCTTTATAAACAAAGCCAGGTCCCAGTGGCTCATGCTTATAATCCTAGCTTTTCAGAAGCCTGAGACCTGAGGATTGAGGTTTGAAGCCAGCTAGGCAGAAAAGTTTGTGAGACTCTTATCTCCAATTAACCAGCAAAAAGCCAGAGGTAGGGGCATGGCTCAATTGATAGAGCACCAGCCTTGCGTGAAAAAACCCAATTGAGGACCCGAGTTCAAACCCCAGTACCATCACACATACACATGCGCGCGCGCACACACACACACACACACACACACACACACACAGAGCTTTCAAAATGAGAACCAATGAATTCAATTTACACTTTAGACTGTTTAATAGAGGTATCTGTTGTACATGTGGTTTTAACCTAAACACAACATTTCTGGAAACAACCTGAGTCAGAAATGAAATATGAATGGAAGAGATTTGAATTCACACAAATATTTCTCCTCAGACCATTAGCAATGGTTTCAAGTAATGGTACGGCCACAAGTTCAGGGCTCGGGCCCAGGACAGGAATGAGGGAAAACTCCATGTTGGTCAAAGGCTCTGCTGAAGTCATAGGTCTGCACCTGGGGGCCCTTGGTCAGAGTGAGCTTCCTCAGACAGCCCCGGAATGAGGCCCGGCTGCTCAGGCAATTTTGCTTGACATTAGCTGTTGGAGAAAGAAGAGATGAACCTTGCTGGATTTGGTTGAAATTTTAGAAGAAACAAAAGTAATCTCAATGGGTCATCTATCAAAAACAGAATGTTTTCTATACAGGTGGTTTTAGTGAAGAACAGAATTCATAGAACATTTTTAACATATAATTTTAAGGCCTAGTCATGGTTTCTTAGGTCAGACAACAGATGTTTATTATCTGTAACAATTTCTTGGAACATCTGTAACTCATCCTTCTGATACAAAATTGCAATGTGCAGAATTGTCCCGTTTGGCCTTTAAAATGATCCTCAACTTTGGGAGTTATCTGAGGTGAGTGACCTTAATAGATCATCAAGCTTGCTTTTCCTCAGATCCAGGGTTCTCACTGATTAACTGGTGGGTAGATTATTTTAATGTTCTTAGGAATTTTCAATTAAGAGTGTTTGGAATAGCTTTTCTAAAATGACAAAAGATCTGTCACCAAACCATGCATCTTTCCGGATCCCCATTCTAGGTTCTCCTGAGCTAAGGGCTCCGCAGGGACCCCGCCTACAAGTTGATCCACAGGGCAGGCTCCATACGCACCTGGGTAGCCACCCACGTAAATGGGGTTGTGGGTGTCTGCAGAGGTGGACTGGGTGTGAGGACTTTCTGCACCAACAGCTTCCCCATCGACAATCAGCATGATTCGGTGCTTGCTTTTGTTGGCCTGAAGCATGTGCCATTTCCCATCACAGAGAGTCCTGCCAGCTTTCGGTTTGTAGGTGGCTGTAATCCTTCCCGCACCATTGTTGACATGAAACAACAGCTGAATAAAGCAATGGTGTTGGTGAGCAATAGTGTTCCCAGTCTTGGGGAAGAGAAGCTCCTAGCAGTGTGTTAGGAAGGAGGGCTGGCTAGGAGGAACAAATGCTAGGTATAAAATAGCCTTCAAAAGGATCCAGACACTATGTCCTCCCCTTACAAATTCAGAAATGGTGATGCCTGCCAGGTGCCTAATCCTAGCTACTCAAAAGAGTAGATCTGACGGACTCTGGCTCAAAACCACTCTGGACAGATAAAATTATGAAACTCATATCTTCAGCTAGCTAGCAAGCCAGAAGTGGAGATGTAGCCCAAGTGGTAGAGTGCCAACCTTCAGTAAAAGAGCCAAGCAAGAGTGTGAAGCCCTGAGTTCAAACCCTAGTACTGACACAAAAAGAAAAACTTGAAAACAAAATGGCGATTTGTCACCTGCTAGTAACAGGACTTGTCAGCTGCAGGACACTTCTGGGAGTGAGTAGGCCGACTGTGCTGTCAGCAGATGGCAGCTACAGAGGAATCTTCATCAAGTGCCTTCTGACAAACCAGATGCTCTATCACAGTGAGTGATTAACAAAGCCCTATGCTCTGCAAATGGCAGAGGTGAACGTGTTACCTGGCACCCCCCCCAAAACTCACAAACTGAAGTCCTAATTCTCAGTGTCCCTCAGAATGGGGCTTTCAAGAGATGATTAAATCAAAATGATGTCATTGAGTAAGACCCTAAAACAATATGACAGTGTCCTGATAGGAATTAAGAGACAGATCCACAGAGATAGGATAATGTGAAGCCACTGGCAGAAGATGGCCATATACAAACCAAGGGGAGAGAAGACACTAGCCTCTTGGCAGACAGAGTCCTCCCTCCAACACAGAGGCCACCCACTGTCTGGGACTTTGTGCTGCTTGCCCAAGCTGCCCAAGGCTAAAAGGAAGACCTTCAGTGTATTGTTGGAAGATTCTTAGGCTAACTTTCAAACTGTAAGTACTTTTTGGAAGTACACTGTGACAAATAATAATGGCTATTACAAACCCTAAGTAAACCACCAAACTTAGAAGCAAAATATACAATGTAACAAAAAAGTACATTTTTGTAGCCATTGTGCTACTGATAAATGTTTCTAGATGTCACATAAAAATTTTCAAAAAGACACCCTACAAATGTATGAATTTTGAATGAAGGGTCTTGTAATTTCTATCCAAATACTCTACCATTGGAGCCACATCCCCAATCACTTTTAATTTTAGTGATTTTTCAGACAGGATCTTGAGGTTTATTTTCCTGGGCCCTCCTTGGACTTTAACCCTCCTCTCTCTTCCTCTGAAACATCTAGATTTATAGGCATGGGCCATGGTACCTGTTCCTCAAAATTCTTTTAATATATAAATGAGGAATGCTGGGTGTAATTCATAACATGGAAATGAAACAATATGACAGTTTTATTTCAACATGAAGTAAGAGTCAGACAGAAGGTGAAGAGTAAGAAGTCACACATGAGTTTCCTAGATCCTCCCTACCCCTACTTTAAACACCAATGAGGACTCAGTAGTCATTACCAACAACTAAATGAGCCTGGAGCAGTCCAAAGCACAGAGATATATATTCTTTGTTTTCCAGGAGAAACATTCTAACACCTTACACAAACACCAGCTACTCTCTGCAAAATGCAGCCAGGCAGAGAGAGGACCCAAAGGACCATGACTTCCAGCTCTCTGTGGCATAAGTGTGGTATGGCAGAAACTCCCAAGGTCTCCAGTGCCCCTGGGGAACACGGCTGATGGCTGAAAACAAAGAGGCAGAAACGCCCCAAACAACAGGCAGCAGAATCCAGGTCCCCAAGGGACCTTTGCCAAATGCACTGGAAGCAGATGCCATGGTGCGGCAATGCTGAGCCCCAGGCTACACTACTGACCACAGCTGCCGCCACCTGAAGATAAGAAGCAGGAGCCATGTTGAGAGTGCTGCTGGGGAAAGAGCTGCAGAAAAGAGAAGGGCAGCCAGATTCCTGCACGTTTCCAGGTGCCCTCACAGAGTGGACAGGATGAGCACTGAGGACAACTCTGGAGGAGACAAGGGGTAAAGCTAAAGAGATGTAAGTACAGTGCACTGTTAAGCTCGTTTTGTTCCCAACCTAAGAGGAACAGGGGTGGCTGGGAAAAGCAGAAGAGTTAGTTATTGTGGGGGAAAAACTATACTACTATTTTTACATCAAAAAAGAAATATTAGACTACAGTCTGCCCCTCCCAGGAAGTGACACTCTACAATAAGTAACTTAACTGTTGAGCAGAGTATAGTAGTTCACACCTATTAATACTAGCTACTTGGAAGGCAGATATTAGGAGGTTCAAAGCCAAATCTGGGGAAAAGTTGGACAGGGCCCATCTCAACGAATAAGCTGAACAGGGTGGTATATACCTGCCATCCCAACTACATGGGAAGTGAAAATATGAGGATCACAGTCCAGGCTAGCCCTGGAAGAAAGCAAGACTTTATCTAAAAAATAACAAAAGCAGAAAGGGCTAGGGCATGACTCAAGTGGTAGAATGATTGGAAAAAACATAGACCTACAAGAAATCTTGCTGAGTGTAAACACCAAGCTTAAGAGAACAATTGCTGCAAGGCGTTGGTGGGTTCCATCCATAATCCTAGTTACTCAGGAGTCTGAGATCTGAGGACCGAAGTTCAGCGGGAGCCTGGGCAGGAAAGTCCATGAGACTCCTTTCTCTAAATAAGCCAGAAATGGAGATGTGGCTCAAGTAGTAGAACACTAGCCTTGAACACAAAAGCTTGAGGACAGCACCCAGGCCCTGTCTCCAAGCCCCAGCACACACACACAAAGAACAATTGCTGCATAAACTCATTCATGTTACTCTGGTGAAATAAATGCAGATGCAGACCAGCTCCATGGCTCTTTGAGTTAGAAGTGCAGTGTTGAGGCTGCAGTTACAAGTGAAAGCTGGGTCTGGCGCTCGTGGCTCACGCCTGTAATCCTAGCTACTCAAGAGGTTGAGATCTGAGGATCGCGGCTCAAAGCCAGTCCGGGCAGGAAAGTCCATAAGACTCTTAATTCCAATTAACCACCAGAAAACCAGAAGTGGAGCTGTGGCTCAAAGTGGTAGAGCACTAACCTTGAGCAGAGAGGCTCTGAGACAGTGCCCAAGCCCTGAGTTCAAGCCCCACATCTGACCAAAAAATGAGAAAAAAAAAGAAAAAGAAAAGGAAACTGGGAGGGAACTGTGGTGATAGTACAATTAAGTGTTGTAATAGTGGTGATGATGTAGTGTATATCAACACCACACACATGCATGTGAATATACACACAACACACACACACATACACTGAGTATAAATGAACAAACTGTACTTTGCACAGTTGTCTATGGCGTAGATTTAATGTGATCCTAGAGGTTTTGTGAAGCTCACCACTTGAAAGCCAGGGGCAGGGAACCTAGAGACCTCTCTGTGTTTCATTGGAACTCTTTTTTTCATTTTTAATTTTTATACCAGTATTTAGACTTGACCTCAGGGCTCCTGCTCTTGCTTGACTTTTTTGCTCCAGGCTGGTGCCTGGAGTCATATCTCCTCTTTTGGAGGAGGTATATTAGTTAATTGCTAGTTAATGGAAGAGTCTCATGGGATTTTCTGCTTGGATCTCAGTATCCTGAGTGGCTAGAACTGCAGCTACTATACCTAATTAACCTGACCCTTCCAATGAAAAGTCTACTGTTAAAAGGAACAGGACATCAGATGGGCAGCATACTGCTGACAAGGTAAGGGGAAAAAAAGAAGTCTTGTATTGGAGCTGTCATTTCATGTAATTCAAATGTATAAAAAGGTTATTTCCAAAATAGCTCTTTAGGATTATCTGTTGCTAAAACTAAGCTGTGAGTCGAGTGCAGAATGGGAAACGTAGGTCCTGGCATTTTTGCTGTGCTTGACTGCTCCATGTCTGACTCCAGCGAGTGGGGTCCAGGTGGGTAAAGCCTCACCTTGCCATCTACAATCTCCAGGCCGATGGCATCCACCTTCGCACTGCTGATCCCCAGGAGAACGCCATTCTCGGAAGCAGTACGGAACTCGAATGTGATGTTTAAATCTGATCGGACTCTGTAGCCTTCTTCAACTGAAACACACACAGGCAGTGACGCTGAGTTAGGGGTGAGTCCCACCGGGCCCAGGATGGCTGGGCCTGCTGGGTATTTGGGGACTAAATCAGAGTTCAAACTTGGATCTAGCTCTTCCTCTGCATCCAAGCTCCCTCCCCGAAGCAAGTCACTCCTGCCTTCTAGATCCTGTGTGTAGAAGGGTGGGGGAAGTCTTTTTCTCATGGAGCTGAGATTGATCTGTACCACCATTCTTCATCATGCAGGAATACTCTATCTTCCCAGTGCCCATGGGCTTGATATATCATTGTCTACTGTAAGCCAAAGTGCACACCAAATGTCTTAAAAGTAGGAATTGAATTGAATGGTTTTTTTATTCAGGTGATAAGAAAGCTGCTAAGTGAACTGGGGATATTAATCATCCCAGACAGTTGTTACTAGAGAAAGCCTTTTTTAATGTGGACGGTGAAAGTGCTTTATATAAATTGAGGACAAATACAGAGGAAGAAGCCAGCAGTCCATGTCTGCCCTCTGCCAGGAGTCATACCAGTCCTGGTAAGAGAAAGCCTTCAGAAGGCCTCCCAGTGAGCACCAGGTCTGAGAAGGCTTTGCTTGAACAGTCAGAAAGCCAGGAAGAATGGGTAAGGATCTTCCTTCAGCTTTCCAGCTGGATCTTGCCTTACCATCTCCTTGGATCTACATCATCTTAGAGCAGAGGGCCTTTATTTTTTGAGACCTACTGAGATATGCACACATACCAAGAGCTGCATAGCCACTTCCTTCAAAGAAAGTCCCTTCCTGGGCCACCTCATGGCACCTGCCCACTGCAAAGGCAGACTCCGGGTTCTCCTTGTCCAGAGGCTTGCCATTAACGGTCACTTCCCCGATGCAGGCAGGAATGCTGTGGGTGATCTAAACCACAGGACATGGGAAAACAGGTGGTGGTCATTATGGGGAGGTAAAAGCATCAAAGTTGTTTCAACAAACCACGTAACACTATCACCTTGCAGATCCTAAAATTTTATTGCTGTAATACCTCACAAGAGTAGCTTAGAGCTACTCTTTGAGTATCTTTGCTAATAATGGATTTTACTGTTTTAGTGAAACGCTGAATGATTGCTAGTCCACTGGACTTGACTAAATTGTTTAGGAGCTAAGTGGCCTTTTGAAAGGTGACTGGGGATGTTTGTGAGCTGTCAGGAAAATGTTCTAAGGAGATGCTCTGACACCTGACCTCTGAACATCTATATCTTACAGGTAAGCCCAGGCTCAAGCTCATCTTATTGTGCCAGTACTGGAGGGCTTGAACTCAGGACCTGAGCATTGTCCTTTAGCTTTTTTACTTAAGGCTGGCACTCTAAAACTTGAGCCACAGCTCCACGTCTGACTTTTTGCCAGTTAACTGGAGATAAGAGTCCCATGGATTTTTCCTGCATAGGCTGGCTCTGAATTATGATCCTCAGATCTCCGCCTCTGGAATAGCTAGAATTACAGGCATGAGTGTCCAGTGCTTCACTCAAGCAAGGTGACTTAAACAGGAGCTATGCATCTCTGCAGAGTGAGCCCAAGTCTAACACTGGTCCATCTTGAAGGCTCTCTTACGTTCCCAATGTTCCTGGCTCTGTACTGAGCAGGGAGGCCTCCCAGGCGCAGCTTTCCTTCCACATCCAGCATGGTCCCATCTCCCACAATGCTCACTGCAGGGGCCTCCTGGCCATCCACCGTCAAGAAGCCTTTTCTCTTAGAGTACTCGGTCTTGACCTACAACAGAAAATATCCAGATTTGTTTTTGTATGTTTGCACTGGTTCTGGGACTTGAACTCAGGGCCTTGCATTCTTGCCTGGCTTTTTTGCTGATGCTCTACCATTTAAGCTGCAGCTCCACTTTCACCTTTTTGGTGGAATTGGAGATAACGGTCTGATAGACTTTCCTGCTCAAGCAGGAAATTGTGATACTTAAATCTGAGCCTCTTGAGTAGCTAGTATTACAGGCATGAGCCACTGGTGCTAGGCTACCACATCTAGAATTTGTAAGCAACCTGAGAAAACCCTTACAGATGTACAAGTATTCTGAGTAGCTATAACAGCCTGAGCAACTCCCTGAGGGATAGCTTTGATTCATGCATATTTGGCATTGGGAGCAGGCTGAGAAGTGGAGGTATGCTGTAAACCAGAGTGTGTTCTCAAGTCTTGGTTGTTGGAAAGCAATTAGCATGATGGCTGGCTTGACTCTTTTATATCATAGGTAGGCTTTATGTCCTTTTGTCAAGTTGAAAACATTTATAGAACCTTCCATTCATTCTGTCAATGGTTGCTGAGTATGCTTGGCACTGAGCAAGGCCCTGGAACATTTCAAAGAAGAACATAAAAGAGCCCTGCCTCAAAAGAACTCGCATCCTCTCAGGAAGACACCAGATACAAAGGAGCTGGACTCTGAGAGCCACAGCTTTCCTTCCAGGAAGTGGACTGATCTCCAGAGATGGAAGGAACAACGCACAGACAGGTGACCACAGCCTCCTGAGAACATACCGTGTGCCACTTGCCATCATTGAGCAGCGCAGGGTGAGAGACCCTGGTTCGGCCTTTGCCAAGGTCAAACATGAAATGGAGGCGGCCAGCATGGATTTGCAGTGTGGCATAGTCTGCTTGGTTCTGATGAGCCAGGTGGTAGATGAGACCACTAGAGGCAAACGTTCGGATGCTCAGCTGAACCAGGAGCCTGAGAAAGAATGAAAGCTCATTACCAAAACACCAGAAAAGCAGCCTTCAGTGTTTATAAAGTAACCTCCAAGAGCGAACCCGAATGTGGTTCTCTCCATAGTGAGTGTGTGGAGGGTCCTACTCTCACCACACCTCAGGTCATTCAGCAGTGAAAACTTTCCAGGGACTCTTGGACCATACTTACCTCTTTCTCACAGCTGACTGGTTGAAAGGCAACACCAAATGGCTGCTCTGTGAGAGGCCAAACTGGTGAGCACCAGAAACGTAGCCTGAAGTTACGTCCGCCGCACACTGGCTCTGTAAGAGAATCACAGGACACCCAGTCACCTGCCCCAAGACCACACTAACTAACAGATGCATTCTTCCACAAAGAAAGCATCCGGGAAGCCATTGTGGCAGAGCAGCAGCAGCCACCAGTGTGCACAGTGGTGCAGTGTGTTGGTGCACAGTGAATGATGCTTTGCTGCTAAGCTTTTTTCTCTCCAAGAGAGTGTTGAGAGCCTCTGCCTGTCACCTTCATCCCACTGGAGTTCACCTTCATTTTACAGGAGTAACTTTCATCAGGCAGAAGGGAAAAGGCCTGGCTTTCCCCCACCTTCTGGGAATAGCTCCGAGGAGCCACAGCACAGGCATCGGGAGAGGGAAGTGCCCACAGAAGATAGGTCTTAGGAGACCTCCAACTTGACACCTTTAAGTCCCAAGGACAAGAGGACGATGAAGACGAGAAGAGTGGGTCTGTGTAGGCTTCTCAGAGTGCAAAGCAAAGGGAGGCTCAGACTGACAGTGTTGTGGCAAGGAGTGGTAGATAGGATGAAAAACAAATTGTCCTGAACTCAAATACAGGTCCTGCTTAGAAGATGCTGCTTTTGGGTGAACAGGCTACTTCAAAACAGAAAGCAGAAGCCAGAGGGGGACAAAGAACAATGGATGAGTCTCCCTGAATAAATCCAGTCATTTTTCTTGAGCAATAATGATGCGGACAATGGCTTCTACTCAGTATTTATGTGATGCTTTTCTACCTTCCTGTGAAGAAGAGCAGAGCCAGGGAAAGAGGGAGATGGTTCTCAGAGCTTACTCATAGTGATACCACACAGCCTCTCCTTTTGCAGGCCAGAAGGCTCAGGGTCCTGCGTGGGTTGACCTATCACAGCTTTGGGGGAAGTTGACATGATGTCTCATTAGGTGGAAAAACTTTTTTCATTTTTCTTCCCCTATGGTTTGTATCTCTGCTCTAAGCCATTCTCTCAGCAGTCACCTTGGCAGTCCTCTTGGAATTCAGGAAGGACAAGGACTGATAAGGCTACCATGACAAAGGACCAAAAGTACTCCTAAGAAACAATACCATTTCCTCAGGATAGACCATCCACCACCAGGCAAAGACAGAAAAGCTGACTTTTCTAGGGAAGTGTATACCTTTCCATCTTGTGAGAATTGTTTTTCTGAAATAGGTGGCTTGGCCTGATTGTGTTCTGGTTACATTTTATTCCTGCTATACTTTAAGAAAATCCTCTTACAAGCTCATTTTAGTTATATCCTGCTCCGTTTAATTAAGACACCATGTTCTTGTTAATTAAGCTACATGGTAGCAGACTGTGAACCTGAGCTTGGCCAATCCCAGCAGAGGGGCAGGGCCTGCTTCATTGGGGATAGAAGGGGGCAGCCCACCTGTTCCAAGTGCTTGCTGAATTTAGGCTGATGGCTCACCCTTCTGCAGAAGTAAACTCTGCCTTGTCAAGTTCCTTTTGAGTTGGTGTCATTCCTACACAACACCTCCAGCATCCTGAGATATTGCTAACAGTGTGATGATTTGTTTGTTCTAACTGGTGATGACTGTGATAACTTCTCTGGAACCCATTCAGAGACCAAGATTGAAGTATTAAGACTTTAATAATTAGAAATCTCTCTCTTTCTCCCCTCCATCCAGTTCTTTGCCTCTTATAAAACAAAAAGCTCAGTTCTGTACCCTGAAAATGGTTGGCAATGTACTGAAGTGCTGTCTTCTGTGGCTGCCATGAAATAATCTCTCTGATCTTTACCATGTGTTCTTTATTTTGTATATAGGGACAAGTGGCCAGACTCAATTAGTAGAGCTCCCAGAGTTTGGGTCTGAATCAAGGCTCCAGTTTCAACACCATAAAAGGAAGCCATACTTACAGGTTGTGGTAAAGTTGGGGGCTCTGGTGGGACCTCATTATCCTCTCCATGAAGGGCTGACCTGGGCCTTTCTATAAGCAAGCAGGTGCCCAGGTTTGCTGTCTCATAGTCCTTTGCACGGGTGAAATCCACAAGTCTGTAAATAAGCAAGAAAAAGTTTTCCATAGGAACTCATGTATATGAACACTATGCAATTAGTATTCATTAAAAGTCATTCATATACTACTTTTAAAGTACCTAAGCCAAACAGCCTTCATAGTAAGAGTCATGTATATCTACCATTTTGTATCTTTTGTTTATTCTGCTCAAAATGACTGCCAGCCCTGTAGGCCAGGCCCACGTAGGTGACCTGGCCATTCTTAGCAGATGGTAGGCTTCCTGCTGTCCCCTCCTCTGGTAGGCTTGGCTAGGCTGCCACAGGATGATGTCCATTTCCCATAGCAATGCCCAGTGACCTTCATTAAACACTGACCTCTGTGCTGTTATGTTTTATGGGGTTTAAACTGGGGTTTAAACTCAGGATCTCACATTTGCTTGGCTTGCTTGATTAGTTGGTGCTCTATCACTTAAACCATACCTACAGCCCTGCTTTTGGCTAGTTATTTTGGAGGTGTCATCTTAGACTGCTGAGGTAGACTTTGAACCATGATCTTCTTAGTCTCAACCTTTTCAACAGCTAGGATTATAAGCATGAGTAACCAAGAATCATGAGCTGTACTTGTCCTTTATTCTGTGGTTCTAACACAGTTTCTTATCCAGTGTGCCCACTGGCATTTACCCAGGACATTACTAATGAGCTGAAGGTGCCTGCTCACTCAATGAATAAAGGAGCAGCCAACTGGCTAAGTGAATACATGACTTGCAAACAACAAAATCCAGGCTTAGATGTGGTCATTCATTCCACCTTTTATTTTTGCCTATTTCAGAGACTCCTAAGAAGGAATTCTATGGGGAAAGATATTGTAGCTGTGAGAGACTGTTCTCCAGGTCAGCTGGCTGAGGCTTTCTCCTGATCCGGAGCCCACTTTCTGAACCCTGGATCAGATGTTGGCCAGCCTTCTCTCAGCAGCCTGCCAAGGCTAAGAGTGAATGAGAAGGGTTGGACAGCCCACCAGCATGTGCTAATTCCTTCTTATTCTACACTCCATAGTAATGTTTTAGGAGGGGTTATTGAAGCTGCCAGTAGCCCATTAGGATTACTTCAAAAAAGTGCACTTAATATAGCAATCTATATGTATTTTTGAAATGCAGGGCAGAAATGTATTTTAACTTCTATCTATGCATGGCAGAAATGTATTTTAACTTCTATCTATCTTTAACTTCTATCTATCTACTTACCTACCCAACTAGTATAGGAATTTGAATTCAGGGCCTCAAGCTTCTAGGTAGGTACTCCATCATTTGACCATGCCCCAAGCTCTTTTTTGATTCAGTTATTTCTGAGGTAGAGACTTGCATTTTTGCCAGGAGCTGGTCTCAGATTGTGATCCTCCTAAACTATGCCTCCTACCTTGTTGGGATCACAGGAATGAGCCGCCACACCCAGCTGATCTATTTGTTGGCTCATAGCTCTAATGTTCAATAATTCTTTTAATAAGGTAAAAGATTTGTCCATCATTCTATTACAACAAAATTTATTTGGGGAGACTTTGATGATAGAACAATGGAATTCACTGTTGTTCTTGTTTTTTAAGAACGTAGAGAAATACACTGCAGGTTCATGTGGGAAGGCTAGAAAGCATGTGAAGAGCCTGGTTATACTTACTCCAGATCAAAAACCAGGTTTTTGATACAGCCATGGAATGAGCGCCGCATTTTGAATACGGATGTATCCTCGCCCTCAGGAAGGCCTCCTACGTACATGTGTGACATATTCAGTGTCCTGTTTTCTACTAGGGAGCCCAGCCGGATTTCTACTGGGTTGTTCTCATCTAATTGCACAGTGATAATTCTGAAAGACCGAAGGAAGAAATAAAATCATTTAGTTATAATTAAAATATAATAAAGAATGAAATGCTATTAAATATCATTGAATTTGATTTCACTATAGAGAATATATGTATATGTGCAATACATATGTATATAATATATGTTGTGCATCTATACTATATATTTTGTATATATGATATGCATATATAGTATATATACATGTTGCATATACATGTATGTGTATATGTATGTATGCAACATGTATATAAAATCTACATATATACATATATTGTGTATATACATACATATTGTGTATACAGTTTATATATACACATACAATATATCTTGTATCCTTTATGTATACAATGTACGCATATATGCAAAATGTATATGTATGTAAACTCTATATTTATAATTTTCCATTGAAATAATCCAATAGAAAGACAATTTATATAAAGCCCCAGTAAGAAACAGAGTAACGCTTACTCAGTGTAGTATTAAGCTTGCAGTATTAAACACCTTCCTACCAAGCAGATAACATTGACTCCCAAGGAAGTATTCTAGCAACTTGCTAGAATTATCTTAAGAAGTTAAGAACTATGATTGCTATGCTGCTATTCTGATTATCTCATGATTGCTATGCTGCTATTCTGATTATCTCATGATTGCGATGCTGTTATTCCGATTGTGCCAGCCACTGTGCTGCGCAAGGCATCCTCAGGGCTCCTGCTGGAGAAATACCTCCGATTCCGAACCAAGGAGATAGAGTGTTCTTCCCCGTCGTCCAGCGAGCCCCTGGGCGCGTGCAGCAGGGCCTTCCTCAGGCTGCCTCCATTCCCAAGGCTGATGTGTACTTCAACGTGGCCTTCATTTAGCAGGATGGCATAGAAGGGCTGGGGAGGTGGCAGAGATGTTCCCACGCAAAACACATTACTAAATGATTTTTACCTCTCATCTTAAATAGACAGCATGGGTATATTAATACTGGGCAGACAGTGTTTTAAGAATTCACCATCCGTTACAACTATTTCAAATTGAATGTTACTTTTTGTTTAATCTCTGTTCATGTATAAATTGCATTCGACATGATGCTATCATTATTAATCATAACAAACTTTTCCACTGAAAAGCCTCATCTTTACTAATTACTGCTACATGAAGTACCAAGATGTGGCTTTACATTGTGAACATACTAAATACCACTGAGTCGCTCAATATAAAATGGTTTATTTTGTGCGTGTGGATGTGTGTTGGGGGTGGGGGAGTTTGAACCCCTTGCTATTACTTAGCTTTTTTGCTCAAGGTTAGTGCTCTACCATTTGAGCAATACCTCTTCTTCAACTTTTTGTTGGTTAATTAAAGAGTCTCACAAATTTGTCTGCCCAGGCTGTCTTCAAGCCTGGCTCCTGAGAGCTCAGCCTTCTGAGAAGCTAGAATTACAAATGTGAGACATCAGCATCTTAGACATTTTTGGGGGTTGGTTGTGGAGCTCAGGGATGGCCCGCTGTCCCTGAGCCCTTCTGTTCAAGGCAGGTGCTCTATCACTTTGAGCCACAGTGCCACTTCTAGTTTTCAGGTGGTTAACTGGGGATAAGGATCTCATGGACTTTCCGGGCTGACTTTGCAGGCCATGTTTGTGTCTGTTCCTTTCAAGGTATTCCTGCCCCAATTGGAAGTTAAGGACTTGAAGTTTTCATCTCAGGATGGACACTAATGACCACATGTGGAAGAAAGTGCAATGCCTGAGCCCTGTGATAAGCTTTAGTCAGAGGTAGACATTACATATATACAGGAAAGTTGGACTGTGTCACACAGGGCAGCATTGATTCATAAGGGGAAAACAACCATGATACCTCCCTATGATTAGAAATGCATATCCATTAAAAAAAAAACAGGGACACAGTGAGTGACAAGTGTTTCCGGAAGTCATTTCCCTCCCTCCTGGACACAGTGGCTACTCACCCATGGCCTTAGCAGCCCCTCGACATCCTTGCCCAGAGCCGCCAGGATGATGCCGCTGCTGTTCTTGGTGGCAAATGTGACCAGAAACTCTGATTCTGGTGATAAAGGCTTGGGTGGCAACTCAATGTAGCCACCTCTCAGGAAGCTGACACTTCGAATCGGCTGGTGGGAGCAGGGAGAGAACATGGTACTGTCTCAGCTGCAGGCAGAAGGACAGCTGTTCCCTCTCCTCCCTTTCCTACCCACCCCCAGTGGAGACCTTGTCTCCTTACTGTGTTGATCAGTCAGTAGGCATTTATAGAAACACAAGACAACCTTTGTGGAAATGCTTCCTACCTCCAGCACACAGCCTTTCCTTACTCCATAGGAACTGCGGAGCAAATCAAACGACGACCTTCCTATTTCCAGGTTCTTGATACAGCCTACATAGCTTTGGCTGGTGACACCCTTCCTATAAGAAAAGACATGAGAATTTTAGGGTTTTTTTTTTTTTCATTTTTGGTACTAGGTTTAATGCTGGGCCTCGCACACTTCTATATAAACATTCTGCAACTAAGCCAGGTCTTCTGGCTTTTTTACACTGATTATTTTGAGATATTGTCTTGGTTTTTGCCCAAGCAAATACCTGGACCACCATCCTCCTATTTCTTGCTTCTGGCAGTTGAGATGACATATGTGCATCATTGGAATGGGTTTCCTCTGCTGAGGTGGAGTCTTGTAGACTTGGCCTGAAATTACTCTACCCTTCTGATCCCAACCATCCATGTGGCTGGAATGAGAGGCATGCACCACAGTACTCAGCTTTTGGATGAGAAGGAGTCTTGCAAACTTTTTTCCTTCGCTGGCCTTGAAATGTGATCCTTTTGATGTCAGCCTCCTGAGAATCTAGGTTCTACATCTGGCTAAGAGTTGGGTTTTATAATTTCATTTCTGACAGAATAAAAAAAAATAAGCCTACATTCCTGTTTCCAGACATTACTCTGCAGAAATGTCTAGGCCTCCTTCTTTGAATGAATGGTATTGATGGTGAGAACTTTAGGTCAAACAATGTCTCTTTAGTGTTATAAAAATGAGTTTTAGCTCTATGGTGGGTACCTATACACAACATGTTTATTATTTAAGGAAAATTCCTGCAGCCAATACAATTAGATATATTCATTGAAGTACAGGCCAATTATAAGAAAAGCAGGGCATGGTTACCAGGTTATTATAGCACAGAGATCATAATCAGTGCTCAGGGAGAGCAGGACAGTCACCTCCTATGGAAGCAAAGTGGGAGTGACACAATTTCTTAGAGTCCAATGGCAAGAGAAGTCATTGGATGTTATCTTTCTTACATACTCGCTAACTTTGTCACAAAGGAAATAAACGGATTTGCTGAAATCTGGGTATAGATATCCAAACAATATCAATTTAGCCTCCAAGCAAATGCGGTTTATTTCTTTGCGGAAGTCTCTGTACTCCTAGCTGAGGGCAGGCTGTAATGTAGTCAGGCTCTTATTTCCAAGATAGGACTACTTGTGGATCTTTTCACTGGACTCCTGTGTAACAGCTTTCACAGCGCCTCCTACTGGTAACTCTTGTGTTGAAAGAGCCATCGACCTTTAAGGAACTACAGGATATAAGCAGATCTCAACCTTTCTGGATTGCAGTGTCTTCTGTATAAATGAGGATGCTGTGCTGAATGATTCCTGAGTCTCTTCTACCATAAAGTCCATAATTTTGGCATGTCCTTTCACCCAGTGTCTACACTGTGTGCCAGTAGAAGAACTGTACCACTTCTGTGGTGGCAGTTGATAGCCTGTAGTCCCATCATGAAAGGCTTAATATCATCACAGGGATTTGGAGACTGGTGCTGCCTTAGCAGAAGCATGAGATATGGTACGTGACACACTTTACTGGGGTTTAAAGGTATGCATTTGGAAGACAATGCATTTCTGTTGTTTGAGCTAGCCTGTGTCTATTATAGCAGCCCTAGCAAACTAATACATTTAGTGATTAGAAAAGAAAATTCTTCAAATCTGTATCATACCTTCTAACTTTTTCCCCCTGGTACTGGAGATCAAATTAGCAGCTTTGCATATTCGAGGAAAGTGCTCTATATCTGAGCCTTACCTTACCAGTCTTGACCGAGGTAATCCACCCACATAAATCAGATCCTTTTCTAGTCGATTGAGATCTGAAGATGCTCCTGGAGTTTCACCTTGCTTGGTCTCTTTGTCACTAGAGTCATAGGTATCAAAAACAGATAGCAGTCCTAAAAGGGAGATTGGAAGGATGAGATCAGATTGACTTTTGTGTGTGTGCCTTGGTAATGGGACTTCAATTCAAGGCCTTGTGCTCTCCCTCAGCTTGCTTGCTCAGAGCTAGTACTTTACCACTTGTGCCACACCTCTGGTCCAGCAATTTGCTGGGTAATTGTGGAGAATGTCTCAGACATTTTTGCTTAGGTTGGCTTCAAACGTCAGTCCTCCTGGTCTCATACTCCTAAGTAGCTAGGAAAATAAGTGTGAACCACAGATGCCTAGCTAAGGCTTTCTATATTTAAGTAAACACAAACTTCTGCCAACAAGGTTAATTTACATTAAAAAGATACCACTTGAAACCACACATTTCCCTACCCAAGGTTCTTCACTATTAAAGGACAAGTGACCAAAGACAATAAATCCAGAATAAACATTGCTATATAACATCAGTAACTGTGTGAAAGAAAATAAAATGGTTGTGATTCTTGATTTCCAATTCAGCATTTGTTATAAAAGAATGAAAGCATAGTAAAAAAGAACTGTAATTTTCCTCCAGCAAAATGTGAAACTTCTTGCCTTATATTCTAAAGACAATGGTTACATTTAGTTAGAATATCATTCAAGAATGTAGTTGTGGCCAGACACTGGTGGCTCATGCTTGTAATCCTAGATACTTGGGAGGCTGAGATCTAAGGATCATAGTTCAAAGCCAGCCCAAGTAGAAAAGTCCCTGTGAGACTCTTATCTCAAAAACTGGAAGTGGCACTGTGATTCAAGTGGTAGAGCACTAATGAGCACAAAGAAGCTCAGGGACAGGGCCTAGTCCCTGAATTCAAGCCCCATAACCACCTCCACCACAACAAAAAAGAATATAGTGAAATGGGGCACTGGTGGCTGTAATCCCAGTATGTAGGAGATGAGATAAGGAGAATCACATTTTCAGGCCAACCATAGGTAGAAATGCCTGTGAGACTCCATCTCTATCTCAAAAGGGAAACTGAATGGGACCTGTCATCTCAGAAATGATGAGAAGCCTAAAAATAAGTTGACTGAAGTTCAGGTATGCCCATACAGGAAGACACCCCATCACAAAAGTAACCAGCACAAAACAGGGCTAGAGGTATAGCTAAGAATCTGCCTAGCAAACACAAGATTCTAAGTTGTAATTCCAGTACCACCACCAAAAAAAAAAAGAGTGTGGCTGTGGCCAACTGAAATATTAGAATCATCAAGTAACATCCAGGAGGGTAAATAAGAGGACTATGGATTTTGAAAAGATGTCTATTCTTAGGAGAGTCATCAATAGCAGGAAAGACCATCTGTATACCTACCTTGCTTTCGGTTTCTCTGGAAGGCAATTCTGTACCAGGTTCCATTGTTATACCGTCTGTCTGTAATGAGAGTGAGAGGTCCTGAACCCAGGTCAACCATAACTTTAACTCTGCCGTGGACCAGCTCGATGGACAAGAAGTCTTTCTGTAAGGAAGAGAACAGAGTTGCTCACTGTGATGTCTTTATCCTGAGATGCCCTTCCCCTTTCCAGTTAGGGATGACAGAAGCCTTCTAAATTCAAACTGAAAAAAACTGAGACTGGCTCCATAGATAGAGATCTGTTCTACAAAACTAAAACTGTCTCTGATGGCTGTCTAGAAGTCTACCCAGATACAAATGAACTGCCATTCACAGTTACCAAAATCGCCAATTCAGTGAGAGAACTGAAATCTGTTATTGGTTTTCTGTTTTTTGTGTTTATTTTCTATTAGAGTGACAAATGGCCCAGTCCCAGAAGTAAATCCTGAAGACAAATAAATGACCAGCACACGCCTTGTGAATTGACACATTCTTGTAATCCCAGCTAAGTGGGAAGTAGAGATGACAGGATTGTGATTCAAGGTAAACTTGGGCAAAAAAGTTAGCAACATCTTGTCTAAAAACCAAACAAGGCATACTGGTGCATGCCTGTAATCCCATGTATTCAGGAAGTAGGATTACTTTCTGCTCAGTTTGAATAAAAACAAAGTTTATTCAAAAATAACTAAAGCAAAAAGGGATGAGGATGTGGGTCTGGTGGTAGAGCACTTGCTTACAGTGAGGCCCTGAGTTCAAACTCCAGTATCACCCCAAAAGAAAGGAAAAAAAAAGAAGGAAAAAGAAATGGCCAGCATGTGAGCTACAAAGAGCATTACTATGGTCACAGTAAATAAACAACGAGAGATATTACTTAAACTAAAATTAGCAGCAAGACTTTGATCCTACAGTGACTAGATGCCATATTTCTAAACTGTTTCTTTCTTATTTTCTATTTGGTGGTCCTAGAGTTTGAACTCAAGACCTCATACTTGCTCTACTACTTGAGCCATGCCTGCAGCTCTGTATTATACTGGTTATTCTGAATATAGAGACTGATGAACTTTTCTGTGTGAGCTGGCCTTATATCATGATCTTCCAGATCTCAGCCTTGTGAATAGCTAGGATTAAAGCTATGCCCCACCAGAATATTGCTACATTTCTTCTGGTCTGCATTTTCCAAAGGGTCTTCATGAATTTGTATTAGTATAACAAATCTCTGATTTTAAGTGGGGACATTGCACAGTATTATATGGCATATATGTGTACAATAGTATGTGTGCTCATAGAAATTCTAGCCCACAAATACATACATATTAGCAAATCCACATCAAATATAAATAACTTGGCAACAATCCAAATGCCCATAAAGACTCTTACGGTGCCATTGGAAGCCAGGTAAAGAAGCAGTCCATTGGGTGAGAAGGTACTAAAGAGCATGACTATCTGGGTCACAGTGGTGCGGAGCGTCTTCTCCACGACAGAATATCCATTCCCATCAAAGTGGAAGGAGCCATCTTCATTCTGGGAACTGCAGAGCAGGGAGCGTGAAACAGCGCCCCCCCTCAGGGCACAGAAGGCCACCTGTGCTTGCTGCGTTTTTCCTCACCAGATCACAACCCATTATTCCCATCATTCAATATTCAAGCATAAAACAGGGTCACCATCTTTGATCTGAAAATGTGGAATTCCAAACACTGCCAAATCTGAAACTTTTGAGTGCAGACATGGTGTTAGGAATGAAAAATTCCACAGCATGAAACTGTCTCATGCACAAAATTGTAACAAACCTTGTTTCTAGCTACGTATATAATGAATGTATGAAATAAGCATGACTTTTGCGTTTTGATTCAGATCCCATCCCATTATATATCACCACATATATACAAATATTCCCAAATCCCCAAAATAGCAAAAAAATCAAATAAGAAACACTCTGCCTATATTTCAAAATCTACTTGCTATGAGCTTAAGCAGGGCAAATGTCCAGTTGTGTCATAAAGAAGAGAAAGTCCAGGTAAGTGAAATTCACAAAACAGAATGGCATTGTTTTTCACAGGAGCATAACCACTATAAATATTCCTACTTATGACAAAAGTAGATGTAAGTTTATTTTCTTGTTCTAATTTCTTTTTTTGTAGTTGCTTGAGACAAAGCACAAGATCCTTCTGCTTCAGTCTCTTGAGTGCTTTTTAAATTTCCTTTACTGTAACTCCACTCTTACTTCCAGAGCTTTCAGATTTTTTTAAGTTTTATATTGACATTTATCCCTTTCCACTGGTTTAAGCTAATTGACAAGGGCACATATCATTGTGCCCTTGTACTAGGAGGGAAAAATATATTATATATACTTACATAATACATATTTGTATATGAATAAATGTATTTTTTAAAATATATTTTATGATAACATATAGTATAATACACAATAAATATTTATAAATATAAGATATAAAATATAAATAATTATATTTATAATAGTATATAAATATATTTTAAAATATATATTTAATATTTTATATGTATATTATATATACATATATATACAATCTCTGACATCCTCAGAAACCAGCATGCTGTATGTGAGGCTCTCTGTCATGTCCTGGAGTGCATAGATGGCATAGGATAGAGACAGTCCTTCAGTCCTTGTCAGCAGGTCACATGGCTGTTACTGGGACATGTGAGGTGTTGGCTGTCTGTGCTCGGGCCTGGGATGCTGCATCTCTCATGGCAACTTCCTGGCCACAGCACAGTGAACTTTGTGTGTGTGTGTGTGTGTGTGTGTGTGTGTGCACGTATGTATGTTTCTCTCTGTAGGCATTTTCCCAAGACCATGGGATATCTGAGGAGAAGAAGTTGTGGGGTTCATGCTGACATTGCCAGTATACAGCAGAAGGGCCAGGATACACAACTTCTACCAAAGGTCCCTGTGGCTGGTAGCCACTCTTAGCTAACATACAGTCTATGCCTGCCATTAAATAAGAGATTTTCACAATGTTTATTTCAGTGAGAACTGTTGGAACTTATGATGAATTCTGCAATATCCGTTTTGTGTGGTGTATGCTGATACTAGGGCTTAAACTATGTGCTGTCCCTTAGCTTTTCACTCAAGTCTGGTGCTCTACCATTGGAGCCACACCTCCATGTCTGGTGTTTGCATAGTTAAGTGGAGATAAGAGTTTCATGGATTTCCCTGCCTGGACTGGCTTCAAACTGCCATCCACTGATCTCAGCATCGTAAGTATTATGGTTATAGGCATGAAACACCAGATCCTGGTTTACAATATCCTTTACTATTTAATAAGAGATATTTATAAACATGTGAACACCATGTAAGTAACTCTAGTAACATTCTAGGAAGAAGAAAAAATTTTCAATGAGTTTCCTTGGTAACAAAAATCAAAGTTAAACAGTGATACATAATTTAAACCTGAGGAATACCATTGGACTCAGCCAATGATCAAATAATAGCGAATCACATACAGTTCCATCCTACATTTGCTGAAATGGATTGTGTGTGGATGAGCTTATTAACTCTCTAACCTAAGGTTCTGTCTAGGAGGGGCTGGGACTACTCCAAATCAAGGCTATTCAGCAAAATTACCAACATAGACTAAAGGGTTCAGTTAGTATCTATCAGCATTTGCCTAAGTATGTCCCAGGAAACCTAAGCAACTCCCAATGCACCATGTTAAAAGTGCTGGGGGGTCAAGTAAGCTAAGAAAATGCCACAACTGAAACCTCTTCTTCGGGCATTGGAACGGCACATTATGTAGTGCTAACTAAAAACTTTCATCAAGATGATCTCTTCTCATTAAGAGGCTGAAATTGAGAGGACTTCTATTCAAGGCCAGTCTGGGCCAAAAGGTTTTAAGAAGCCATCTCAACCAAAAGCTGAATGTGGTGGCTGGAGCCTGTCATCCCAGCTATGGCAGAAAGTACAAATACGAGTATCTCAGTCTAGGCTGTTAAGTGAGAACTTAAAATAAAAATAAGCAAAGTAAAAGGGCTGGAAGTACAGCTCAAGTAGTAGAGTGTCTGTCTAGCAAGCTGGAGGCCTGAGTTCAAATCCAAGCCCCTGTAAAAACAACAACAACAAAAGATCGCTACCAACAAAACACCTCAACTGCTATTAGTAAATAATCTCTATCATTTCCTTTGTAATAAGGTGACCAATAATGTAAATGATGCATTCTTGACACGCATGTAAATTCCTTACAAGTTCTCAGATGTTTATGTTAACAGAATTATTTGTCAAATCATGAAGGTCTATTACCTTCCGAAGCAGCCATGGCACGTTCCTTCTCTTTCGATGTAATTCCACAGGCCGATGGACTTGCCATTCAGGAAGGCCTCTCCCATGCAGCCTTTAAAATGAGTGACCTTCACAGCAGAAGATTTCTAATACAAGCAAACAAATAGACATAAGCCACGAGGGCATGGCATGGGGGAATAAACTCTCTATGTGCACAATACTTCGCTTTGGGAACTCACATTAAGCAGATCCAAATTCTAAGAAAACCACATCAGAAAAACAGCCAGGTTGTAAAGACTAGATTTTCTTCTCCTTAGGAAGTGATGCCCTTGCATGAGGATCCTGCACAGGATCTGGAAGGTTCTATCTGGTATTAGGGTTTGCAGGTAGTCAGTTACAGAGCCCAGCTGGAAATGAGACCTTCCTGCACTGAAGTGCTGAACCCAGTTCGAGGCACTCCAGCTTATCTGGCAAGAGGCTCACTGATATAAAAATTATGATGCACGGGCTGGGAGGGTGGCTCAGTGGTAGAGTGCTTGCCTGGTATGCAGGAGGCCCTGGGCTCCATTCCTCAATACCACATAAACAGAAAAAGCTGGAAGTGGCGCTGTGGCTAGAGTGCTAGCCTAGAGCTGAAGAGCTGAGGGACAGCGCCCAAGCCAAGAGTTCAGCCTCCACAACCAACAAAAAATAAAACTACAACTAATAATAATTATGATGCAAGTAAGGGAAACCATGGGACCTATGTTTCTTTGGGCTTGGTTTACTTCACTTAATATAATTTTTTTCCAAGCCTTTCTATTTCCTAACAAATGGGACAATGTCTTCTTTCTGATGGAGGCATAGAATTCCATTGTGTATATATACCACATTTTCTTGATCCCTTCATCTACTGAGGGGCATCTGGGTTGGTTCCATATCTTAGCTATGGTGAATAATCTGAGATAAACACAGTTGTGCTGGTAGCTTTAGTATGGTCTTGTTTGTGATCATTTGGGTAAATGCCCAAAAGTGGGATTGCTGGGTCATAGGGGAGGCTCTATGTGGAGTCTTTTGAGGAACCTCCATACTGCTTTTCAAAGTGGTTGAACAAGTTTACATTCCCACCAACAATGCAGTAGGGTTCCCTTTTGGCCACATCCCCTCCAGCATCTTTTTTTTATTAGAGTTCTTGATTATAGCCATTCTAATTGGGGTGAGGTGGTATCTCAGTGCTGTTTTGATTTGCATTTCTTTTATGGCTAGAGAATTTCTTCATGTGTCTATTGGCCATTCTTATTTCCTCTTCAGTCTTTAGCCAACTTAATGGGGTGGTTGTTTTTTTGAGGATTTGTTGTTGCGGGAGCTAAAATTTTGAGTTTTAAGTATATTTTAGATATGAGGCCCTTGTCTGTTGTATGGCTAGTGAAGATCTTATCAGACAAGTAGAAAAAGTCAAAATCTATTCAATATGACCATATAAGATAATGCTAAGTACGAAATGAACCCCAAGATAGGGACACAGAGGTTTTATCTTTCTTGCTATCGTTTTTAATGTACTTATAATGCACTATGTGATTTTTTTTGTTTCTTTTGTATGTTTTTTCCCCATGGTATAACCCCTGTTTTCACTGTATTTGATTCTAATACCCTGCATCTTGCATATACATTTTTCTAAATTGGGAAGGGGAAGGGAAATAACAAAATGCTGAAACAAGGATACAGGTTGACCCATTGTAACAAGATGTACAAGACACTGTGTTAAAAACAAACTTTTCAACTTCAGGGGAATGGAGGAGGGAGGAGGTGGGGAGAGAAGGGACGGTAGGGGAAAAACAAAGGAGCGGGTAACAATGCTCAATAGGACATATGTTCATTACCTTACTCATGTAACTGTAACACCTCTGTATAGTATCTTTACAATAATATAAATATATTAAAAATCACTACTGTAAAAATTATGATGCACTCTTGAAAATATGAAGTAGTATTTCTACCATTAGACTTAGGACAGGGATAAAAGAACTTCACAGAAATATAGAATACTGAAATTTCTACTTCATCACTGGAAAGGAAGCACAAATAGCAAAATCCTCTTTTGCTCCTTATCCATTTTACCAGTGATTATACTGTATGCCTTTCTCTACAAAGCCAGCCCAGCCCTTCAGGTGTGCTGTCATGATGCAAAGCAAAAATAAAACAAACAAAACAAAATTCAGAAAATTATTCATCGGGCTAGAAGAATCAGATAATGTCAGCATATTATTTTACATTCATGTAAAATCAGCCTATCTATCCTTCTCAGATGAGCTTTCTCAATGCTACCTTGATTTGCCCTCCGAGTCCTCCAACAAACATCCGCGTTGAATTATTTATGTCTAGAACATTAGCCGTCCCCGGGGATTTGCTGGTTTTCATTGGTGGGTTTTGAGTTGAGCTCATTTCCTTTACACTCAGTGATCCAAGGTTTCCAAACCTGACATCCATCACAAAGAATTGCAAAAGGGATTATCAGCATTGTATGTCTATAAACACACACACACACACACACAGACAAACACACACAGAGCTCTTTATACATAGCCCAATTCTCCTTGTATCTCCTGCCTGGTCTCCTTGCTTCCAGTCTTGTCCATCACACCTTCAGTTTACTCCTTAAAAATCTTAGAGAGCAGTTCTTGGCAAAATACTTGATCTAAAGACCATCTACTACCTTCAATGTCACACCACTGTTGTAGATAATAAGTAAAAAAAAAGCCCAACAATATACTATCAACAACAACTGTAAGTGGAAAGCAGTTAGACCTAAAGTTGCTTAAGAGAGTTATGTCTGGGGAAGGGCTTTAAAAGCAAGAATCTGGCTTTTTGTCTGTACTTTAAGACCTACCCTTGCATTCTCATCCTTTCTCCTCTCCCTGCCCCCTGTGGGCCCTCAGAGCTTCTCCCAGGAAACTTTGACTCCTCTTCAGAAGAGGAGTCGACACTGACCAGATTGTCAATTAGACTATCTAAAAAGAACTTTGCAAAAATAATCTGAGCTTTAAATGTTACTATTTTGATCTTGAGGTCAGGAACAAGGTTTATTTTTTCAGTAGTAAGAAAAATAGTGTTAGTCTTATTCTAAACCAAGTATTCTTTCTAATGCAATTTTCCAGAAATTTCAAAGCCATCTTACTTCATGATGTTATCTGCACTTCAAAGAGATACAATTTAAATATGAGAAAGAAAGCAAATGAACCAGAGAAGAGAAAGAGGGAGGAGGGGGAAGAGAGAGAAACTGACAGAGACACGGGGAGAAACAGAGACCGAGAGACATTCTGGAGGACCTTTCTCCTCTACCTGGTTATGTGGATGCTGTACCACCTGTCGTCATTGATGAGGACATCCGGGAATTCCAACCTTGTGGATCCAGAGCCCAGATCCCAGAGGAAGGCTACTTTCCCCCGCCGCATCTCCACTGCCAAGAAGTCAGACTGAGGACAGGAGTGAGTGGAGATGAGTGTATGCTCTGCTATTTACACAACCAACAAAACACTTGAAAGAACGAGTCTGCACAGCATTTTCTCTATTCCAGAAAATGCCTTGCCTTGCCTTTCCTCCTCCCACCTACCTCTCTTTGGAGGCTGAGATCTGAGGATCACAGTTCAAAGCAAGCCCAGGTAGGAAAGTCTGTGAGACTCTTAGAAAATCCACAGCTCTACATCTAGAGCTGTGGCCAAAATGGTAGAGTGCCAGCCTTAACTATCAAAAAGCCAAGGAGTAACCCCTGTTCATAAACAATCCTTGTCATCCTCACTTACACCGCTGCTGCTGCCAAGGTAGAAGAGAAGATTGTCAGGTTCCTGCGTCTTAACATTCAGGGTCAAGTTGTTATAGTTGGTAGAAGAAATCTGAGGCTGGTAGGCCCGGATACAGTCTCGATCTGCAGCCACCGCAACTTTGATCTGAGAAGGAAAGCAAAGTGTCCCCATCACTTAGTGATATGTAGCGGAGGTTCTCTAGCAGGTCAGAGGAGCTATTCTAATTGTCACTGGGAGTCAAATTCCCTTTGGGCTTCAAAAAATGAGAAGTCAGACTGCAATGAAAAGGACTTTAATTTGGTAAAGTTTCTAGGTATGAGAACATCAGTGAAATGAGATTTTAATAAGATATTTCATCTGAGAAGCTGCCTTGATCACAGGATTTACTTTCTTAAAGATAAGAACCCTATCACCTTGGCATTTTTCATCTGACTCACAGAGGATATTGGGTGCTCATTTATCAAGTAACTGCTGAGGTGATATACTTAGTCAGTATGTATTGACATAGTAATTGGACTTAATAGAACCATATGCAGCCTGTGAAACAGTGATATTAACAAGCACTTGGACTTATAGACCAGCTGTGCTAATACAAAGTTATGCTCTAATTAAAGCTTCCATAAACATACGGCAAGCTTTCTACCAACAGTCTTTTAAAACATGTTAAGTAAGAGCAGGAAAAGAGGCTATGCATTGGCTTTAAATATTCCAACACAGCTGAGTACTAGTGGTACATGCCTATAATCCTAGCCACTTAGGAGGTGGAGATCTGAGGATCAAGGCTCAAAACCAGCCAGGGCAGGAAATTCTGAGACTCTTATTTCCAATTAACTAGCAATAAGCCAGGTGGAGCTGTAGCTCAAGAGGTAGAGTACTGGTCTTGAGTGAAAAAGCTTAAAGGCCAGTCTCTGAGTTCAAGTGACAGTACCAGCACATCATACACACACACACACACACACACACACACACACACACACACACACACACACACGGCTAAAAGGAAGCAGGGATTCTTCAAAAGTTGGCCTAGAAAATTTGTAGGAGAACCCAGGTTACCAGCCATGACCACTAACAGGCCACCCATAGGAATTCTCTAGGAATTTTCTATGTTCTTGGTCATAGAGAAGCCTGACTATAGAAATGTGGGTACACTCAGCCATGAACCCCTACTCACTGAAGCTGCCTGTTTCCGGGCCTGGCTGATTAGCAATTTAATTTCTGATAGGTTTCTACTCAGGTTCTCTTCTAAAGTCTTCAAAGGCTTTAACCGATTCCACAGAAGGTTGGCTTGTGTTTCCATGTCTTTAACTTTCCTTCCAGCTAGCAGAGCTAACAAAGACAGGAAGAAAAGGGGTGGTGAGAAAATTGAGAAACAAAAAGATAAAGGAATCACTTATTTACTAGTACACTGGATCAAATAAGACATTCTAACAGTCTTGAAATTTTGGAATTGTATGACAAATGCCTTGGCAGCCTGTACCCTAAGGCCTCTCTCTTTCTTTATAAATATTAGTCTAGGTGTTAGCATAATGTTCAGTTTTTAGCTTTCTTGTTTGTGATTAAGATACCACTTTCACCCAGCTAGCTCCCCATCTGCAAAATGCAGACACAATGCAATGAGGACCACTGCATACTAGTCATGGAGGAGTCCTGCAGGAGTTCCTTTGTCTCTTGTAATGTCAGGTTCACTCTGGACAGGTCAGTGGAGGTGGCAAACAGCTTCCGGCTCAGTTTCAGCACTTCCTGTAATGTTGTCCCTGCACTGTGGTTGGCAGATGAGGCCAACTCTTCTGTTTTGCTTCTTTTGTCTCTCAGGTCTAAAAAAAACGTACATAAAACCACACACCTGATGAAGACCCTCTGAGAAAATTCAAAACTACAACAAATGTCATTGGACATAAAAACTATCTTGACAGTTGAACACAAAATGGCAAAAAGGAAGGCTGCATATCATTAGCTATACTCCTCCCAAAAAGGGAGAAAACAAATCATTGTATAACAATTCTCTGAACTACAATTTCAATATATAAAATGTTCTCAAAAGAAATGGCTGATGACTATATTCTCAGCAGCCAATATGGTAATAATCTATCCTTATTTAGTTTATCCTTAATTATCTAGCCTTATGTGGTAATTATCTAACATTATATGGTAATTATCTAGCCTACTGTATATGGTAATTATCCTTATGTAGTAATAGCTGACCTTTACACGACAATAATCTACACTTTTCTATTTGGGTCCTTTTCTATCACTTCCTTATCATCTCCATTGAACACATTTTCTGTCTACATCATTCTATGAATGGAAAAGAATATTCTGGAATTTAAGTCAATGGTCAAGAGGAAGTAAAAGTGTTCTGAAGTGATATTAATAACACCGGGATTTCTACCTCCAAGTCACTTTCCTTTGAAAGTAAAGACCTGATCAATGACAGCTCATTTTTTACCTAGGTATGTTTACCAGACTCCAAGCAGGGCTTCTTCAAGAGAAGACAGTAATGAAATTCAGAAACTCTTCTCTACTTACCTTCAGGAATTGCTCTAAGTATCAAGAGAGATGCATTGGTCTGCCTGGCAATTTTATCTGTAGTCTCTTGAAATCGGTTTGTCATATTTTTCATTTCACTCAGCCCCAATGTAACACCTGTTTAAATGAAAGCAAAAAAAAAATGTTTGCTCTTAGGTTAGCCTGCCAAAATGTTGCCTAGGCAACAGCTTTCTGTACCATGCTTGATCCATTTACAGAATCAAGAGCTTTCTTTTTTTTTTAGTAAGTTTTTTATTGTAAAATACTGTACAGAGGGGTTGCAGTTACATGAGCAAGGTAATGAGTACATTTCTTATCAAGCATTGTTGCCTCCTCCTTTGTTTTTCCCCTACCATCCCTTTCCTCCCACCTCCTTAACTACACTCCCCCACCCCCTAGCTCCCTCCAAAATTGTTCAAGAGCTTTCTATAGATATCCCAATAGTCAAAGTTTTCCTAGCCAGACTTAGCACTATTTGTTATAAGAATTCAAAGTCTATTTTTACCTTGGTTTGTTCTGTTGTGCTTTTTGCTTCATACTTTCTTCACTAGTACTCTTGAATTTCAAGTCCAAGGATTGTATTTATTAGAGCTCAAGGGTAAAGAACTGCTTTAATCCCTCAGTCTCAACCAGAGTCCCTAATCTACAAGCCATCCACACCTGAATCTTGGCCACCTTTCTCCTGGAGGTTCTCAAACCCTGAATATAGGTGTTTCTGGGATGCCTCCTCACGCCCCTCCCCCTGCTTCCCAGTTCAATCCTCTACCCTTTCTCTTCCCCAGATATCATTCAATTGGAGACTCAACTTCCTTCAAATATAACCATCTCTGACCAAAACTTTTACTTTTCAAAGTTTTGTTCATAACACAACGAAACCACATTTGGATTTCGAATGCATATGTAAAACATGACATTTTGATTGCCAGGAATTTTACAATTTGATGGACTATGACATACCATGTGTAAATTGAAGCCAGAATCTACCAGCCTTAATGCTAAAGCATCAATTGTGATGACTGAGTATCGTCCAACTGGCAGCATTAATGCTAAATTGTCATTCACAGAGAAACAACAACAACAAAAAAGGATGCATCCAGGCCTTTAGCTCTGATAACTATGGGGAAAAGAAATAAGCTCTGTGCATGGCCCATCATTTTCTCCTGTAAGAGAAGTTTTGACACTTTTCTTCCCGTGTGGTAGGCACACCGTATTCTATGGAATGTTGTGACCTATGTAGTCATTTTGCATGACAGATTTTACTGCTCTTTTGTGTCATACTCATTGAGTATTTCTTACATAGCCAAGATATACTAAACTACATCTGGAAAGTTAATGCATCAGGGTTGATTTGATCCAGTCTACCACAAGTCTATCATAGTGCTCGCTTTGGAACAGACAGAGATGCCAAACATATTTCCTCAAAAAACTTGGAAATCAGGAGAAAAAAAGCATACATCTGCAACAGAAAATAACCCAACACATATACTAGGGAAGAACAGACAACTCCAAGCTCAAGCAACGACTGAGGGTAGAGGACATTCATCAAGGAGGTTTAAAGATCAAGGAGTAAGCATGTTCAAGTGATGTCCTGAGTATGAAATTCAAAACCATGTATTAACCCAACAAAGATATGTGAAGCTTCAAATTGCTTTAGCAAAAGGGACATTCCTCAAGGGTGCTCAGGGCTTTGCTTCCACTCACTCTACCTATGGACCCAATCTACGCTGCAAACTGACCTTGCTGCTTTCCACTAAGGCTGTTGCTTTCCTTTAGAAACCTGGAACTGCGCTGCAGAGCCGCTTTGCTGCGAGAAGCAAGAGATTCTGCAACCTGGAAAACAAAAACAGCATATACATTATGACCTCAAGGAGCATGAGGCCCTGTCAGACCAGCATCCATCACTTCTAAACACGAGAGTCAACCAAATCACAAAGCAGAGAAGCAAAAACACAAATGCATCTTTTTCTATTAGTTACATTTTTTCTACCATGTATTAATTGTCCAAGAGAGTTTCACTGTGCTATTTCCATGGATGCATATAATGTGTTTCAAACAAATGAAGCCCCTATTACTTTTTCTTATTGCCCCTTTATTTTTCATGGATTTCATGCCAGTGAAATCTTTCAACCATATTCATGTCCCACAAAGGCATTTTTAAATGAATAAAGAGGACAATCAGCCATTATTCTTATCATACCGCAAACTAATGATGATGATGATGATGATAAAAAGTCCCAAGAAAGCCAGGTGCCACTGATGCATGTTTGTAATCATAACTACTCAGGGGGCTGAGTGCGACTATTATCTCCAACAAACTATCAAAAACCCAAGGTAAAGCTGTGGATCAAGTGGCAGAGTACTAGTCTTGAGTAAATGAAGCTCAGGAATAGTATCCAGGCCCTGAATTCAAACTCCAGGACTGGCATTAAAAAAAAAGTCCCAACCAGATATTAGGAAGCAATGTTATTTTTAATCACAAAAAGATGTGAGATCTTTCTCATCTTTCAGCCTCTCTCTTTCTTGTGGGTTTGAACTCAGGACCTCATTCTCACTAGGCAGGTACTCTACCACTTGAGTCATGTGCTTAATCTTTTATGTTTTCATGATTTGTTTAATAGGGTCTCACTTTTTGTCTGGGATAGCCTGGACCATGATTCTCCTATTTATCTTTCTTATAAATGCTTACCACCACATCCAACTTTTTATTGATTAGGATGAAATCTCATGAACTTTTTTTGCCTGGGCTGATCTCCAACTGAAATCTTCCTGGTCTTAGCTTCCCAAGTAGCTTCAATGACAGGTACATGGCACCTAACTCCTCATTTCTTTAACACAAGTCTAATCTTCCAAAAGTAGCATTTATGATTTTTAAAAATTAGAGCAAGCTGGCTACAGTGATGTGCAGTCCCAGATAACTGGGATGCAAAGGATCACTTAAGTCCAGGAGTTTGGATCTAGCTTAACTAACACAGTGAACAAAACCTTATTTCCTAAAATATTTCATATGATAAATGAAGCCATAAACAGGTTTCACAAGAAAAGAATATGGGCAAACATGTATTTGAGCCAGGAAATCTGTGCTCAGTAATCTTCTAGAACAATCTCCCATAGTTCCCAGAAGAGAAAGGTTCATGCTTTAGTCCTGGACATTTCTTACCTGGCTGGTTTTATTCCCAGTGTTATGCGCATCTTTGGCTAGTTTCTCTGATTGTTCCAGCAGATTCTGAATGTTGGAATACACATGGGCTGCACTGGTTGCATTCAGGGATACATCTCTGACGTTTTCAAGGGCACTATTAAATTCAGCATATTTGGAGAGGAATCAGTAAGAAGTAGAATCAAACTTCTGGATTCACTTATAAAAATGTTTAAGAGTCCACTGTTCTCGATGGCCTCTTAAGTGTCTTTCTCCTTAGAAAAGGAACAAGGAATAATATCCTATGAATTTCTCTCTACATTGAAAATGAATGACTGAGGAGCACGAGCTACACCATCACCAAGATAACACTCAGAACTGGTATTTAATGTGTGCAGCAAAAAGGGACAATTGTTGCTTCCCTTAGACAAATATTGCAACATCTTCCACCTGCCACAATCCACGTTCCCTGATCTTTGTCTCTTTCTAAGGCACCACTGCATGTCTCAGCGGTGGGATACTCTTGCATCACACATGTTGATTTTCAGAAAGCTTTGAAACACATAAAGGTGCTATATCTCATCTCTCAAGTCTTATACTCCAAGTTGTGACATTTCCTGGAGATTTTACACGAGGAACAAATAATATTTCTATCAGAAATGTTATTAAAACTTCATTTGGACAACTGGCAAATCCTTTAGGAGCTGGTAATGGTGCAATTTCACCCAGCTACTTCCATCTGGAAGATGAAATCTGAAAAGCAGCACGTCTTTGCCTGCTGAGTAGCTCTCATTTTCTCTCCAAGGTTACTGAGTCTGGGGATTCCCAGACTAGACAAGGCAGTTATTGTCTTTTATGCTCTCACTGGCAAAATCTAATGATTTATAACAGAAAGATAATACTGCTGCTTAACTTTGCATATCATACCAAATTGCTTTTATTATCCTTATACTCAGTAATAAAGATATTTATCTAGCTATGTAGAGTCAGAATATCTATGTCTCTTTTGAAAAACCATGAAATGATAAACAGTGAGAAGCTGAATACCTAATTCCATTTCCTACCACCTAATCCTATAGAATTGTATGTATTCATAATACAATTTGGCATATGATTGAACTTAGTACATAATTTATTTACACAACAGTCAATCACTTGAGAATGTGTATGTGTGCGTTCATGTATTTGTGTGTGCCAGTTGTGAGGCTTGAACTCAGGGCCTGGGCACTGTCCGTAAGCTTCTTTTGCTCAAGCCTAGTGCTCTACCACTTGAGACCCAGCTCCACTTCCAGCCTTTTTGGTGATTAATTAGAGATAAGGGTCTTGCAGATTTTCCTGCCTGGGCTGGCTTTGAACTATGATCCTCAGCTTTCATCCTCCTGAGTATCTAGGATTACAAGAGTGAACCACTGGCATCTGGTGGAGAATTTTTATTTTTAAATCACAAAGCTCAAGCCACATCCTTGTGTATTTAAGTAGCAAAAGAGACTAAAGAGACTAAAGAACAAAGCATTAATATTTTATTTTATAAAGTGCTTCAGGTCAGTCAACATGCAGAGGAGCTTGGGAACTGCTGGCATGAAGTGGGGCACCATGTTGAAAGGCACTTTTCAATAAGGCCAGGACAGATTTAACAAACCTTCAAGAAGATAAGTGGAGGGGGGACCCAAGATGGCGACGGAACAGTAGGGAATCACCACAGCTCTCTCCAACCAAATAGAGCTTGGTTTCCCTGAGTACCAACAACAGCAAAAAGATGAACACCCAGAGAAATACAGGAAGTGAAGAAAAGAAAAGGATAAAAACTTCAGAACCTACACAAAGATGGAAAAGCACGAAGACCCTTCCCCCATCCCTCGGTGGTGGCACAGCTCTGCACCAAGCCGCCAAAGTGACCCGGCCCCTGGCCGCTGGAGACTTCAGGGCCACAGTGGTCTATAGAACACCTGTGCAGAAGGCTCCCACATACATGGTCAGTGTAAACAGAGACAGAAGCCAGAGACAAGGTCCCATGAAACCCAGACCTGAAGCTCCTACCACCACCCCGCCCGGCCCACAATCATCTCAACAGAACACGGCAACCAGCGACCTTCAGTGCACAGAAACAGTGATCTGCCACAGCACCACTGGACAGTCCCCAACAAGTTGCAGGGTAAGTGAGTACCCCTGCCCTCCCGCCCCGGGAGACCAGCGCTGGTGGTAAACCCCAGCGCTTGACCTGGACCCCTCCCCCTATGCCTGGGATACTGGCTCCACTGAAGCTGGGAATTGTGCAAGTGCCCCAGCAACCGATAGAGCACACCCAGCCTGCCAGACTTGACAAGAGCACTCCTTGGAGGGGGCTTGAACATGGCTGGTCCCTGGCTGAGGTGGGGAACCACGCCTGTGCACCCAGCCTGCAGAGAAGGAATGCAAACTATGTGTCCTGGGCTGGCTAAAGTTGGGAACTATGAGCAGGCTCCAGCAACTGGTGTACATCCAGCAAACAAGGCTTTACCAAGAGAGCCCATGGAAGGGAGTGCGAGCAGCCTAGGATGCTGGTCCTTGGTGAAGTCGGGACTGTCTGTGGGCTCCACAGGATTGACAAAGAAGCCTCCCAATTAAATGATGTCACACTCTACTACAAAGCCATAGTAATCAAAACAGCTTGGTACTCGCACAAGAATAGACCTGAGGACCAATGGAATAGAATTGAAAACCCAGAAATGAGCCCACAGACCTATAGCCACCTAATTTTTGATAAGGGAGCTAAAAAAATAGAATGGAAGGAAGACAGCCTCTTCAGTAAATGGTGCTGGAAAAATTGTTTAAATACCTGTAGAAAACTAGTTAGGTTCTTATATATCACCCTGCACTAGAATCAACTCCAAATGGATCAAAGACAGCCTGAAAACATTACAGGAAGGAATAGGAGAAAACCTAGGTCTCCTTGGCACAGGCCGAAATTTTCTCAATAGCAACCCAGAATCATAACGAATCAAAGAAAGGTTGGACAAATGGGATTGCATGAAGTTGCAGAGCTTCTGCATGGCAAAGGACATAGCTGGCAAGATCAATAGAAAGCCCATGGATTGGGAGAAGATCTTCACATGCCATATAATGGATAAAGGTCTCATATCTAAAATATATTTGGAGCTCAAAAAGTTAAATCCCCCAACAACAAATCCTCAAATAACTTCCCAATAAATAAGTGGGCTAAAGACTTAAAGAGAAATTTCTCTGACAAGGAAATGATGGCCAAAAGACATATGAAGAAATGCTCAACCTCTCTAGCCATAAAAGAAATGTAAATCAAAACAACATTGAGATTCCACCTCACCCCAGTTAGAATGGCTATAATCAAGAATTCTAATAACAACAGATGCTGGAGGGGACGTGGACAGAAGGGAACCCTACTGCATTGTTGGTGAGAGTATAAACTTGTTCAACCACTTTGGAAAGCAGTGTGGAGGTTCCTCAAAAGACTCCACATAGAGCTCCCCTATGACCCAGCAATCCCACTTTTGGGTATTTACCCAAATGATCACAAACAAGGCCATACTAAGGCTACCAGCACAACTGTGTTTAACGCAGATGCTCCTCAGTAGAGGAATGGATCAAGAAAAAATGTGGGATATATATAATGGAATTCTATGCCTCCATCAAAGAATGACATTGCCCCATTTGTTAGGAAATGGAAAGACCTGGAAAAAACTTATATTAAGTGAAGTAAGCCAGGCCCAAAGAAACATAGGTCCTATGGTTTCCCTTATTTGCAATAACTAGTATATGTCTGGAACAAGCAGAAAAGAACAAAAGCTATGTACATATGGCCAGATAAGATGATGTGAAGTGAAATGAACCCCAAGATAGGGACACAAAGTGGTTTTTTATTTTCTTGCTATTGTTCCTGAAGTATTTATAATTTACCATGTGATTTTTTTGTTTCTTTGTATGTTCCTCCCCCACGGTATAACCCCTGTTTTCACTGTATTTGATGTCAGTGCCCTGCATCTTGTATATACACTTCTCTAGCTTGGGGAGGGGAAGGGAAAAAACAAAATGCTTAAACAGGGATACAGGTTGACCCATTGTAACAATGAGATGTACAGGACACTATGTTGAAAAATGAACTTTACAATTTAGGTGGGGAGGGTGGGAGGGAAGGGAGGATAGGGAAAAAACAAAGGAGGAGGTAACAATGCTTGATAGGAAATGTACTCATGACCTTGCTCATGAAACTGTAACCCCTCTGCACAGTATTTTTACAATAGAGAAGTATTAAAAATGAAAAAAATAAATTTCTTAAAAAGAAAAAACAAAAAGACAAAAAAATGATGCCATAGTTCAATTGGACTTAATTGACATCTACAGATTTTCCACCCAACAACCCAATACACATTCTTATCAGCAGCCCATGGAACTTTCTCCAAAATAGATCATATCATATTTCACACAAAGAACTTAAGCAAATACAAGAGGATCGACACAATTCCTTGTATTCTATCCGACTTTAGTGGAATCAAGTTAGTTCTCAATAATAAAGCATACCATAGAAATAATTCAAATACAGGGAAATTGAATAGCACACTTCTGAGCAACTCCTCGGTCACAGAAGAAATTAAAGAAGAAATTAAAAAGTCCATACAATTCAATGAAAATGAATATACATCACAAAGAAACCTGTGGGACATGGCAAAAGCAGTCCTGAGGGGCAAATTTTATTGCTGTCATTGCACACATCAAGAAAATACATACAGACCAAGTAAATGATCTTATGATGCAACTAAAACTGCTAGAAAAGCAAGAAAAAAATTGAACCCAAAGTTACTAGATGGAGCGAGATAACAAAATGAGATAACAAAATAAGAGCTGAAATTAACAAGATAGAAACTAAGAAAACTATAAATAAAAGTAATATAACAAAAACTTGTTTTTTTAAAAATCAACAATAAAATTGAAGGACATCTGGCAAGATTAACTAAAAAAAGAAGAGGGGAGACCCAAATCAATATGATCAGGGATGCCACAGGAAAAATTACAAGAAACATCCAAGACACCCAAACAACTATAAAGAACTATTTCCAGAATCTATACTCACTAAGGAAGGAAAAACTAGCAGAAATGGATGAATTTTTAGAGAAATACAAATTGCCCAAATTGAACCAAGAAGAAATAAGTCAATTAAATAAGCCAATAACTGGGGCTGGGAAGGTGGCTCAGTGGTAGAGTGCTTGCCTTGCATGCTTGAAGCCTTGGGTTCGATCCTCAGCACCACATAAGCAGAAAAGTCCAGAAGTGGTTCTATGGCTCAAGTGGTAGAGTGCTAGCCTTGAGCTGAAGAGCTGAAGGATAGCACCCAGGCCAAGTTCAGGCCCCATGACCGATAAAAAATAAGTAAATAAAAAATAAGCCAATAAATTACAATGAGATAGAGGAAGCAAGCAGAAGTCTTCCAACAAGGAAAAGTCCAAGATCAGATAAATTCACTACGGAATTCTAAAAAACCTTTAAAGAGGAACTAATACCCACACTCCTCAAGCTCTTCCGAGAAAAAGAAACACAGGGAATAATCCCAAACTCATTCTATGAAACCAATATCACACTCATCCCCAAACCAGGCAAGAGCCAACAAAAGAAGAGAACTACAGGCCAATCTCTTTGATGAACACAGAAGCAAAGCTCCTCAATAAAATTTTAGCCAACAGAATCCAGAAACATATAAAAAAATCAAACATTATGATCAAGCAGGCTTCATTTCAGAGATGCAGGGATGGTTTTACATATGTAAATCAATAAATATAATCTATCACATCAATAGATCCAAGGTCAAGAACCACATGATTATCTACATTGATGTGGAAAAGGTTTTTGATAAAATACAACATTCATTCATGTTAAACGCTCTGGAGAAAATAGAAATAGAAGGAACATTCCTTAAAACAATAAAAGCTATATACGACAGACCAATAGCCAATATTATAGTAAATGGGGACAAACTACAACCAATTCTCCTGAAATCAGATACAAGGCAAGGATATCTACTCTCTTCACTCCTCTTCAATATAGTTCTGGAATCCTTAGCCAGAGCAATAAGGCAAGAAAGGGACACTAAAGGGATCTGCATATGGAAGAAAGAAATTAAACTATCCCTATTTGCAGATGACATGATATTATACCTTAACAATCCCACTCCCAAACTCCTAGAGCTTATAAACTATTTTGGCAATGTAGCATGATACAAAATTAGCCCACAAAAATCAGTTCCCTTTCCATACATCAACAATGTACAAGCAGAACGGGAAATCAAGGAAACAACTCCATTCACAATAATCTTAAATAAATATCTAGGAATTAACCTAACCAAAGATGTAAAGGAACTATTTAATGAAAACTATAAAAGCCTAAAGAAAGAAATCATAGAAGACACCAGGAAATGTAAAGACCTTCCATGTTCTTGGATAGGCAGAATTAATATAGTGAAAATGGCCATACTGCAAAAAATGATATACAATTCAATGCAATTCCTATTAAAAAATCTCAATGACATTCTTTACTGGAATAGAGAAAATAATCCAAAAATTCATATGGAACAACAAAAGACCTAGAATAGCCAAAGCATTTCTAAGCAAAAGAAACAATGCAGGAGGGATCATGATACCAGATTTCAAGCTCTACTATAGAGTCATAATAACAAAGACAGCTTGGTATTGGCACAAACACAGACCCAAAGACCAATGGAATAGATTAGAAGATCCAGACATAAAATCACACACCTACAGTCAGCTGGTATTTGACAAAGAAGCCAAAGACATACAGTGGAAGAAACATAGCCTCTTCAACTATTGGTACTGGTAAAACTGGGCAGCCACAGCAAAAAACTAAAAGTGGACCCCAGCCAGTAACCAACATACTGTCTTGCGTGTATTATTGTTGCAATGGATCATTCTGTGTCCTTCTCAGCATTTTGTTATTCCCTTTCCCCTCTGCAAATTAGACAAATGTATATGTAAGAGGTAGGGTACCAAAATCAAGTACAGTGACAACAGGGAATATATAAAATGTATTTATGACTTTAACTAAGTACTACTATCCTACAATACTGTGAAATTTATGTACTCAATCTCAATAAAATATTATTTAAAAAAATGAAAATAAGTGGAAAAAATTGGATTACAATGGTAAGCCTTCAGATAGTAGGAAATAATTAAGGGAACTTAATTATTTAATTAATTAACTTAATTAACTAGAAACTTTAGAGGTAGAGTATGGGCTGCTACCTCCTCCACTCAAATCTTCATCTCCCAAAAGGCATGATTTATAGAGAAATTATATCCTTTGTACATCCCATACAGAACCTAACAAAGCACTGCGCATCGGATAGATGTTTAGCTGCCTGGTAGCTTGGTATGTACCATGCTACTGTTTTTCATTCCTCTTCAGTTCCATCACGAAAGGAAAACTATTTAAGTACACCCAGGAGAAATCTGACTTGCCATGCAAATCAAATAGAAGTCCTCATTTTATACAGAAAAATAAAAGTTATTCAACACTATAATCAAACTAGTCATCCTTATTGTGACCAATGGACCACCATCCCCTGTATTCCTGAAAGCTTATGGCCTTACCTGTCCAGAGCACCTGCTAGACTTTGGAGCTCAGTGGCATGATATTCAGCTCTGTGCACAAGGTCAATTGCTTTCCTTTTTGACATCTGCATGACCAGATTGTCTACATGGTGCCTGATTTTGGCAGTCCACAGGAGGACCTCGTTCCAGTGCTGCTCCAGCTCCTATATGGAGGAATCAATTATGTAAACACATGCATATCTATTTAATAATGTACATGCATGTGCACAGGTGAGGTACATGATAATTTGTGGGAAACAAAGTTGTAACTTACAGCTAGAAGATTTTTTGTAGTATCTGCCTGTGTAGTGGCTGCATCCACCAGCCCTCTTCCTTCGACAACCAATTCTGAGGTCACATTTTGCTCTTCTTGAACACGCAGCTTTTCGTTCTGCAACAAAAAAAATCACCTTTTACTGGTATTTCATAAAAGCAAATCAGTGGCCAGGCACCAGTGGTTTACACCAGTCAGCTTAGCTACTTAGGGAGCTTAGATGTGGAGGATTGAGATGTGAAATCAGACCAGGTATAAAAGTCTAGGGGACTCCATCTCCAAAATAACCTAGCAAAAAGCCAAACTGGAAACATAGCTCAAATGGCAAGGTGTCAGCCAAGCAAGGTAAGTGTGAGGATGGGGCTCTGAGTTCAAATAAAAAATAAAATAAAATTTTAAAAAGCTGAGCACTAATGGGTTGTGCCTATAATCCTAACTCTTCAGGAGGCTGAGATCTGAGGGTCATGGTTTAAAGCCAGCCCCAACAGAAAAAAACCTAAGAAACTCTTATCTCCAATTAACTATCAAAAAGCCTTTAGTGGGCTATAGCTCAAGTGGCAGAGTGCCAGCCTTGAGTGAAAAAGCCAAGCCAGACTTTGAGGTCCTGAATTCAAAGTCCCAGTAATGGCATTACACACACACACACACACACACACACACACACACACACACACACACACACGAGGTCCTGAATTCAAAGTCCCAGTAATGGCATTACACACACACACACACACACACACACACACACACACACCTGAGTTTTAGGTCCTAAAGCCACATGCTAAAACTCACTTTCTAGGAGGCTAACAATGATACTGTCCACATGGCGTATGTGGCTACCATTTCTACTGAGCAGGAGACAGCTGGTCAGACTCACACTGAATTTTCCCAGGTTGGCCTTGACGATGTGCAGCAGGCGGTTGCTCTCCTGGGTCTTGGTCTCTGCTTCCCTCAGAAGCTCATCCACAGCCTGCAGTTCACTGCTGTGCTTCGAAAGGAGGCGGCTGGCTGTTTGCATTAACACTTCCAACTGTTTCTGTGGCTTCTGGAAATTTTTCTGAATTTGTGACAGTAAGTCTTCAGCAGCCCTGATAAATATAAATGGTTCAAGTAATAAGTAAATGAGCCACAAAACTTATGTTCTGAAATGTTTTCTGAGTGGTTTATTGGAGATAAGAGTCTCACGGACTTTCCTGCCTGGGCTGGCTTTGAACCGCAATCCTCAGATCTCAGCCTCCTGAGTAGCTAGGATTACAGACGTGAGCTACTGGCACCTGGCACTTATTTTTTAATATATTTTTTATTGTAAATATACAAGGGGTTACAGTTACATAAGCAAGGTAATGAGTCCATTTCCTATCGAGCATTGTTACCTCCTCCTTTGTTTTTCCCCTACCATCCTTTTCTTCCCTACCTCCCTGTCACAGAATCAAAAGATAACACCTCATTGAATCTGAACTGAGACAGTCAGAGCTACATTCTATATTAATGATAGTAACTGATCTTTCACTGTAATTTGTCAGGAAATTGAAACAAAACAACTGTTCTCTGATTCTCTGTAAATTTATCAATTCTGGTTTGTGATAGGGCTTTCTGCAGCCAGTTAGGAAGTGAGTCATATAAAATCTTGTAAGTTCTAACTGTTTAAAGGATATAATTAATGCCAAGAATAAATACAAGCTTTAGGAAGTCAAAATATCTTTTCCTTATTCTCTTATAAGTATGTCATCGAAATGCCTATTTGACAAGAGATCAACATTAAGCTTATAGTTTCACAGAATAAAATTCCACCTTGCAAATACTTTCAGTGAATATTAATTTTCTGGTGATTCCATTCCAGATGAACTTTAAAGAAGTCCATTGAAATGCTTCATAAAATACCCTCTTCTCCCTCTGCATGTGTTTGAAACTTACTTGAGTTCATGGGTAACATTTTCAAGCAACTGAGTGAAACTCCTTTTCCGAATCCCTTCCAGCAAAGATGAAATATTCTGTTGCAGATTTTGAAGAATAGAACTGGGTGGCTGGAAATCTCCATCCATAGTCTGGTTTAAAGTTGCTGCCTTTTCAAGGATTTCTATAAAGAAAATATACAATCATGTATTAACTCTCTCCTCGTGGTTGACATTACTTAATGAAAGAACAGAGAATACTCTTGGGTAAAGACTGCTCTGTTCAGCTAGGCTGGGTTGCAATTTTAGGCCAGGATAGGCCAAGCCAGAGCATGTCATGCTTGCCAGTGAACATTGAACAGCTCTTAACTGAACATTGCTGAACTGTGGATTGCTGGTTTATTTAATACCTCCTTTTTGTATTATTTATGAAGGAAAACTCAGTCTTCATCTCAGCATTTTCTTATCATAGACAAGACATAGAGGTTTCTCAATGAACAGATAAACCACCAACACTTGATACTAGCAAACTTGCTCCACCTTGTTTGATTGGTGTTCTACTACTTAAACTATGCCTCTAGCCCAGCTTCTTGCTGATTTTTGGAAATAGAGGCTTGCAAACTTTTCTGCTTGGGCTAACTTCAGACTTCCATCCTATGGAACTCAGCCAATTGAATAGTTAGTATAGTAGGCCAGAGCACCTGGTGCTCAGTGATACTAATCTTTTTTTTTAGTAAAGACTTTTTGTTCTAATAGCTTCTTGCTTTTTGCCTTAAAAGGTCTGTCATTGACTTCTATATGCTTAATTAATTTTTAAGTTATCCTTAATTACTTGTATTTCAATTCAATGTATCTGTTTATGAATATAATGCATCTTGATCAATATTACCCCTTCCATCATTCTCTCCCATCTCTTCTAACACCAGCTATCCCCTCAAGTTCAATTTTCACATAAATACATTGGATATTATACTATAATCACCCACCTTTCTCACCATTCATTTTCCCTCCCTCTCCTTGGCCACTCCTACTTTCACATAACACATGTTTCAGCTTCCTGTTACTCATTTTGTTCTAGACTTATAAAGCCCTAACACTAATCCAAAAAGAATGAGTCTATAGCCAGAAAACTAAGAATAGCAGACTAAAAGCCAGATGAAATTCAACTGTAAAGTAAACAAATTATTATAATAGGTGGATAAGTTCTGGAACCAAACCAAACCCCCAATCTGTCAGCTCCTACTCTGAGCAAAAGAACTGAGAGACATCTTATCAACCATCCTGAAATGGGACTACAGAATTAAAATGTGAGACACTGTAAAAAAATAAGAAAGGAATTGTGTTTGGTTCAAGAGAAGACTCTCAGTGAAAACTATGCCTACATATTTTCCATCCTCAAACAAAATAGTATTCTAGTCCCGTGGCTCCAGAAGTCCTGTGTAACAAGACATAGACATTCCCGTGTAACAAGACATAGACATTTGTCCACACATTTAATAAAGTGTTTGAGACTTTTCCTACCAAACAAGTAAGGAATCCTTAGATGAGACCCCAGTAAACTACCTTTGCTGTTTCTCAGCAGCAGCTCAATGGATGTGGCCAAATCTTGACTCTCATTGAGGATTCTCTCTGTTGCCATGTTCACCTGCTCGCTGCTTGTCAACACTCTAGTGAGCTGACAGAAATGAAAGGTCTTGGGTTAGTGTGCCTTTAAGTAAAACACAATTGCAGTATCCCAATCTTTGCCTCTTTTAAGTAACAAAATAATTCCCAAGTATATAGTAAAGCTGCACACTATCATGTAAACCAATTTAGCACCTCTAGATTGGACATCCATCAAGTGGTTCATGCAATAATGTACTAATCACTTAGTATAGTCTCCCTTAGGTAGGTCAGGCTGGTCTTGAACACACACACACACACACACACACACACACACACACACACACACACACACAGAGGCACGCAGAATTACTGTCCTTAGGGCCATAATGAACAAAACAATTTAATTAAGCACAAGAATAATGAATGCAGACAAGAGACTCAGCAGAAATGGTATTGATGAGGCACAGGAGTTCACTGAGCAGTCCTGGGGAAAGTACAGTAGTGTAACACTGACCAGTCATACAGTCATTTATTATCATTATCAGTTTTTATGTCATGGACATAATTGTAGGCTGTACTTTCATATGCTGCGGACATGAAGATATGCTTATTTGCCATTCCAAGTCCTACAATTAGCTTTGGCCCAGCCTGGGGCCTCATGTCACTGGGACAGTGCATGCTTAAGTCTAGCCATGTGCCTAGTGAGCTGCAGGTCATTATTGGCTCTCAGTGGAGGGCCTTGTGCCACAATAGAACAGCCAATAGAACACAATAGAACAGACTTAGGAGAAGGAAGAAATAGCAGCGATCTTTAACTCCACACACTTGCTTTGGGTTAGAGAAGACTAGGGAAATAAGATAGCCAAGCATCTGCCCAATTTTCCTTCCCCACTAGAGGTGCCAACAGAAACTGAGTCAGGATCCTTTTCCTGCTAAACCACAGAACCAGGCAAGACTGGAACCATTTGATGATAACGTGCTCAGAGTAAAGTGCCTGAGAAGTGAAGGCTATGCTGACCTAATCAGGGCCTTCCAGACAGCCCCTACGTAACTACTCCAAGGGGTTGTGTTGAGCCTCATCTGGCACTGGGTCCTCCTGCAGAGAACTTACCTCCTTTTGTAGGTTGTCTATCTCTTCTACAACACCATCAAGCTGGATTTCTGTCTGATTCTTTTGAGTGTATTTTTTAAATAAGGACTCCTAAGAAGAGCAAAAAGAATATTGTAATGCTTTGAAGTACTTACCCAAGAAATCACTTAGTTCTTTTTCACTGTTGTTCATAGAAATACTACTTTCCTGGAAACCCTCATTTTAAAATAAAATGGCTCATACTTACCTATAATTAGGTTTTGATTATTGGTATATAATTTTGTATTGCCACCTTTAACATCATATTTCCCATTCAGATATAAATTTAAAATGTGTTGTGTTAAGCAGAATTGGAGACTGCTACATAAAGATGATGAATGGAATTGCATTAAACTAAAAAGTTCCTACATAGCAAAGGATATAGCCAACAAGCTAAAAAGACAGCCTAAAGAAGGAGGCCTACATCAGACTATGTCTTACTAACCAGAATATACAGCAGAGAGCTTGAAGAAATTAAACCCTTCAAGAAATAACAAGTCAATTAATAAACAGGTTAATGAGCTAAAGAGAGACTTCTCAGAAGTAAAAATGGCCAATAGACACATAAAAAAGCTCAACATCTCCAGCCATTAAGGAAATACAAATCAGAACAACTTTGATATTCCACCTCATTCCAGTTAGAATGGCCATTACCAAGAAAACAAACAATAACAGATGCTGGTGAGGATGTGGCCAGAAGGGAACACTACTACTACACTGTTGGTGGGAATGTAAACTTGTTTAACCACTCTGGAAAGCAGTATGGAGGTTCCTCAAAAAACTAAACACAGAACTACCCTATTGAACCAGCAATTCTACTCCTTGGTATTTATCCAAAAGACTACAAACCAGGATATAGTACAGCCACCAGCACAACCATGTTCATTACAGCACGATTCACAGTAGCCAAGGTATGGAGTCAGTGTCTCAGTGAATGACTAGATCAAGAAAATGCAATATATATACACAATGGAATTTTATTCATCTATTAGAAAGAATGACATTGTACCATTTGTAAAGAAATGGAAAGACTTGGACAAATGATGTTAAGTGTAGTAAGTCAGTCCTAAATCAGACAAAGGATGCATGCTTTATCTCATATGTGGAGGCTAGAATTATCTTATAAACTTGTAAGTAGATATATTAGGTGGTATGCAAGTGTAGACAAATGAATTAACTGAAATACAGTAGATTCAAGGGAAAACTCAGTGTAATTCCTTAGAAAGGCAAAGTCAAAATTCCACAAAATAAACACCAGGAAACAGGGACTTGAAAGGGATGGGGTGAGGCTAAGCAGAGAAGGGTAGATGAATGAAGAGAAGGGAGGAGAATGCAGTTAAGAGTATATCCTACAAAACTAAGAAGAGTTAGGGAAGGGGTGCTTTGGGAGATATGGGTGAGGATACTGAATGGGGGAACATTGATCCAGATGCATTGTATTCATAAACTGCTTTATTAAATGGCAACTCCTTTGTACAACCATTTAAAGATAATAAAAACTGCAAAAAATACTTCTTTTTTCTCCATTTTCTGTGCTTCTACTAGGGCTTGAACTCAGGGCTTTGCACTCTCATTCGGCTTTTTTGCTCAAGGCTGGCACTTTTCTACTACTTTACTACTATAATACATCTTTCTAGCTTTTGCTGGTTCATTGGAGATAAGAGTCTTATGGACTTTTCTGCCTTGGCTAGCTCTGAACTGCAATCCTCAGATTTCAGCCTCCTAAGTAAGATAACAGGTACTAGCCACCAGCACCTAGTAGGATGTTTTCTTACTCCAGAGGCTAGAACAAGGACCACGGAATACAGCATATGAGATGATCTCTGCCGAGTAACTCCTAACCATTAGACCTGTCATTCAGGAACTCAAGGCAGGTGTGAGATGACCAGTGTCTCTGTCTCTGACGAGGCAATGCTGGCAACTTTTTAGGAAATATGGTGGACATGAGGATCCTACATGACTGGAAATAGACAGAGTGATTCCTACCATCTACCATCCCACTGACACCCACACGTTTCTATCTGTCTTTGCATTCCCAGTACCTACCTGGAAATACCGAGTCTTGTTTTCCAGGTCTGATAAAATTCCATATGGAGCAGGGAAAATGCCAGTGAGGTTCACAGAGAGAATGGCATCACCAACATTATCCAAGTCATTCAGCAGCACACCTATACACTCATCATCACAAGCTAGAGAAGAAAAAGAAAGGAGTTAAAGCTCATGCAAAGCTGTTTGTCCTGTGTCCCATGACTTGCATGAACCAGCTATGCTTAGAATCTAGGTGGGCAAAGAACATGCCACATCTCCAAGGACCACAGCTGATCTCATTCTCACCCCAGCTGGGAGGGATCAAATGGCAGGCAGTGCTGAGCCACTAAAGTGATGAGACAGAGCCTCAGGTCTCAAATGATATCCTTAGGGTTACATAGAAAGAAGCCACTGAGCCTCAAGTGGTACATGGTCCATCACACTCCACAACCTGTTTGGTCTAGCTGCTTATCTTTAGCTAGGGCCAAGTTCAAGGGCACACAGAACACCTTGCCAATGCCAGCTTCCTGTCATACAGTTAGCAGGTACTCTCTCAGGGAGCACAACTGAAGGACAGTGGAAAAGACAATGGCGTGCCTTTGTTTATATCACAAAAATGAAGGCTCCAAAGCTCCCCAATCTGCAATGTTCACATTCCTTCCTAAGCTTCCCACAAGTCCCTAGAAAAACTTCTCAAGATGACTATGTCTTATACATTCTGGTAACCTATATCAGGACTCAGAATAACAAGAAAAAAGAACTGAGCTCCAGTGAAATTTGAGCAACATCAAAGACTACCTAACAGTAGAGTTTCCTCTAGTACACTGATGGATCCTGGGTTTCACTCCAGGAAAAAGTGATGAAGATAAACTGTGAAGTCACAATTACTGTGCTGCTTTGCATGCCAGGGAAACAAACGTTTAGTATACCAGGACCACCTGCTTCAGTGTGCAAAAGCACAGAATTCAGCAGCTACAAGAGCAATCTACACTCAGTAAAAATAATAGAAATAGGCCAGGAACCAGTCACTCACATTTGTAATCCTAGCTATTTAGGAGATTGTGGCTCAAAGCCTGCCCAGGCAGGAAAGTCTGTGAGACTCCAATTAGCCAGCAAAATGCTAGGAGGGAAGGTATGGCTCAAGTGATAGAGTGTTAGCCTTAAGAAAAAAGCTAAACAAGAGCATGGGGACCTGAATCCAAGCCCTGTCTCAGCACAAATAGATAAATCATGACAAAGACAGGCAGATAGAGAGGAAATAATGAATAAAATATAAAATAAAAAGTACAATAAAACCTGTGTGGTATACTGCTGACCCAATAGCACCACAATCACTGTCTCCTCACTGAGGCAGATAATTGAGAGGGACACCTAGTTTTAAACATGCAGAGGAGGAACACCCACAAACACAGTGGCTCTCCACCAGCATGTGCCTCGGCTGGCATTCCTCACATCGGAGCCCAGCGGCCCCTGGTTTGCAGACACACTGGCCGGATGTACGGTCACAGTCACTGTGAATGGAGCCGTGTGGGTTGCAGTCACACTTCTGACAGCTGCCGCCCGGCACTTGAGGGTTGCCATGGTAGCCTGTGGAGCACCTAGAGAAAGGAAGAGATTACTGCAGTCAAAGGTAGTCAGGAAAGACACATACCTGATCCTGGCAATCATTTCTACCTAATGAAATGCAAAGCATGCTTCCACCTTGGGAGATCTAGGTTTGGAATAGTACTTAGGCCTCACATCCATTAAGAACACACAAATTGATCATGGCTTCCAAATCACTATGCTAAGTGTCTTCCAAAGGGGCAGGCATCTCTAGAATCAACAGCGTACCTTTCACAGAATTGTCCTTCGTGGCCTGGGACACAGGCATCACAACGGAAGCCACCAGCACCCTCCGGCACACAGGTGGGACTGAAACTGGAAGAAAATATTTTTTTTCATGAATTTTCAGGTATGGAGCTTAAAAGCCTCCTGATAATTCTTATTCATCACTTTGGGGGAATGCCATACTCTCCAAAAGTTAAGCAGCTACATTGATAATTGGACAGATTTTATAGAGTTAGACTTGATGGGCCAAAAGGACAATAATGATGCACGAAATGTTAGGTCTGCACATATCATGTGTCCAGAGACACTGAAGAGGTAGACTAGAAGAAGAACAACAGGGTCCCTCTAGGCCCCCCCCCCTTTTTTATATTTTTTAATTGTAAAAATTCTGTACAGAGGGGTTACAGCTACATGAGTACATTTCCTACCAAGCATTGTTGCCTCCTCCTTTGTTTTTCCCCTATCATCCTTTCCTTCCCACCTCCCCAACTATTCCCTCCCCGTATCCCCCATCCCTCTAGGTTTGATTACTCAGAAGCTCATCTGCTTTATGAACTCATGTTTTCTGCTCATTCCTCGTTTTTCAAACCCTTCCACATTTTAAATTACCCAGGCGCCATCTAGAGGCTACCTTGCATACCTGTAAATAATTCAAAACCAGAGTCAACTGAATTCAACAAAGCCTGCTAGAATCAAGTGGAGATCCTCCTGGGCTAGGAGGATTCCAGATGCCCCCTCCCTCAGTGTGCTCCCTCCTCCTCCCCCCAACTTCCAACTGATTTTAGTCCCTCAGTGTGAGGAAAAAGACTTCAATGGAAACACAAAATACTCTGGAAAAAGTAAAGTATGTGTTTTGGGTCCTCTCAGATGCAGAGTACACATAGAATGTTGGCACCCACCCTCACAATCTCCTTTGAGTTTAGTAATAAGGATGGGGAAATAATGAAACTTTTTTGTGATGGAAAAATTAAAATGCAGTATTCAAACTACAGAAATGTGCAGAGCAGAAAGGTGAACTATCCATTACAATATTTCTTTGTGGCTTACATATGCCCATGTTCCATGGATATGGTAATATAAGGGGTAAGAATTCATTCCACAGTGGCACCATACCATACCTTCACTTACATACTTCCTTTGGGCATGATGCTAGTTATTTTCTTTAAGGTAGGGAGTATTAAGGTTTGAACTCAAGGCTTTGTACTTGCTCAGCTTGCTTGCTGAGTTAGCACTCTATGACACGAATCATGCGTCCAGCATGGACTTTTGCTTGTTAATTGGAAATCCCATGGATGTTTCTGCCCAGGCTGGCTTTGAAGCCAGTGTGCCAGGTTGCACTTGTACAGACTCACCTGGCAGGGGGGTGGTGAGGACAGGCACATGGAGAGCAGTCCTGTGGGGAGCCTGTTACTGTCCCATAGTAGCCAGGGGCACACACATCACAGTGGTCACCAGCTGTGTTAGCACGGCAGTTCTGGAGCCAAGAAGAAAGTAAACACAGGGCAAGGGTTAGACATCATACTTACATGGTAACAGCTAAACACGACCAGGTTGCATATTAGCTAATCCATCCTTGCTTGCTTCCTTTCTTCCTTTCCTCCTTCCTTCCTCTCTTCCTCCCTTCCTTTTTCTTAAGGAAGAAGGAGCATTTTTCTTCATTTTTTTTAATCCTTGAAAGCTTTCCATCTTTGGGGTCTTCATTCATTGTAAGACTATATTCATGTAACACATTCTATAAATTATTCAGGAAAACAGCCTGGAGAACCCTTAAAAAAAACTAGTCCTTTCAGAACTTTAAAATCAGGATAAAAAATATCCAATGACCCACAGATGATTCCAAAGCTGGTTGAGGCTCAGTCAATACATGGAGGAATTTGATGCATCAGAAATAAACCAGTAGAGGATTTAGAAAACAGGTGATAAGAAAAAATTCATGGCTTTAGCACACCACCAAGTGACTCATGTAGTAAATACTATTAGACTTGTTATCTTCCTATTAAAGCAGAGTACATTGTTTTTAAGCTAAAAGCATGAGCAATCCTGTCTTCTGATTCTAATTTCAAATCTGCTTTTGCTCAATCCATCATTATTTGTTCAGCTACTGTGCATAGCCTTAAGATCTACTGCTGCTGAGATGGAAAGGCATCTAAGCCAATGGAAAGGCGTCTATAGCCAAAGCCCCCAGTAAGCTCTCAGATAGACTCTCCCTTACAGCCCTGGCAGTGAGAGATTATATTGAAAGAAAACTTTTTAATGTTCAAAAAATTATTTGGTTGGGTGCCGATGGCTCACATCTGTAATCCTAGCTACTCAGGAGTCTGAGATGTGAGGATGAAGGTTCAAAGCCAACCAGGACAGAAAAGTCTGTGAGACCTTATCTCCAATTAACCATAAAAAAGCTTGAAGTGAAGCTGTGGCGCAAGTGGTAGAGCCAACTGTATCATCATTAAGCTTATTTTACTTTGCATGGCTATAATAACGGATATCCTATGTATATTAGAGGACAGCAAAAGCAATGACGAGTTTTTCACTGTGGAAATAATGTGGTCCCCTTTCCCCCCTAACTCCACCTGTGCACTGCTATCATTTACGGGTTTTTTTTCTCCCAGAAGAAACTGCATTTAAAATTCACATATAAGGCATCCTGATTGGAAGAGGAAGTTAGTTGTGTGTGGCTGACCAATCTTAATTTAGTAATATATTAAAAAGGAGCAAATGCAGAGCAAGATACAAATAATGTATTGTGTTATTCCACTTGAATGTGTGTGTGTGTGTGTGTTTGTGTGTGTATGTGTGTGTGGTCAGTACTAGGCTTAAATTCAGAGCCTTGAGCTCTTGCTTGGCTTTTTACTCAAGGCTGGTGCTATACCACTTGAGACACAGCTCCACTTCTAGCTTTGTGCTAGTTAACTGGAGGTAAGATCTTGCCTTACAGATTTCCCTGCCTGGTCTAGCTTCAAACCCTGATCCTCATCTCAACCTTGTGAGTAGCTAGGATTACAGGCATGAGCCACTGGTGCCTGGCTGAATGTATATTTTTCAAAATGCAAGGGGAGAGTACTACTTTCCACAGAGAAACCCATTTCCATAAGCATTTATTTATTTTAGACCTCTAGGTGAGCCTTCAAATTCCATGACTACAACTTTCTCATCTACTCTGGCCTTAGCCACCAGACCTGCAAATAAAAATAAGAACTTTAACCTAATCTCCAGCTGATGCCCTTGGTAAACAAACTCATAAATGAAGTAAAACTTGTAAAATAATTTCCACTGGCTATGTGAGACCACTTAGCTACACTTTCCTCCAGGAGCCATATTTTGTATTTGGGTACATTTAGCCTCTTGCTAAATGAAGGAACTGTGTATTCCATTTAGTAATGACTACACAGCGGGCATTTGTCACTCAGGGTCTACAGGCCAAACCCACAGGATAAGCGTACCAGACACTTCCCAGTTTCTGGGTCACAGGAGTCACTGTGGTTGTTGCAGCTGCAGGGCACACAGGGAGCAAGCAGAGGGGGAGGTCCTCTGCCACCATCTTCTGGAAGCTTCCCTCTGTGGTACCCAGGGGCACAGTCCTGAAGGCATGAGAAAGGACAAAAAAGTGACCAATCTGCTTATAAACTGAGTAAAGAATTCAGATACATTTGACCACGACTGATGTTTCAATGGCCAATGAGCATGTAGAAAGTTCAACATCACTATCATGAAAGAAATACAGGTCAAACACAAATGCAAATCATGAAAGATACCATCTCTCACCCAGTAGGCTGTCAAGAGAAAAAGACAAGTAGATGGACACATAGAGAGGATCATTAGTATATATACACATAAGCACATGGACTGAAGTATGGGTTTTGCCGGGGAGAACAGCAATGGTGTAACTCCTTGGACAACTAACTTATGGCTTAACAAAATGAAGCATGTTTTTATTGGGCAGGTGTGAGGACAAAGGAAAGGAGAACAGAATAGTGGAGAGAGGAAAGATAGGTAAATACATTCATGGTCCTCAATGTACATGTGTGAAAATGGAGCCAGGTAACTTGAAGGAATGGGTGGGGGGGTTGGGAGAGAAGGGAGAATGGTGGAGGAATGACACTGATCAAGATGCATTGTACTCAGAAACTGACATGTTGAAATGAAACCCTTTAGTACAACTACTGAGAGATAATATAAAACTAAAGATAAATAATATTTTTAAATAAAACAATAAAAAAAGAAAAATGACAAATGATGGTGAGGATCTGAGGGTATGGAGAAACTAGAAGAGTATGGAAGTTCCTCTAAACTTGAAAATTGAATTATATGATCCAGTAATTTTTATATCTTGGATGCTCAAAAGAATTGAATGCAAAAACTTGAAGAATATTTGTATTCTCCTTTTCACAGCAATCTATAGCCAAAAGCAGAAGCAACCCAAGTACCCACAGAAGGATAAATAAACAAATTAATGAAATTAATCCATATAATAAAATATTATTCAGCCTTAAAAAGGAAGTTCATGCTGGGTGCCAGTGGGTCATGCTTATAATCTTAGCTACTGAGGAGGCTGAAATCTGAGGATCATGGTTCAAAGTTTACCCAGGCAGGAAACGATTCAAAGTTTACTCAGGCAGGAAAGTCCATAAGACTCTTATCTCCAATAAATTACCAACAAACCTAGAAGTGGAGCTTTGGCCCAAGTGATAGAGTGCTAGCCTTGAGCAAAAGAAGCTCAGAGACAGAGCCCAGGCCCTGAGTCCAAAGCCACAAGACCAACACAAATATACATGCTACCATACAACATGGATGAACCTTGAGGGTATTAAGTTAAGTAAAAAAGCCAGTCACAAAATTCCAAATGCTGGCTGGACATCAGTGGCTCACACCTGTAATCCTAGCTACTCAGGAGGCTGAGCCCTAAGGATTTAAAATAAATATATCTATGATAAATGTTGTACGGTGTATTATATATAATAATACATAACATATAATGCATTATAGATAAGTATACATATCACATTATGTTATATATAATACACATAACTTTAGAAAAAATTTGCTCACAAAGAAATTTTAAAAATGACAACTAAGATACACATAGGCTCTGTTCCTCACTTGGAGTTGCTATAAATAAGCAGATTCCATCTTGAAACCAGAAATCAGAGTTTAACTGAAGTCTCCTTACCTGGCATGAGAATCCAGTGGTGCCTGGAGGACAGATGCAGCTCTCTAATCGAGAGGCTGACTCCCCCCTGGGATGTAGATCCCCAGCCTTTCTGCCAACCTCCATTGAAATATTTGAGATTCTGTGCACAGAAGGCATGAAAAAGCCAGAACAGAAATGTTAATGTTTGAAAAACTTCTACAAACATTGCAAGTGACACAAACATCTGCATATAGATTAAACTAGAGAATTCCTACCACTCTAGGGTAGGGCCCACTCAGGACTGCAAACACAACTCACTGCAGTGTGAGCATGGCATACCTCAGTGACTGTACTCAGCTAGCAAGTTAGGACTAGGAATGACGTTGCAGGAGACACAGATGAAAGGCCTCTAGAAGGACTGGCTTGCATAAGTCCTAATGCCTAAGTATTCAAAGTCCTAATAATAAACTGGGTACTGGTGGCTCGTGCCACCAGGCTAAGATCCAGGATCATGATTCAAAGCCAGCCAAGGCAGGAAAGTCCATGAGACTTACCCCCAATTAACCACAGAAAAAGCAGGAAGCAGAGGTGTGGCTCAAGTGGTAGAGCATCAGCCTTGAGCAAAAAGGCTCAGGGACAGCATCCAGGCCCTGAATTCAAGGTCTAGTATCACACACACACACATTAAAATGAGTAACTAGATGATGCCTGTGTTCTTTATTTATCATTATAACGTATAGACCTTGCAGCTTTTAAGAGCAGAAATGAGCAACTTTCTTTTTCTTTTTCTTTTGTCGGTTATGGGGCTTAAACTATGAGCCTGGGTGCTGTCCCTGAGCTGTTCAGCTCAAAGAGAACACTCTACTATTTGAGCCACAGCGCCACTTCTGGTTTTCTGAGTGGTTTATTGGAGATAAGAGTCTCACGGACTTTCCTGCCTGGGCTGGCTTTGAACCATGATCCTCAGATCTCAGCCTCCTGAGTAGCTAGGATTACAGGCATGAGCCACCAGCACCCGGCTGCAATTTTTTTTAATATTGTCTCCATCTAAAATTCACCATAATAGACTTACATTTTATTTAGACAAATGAGTGGGCAGTCAGTAACTTGTAATTTACACATTCCACCCATAGTTTGGATTCGTTATCATAGTTATCATAATTATCATAGTTTGGACTTAGAAAGCCCTCGTACATTAAGTCTCCTAAGCCTGGTCCCCCTGGGGAGATTACAGCAACTCTAGGAGGTAGGGTTTCCTTTCCCTTGGGCATTTTGTCACAGCAATGAAAAGCTGGCCAGCACAGATATTACTAGTTAGCAAAACCTGGATAAGGAACAGATCCCTATTCCTACATGTATTCATGAAAATATAAATAACAGGAATGAAGTGAGTCGAATCCTTTTAGGTCTATGTCAAATAAGGAAAAGATTCAAAGTTCTAGACACTTCCAAATACCTGCTTTGCTGCAGTCCATGCCCGTAGGATGCCTTGATGAGGATGTACTCAATATTGCTGAGAACAGACATGAAGTCTGAGCGGGTGACAGGCTTTTCAGAAACAGAGTTAAAATATTTCCAAAAATTCTGTGGATGAGAAATATACTCAGTGAAATGCTGCATGAATATGACCTTATAGTGAAGGCAGTTCTGTCATAAATGTTTTCAGAAATCACCTCTGACAAAGATCTGCATTTATGATAAATAGATATACAGAACCCAAGACAGTGCCAGTCAACATTCAACCATCAGCTGCTGCACAAGAGACATTTCCCAAGTTCTTACAAGTCCAGAGACTTCTGTGCCACACATGTGTGCAGGTTGATGCGAAAGCAGCATGGTGAAGCACTTAGCATGAAATTCCTACCAAATGCACATCTACTCCCCCTTGTCCTCAGGGAGCACATTCTAAAACCCCCACTGTATGCTTGGAATCTCCTATGGAGCAAACCTCTACATGCTATGCTTTTCCTATACATAAATACTCACAAGACAGTTTATAAACCAGGCACAGTGAGAGATTAAAAACAGTATGCAATAATGAAGTAGGACAATTACAAACAATACTGTAATTAGCTGAGTTCTGGTGACTTGCCTCTCTCATTCTAGCTACTTGGAAGGACACTGAGATACTAAAGATCAAGGTTTGAACCCAACCCAGGCAGAAAAGTCCCCAAGACTGTCTCCAATCAGCCAGCAAAAATCTGGGCTGGAGGCATGGCTCAGCTAGAACATCAGCCCTAGTGAGAAAGCCAAGCAAGCATAAGGCCCTGAGTCCAACCTTACTACTAGGCCACAAACAGACAAGTTAATGTAATAAATTACTAGCATACTTCTCTTGTTCTTTGGAGCCATTATTAAGTAAAATAAGAGTAACTCCACTGACAGCTTATCTGAAAACCCTACCCTGGTACTAAATGTCCAACAGGCAGGCAGCATATGCATTCTGGACATGCTGGACAAAGCAATGTAAAATCCCAGGTAGGGCTGAGAACAATGACATGATATTTCATCAGGCTGCTCAGAATGATGTACAATTATTTTCTATTGAATATGTCTGAGCTTCAATTGACAGTGGATAGCTGAAACTAAACCTCAATTAAGGGAGTGGGGGTGGGGGAGGGCTTCTATAGACCTTTCTTGATGATCAGAAACCTGAACAGTATTTAGAAACCTTTCTAAAACCCACTGGAAGATGCATCCCAGGGTGGTTTTGTTCCTTCTATATTCAGCAACTGTGGACTTTTGTGTCAAGGATGGCCACGCTCCCTTTTTTAAGGAGCATATGTGGAAAGATAGCATGGTCACCTCGTGCATGGCCACCACTCGGTCTTGCCGCACTCCATTCTCTGGGGCTGGCTCGTCCATGTAGATGACGTGCTTCCGGGCCCGGCCTCCTTTGATGAGAACTTGAGGCTCATAATTGGAGGTGCCCGTACCAGTCGAAGAGTAGAAGGCCACACTGTACCGCAATTTGCCTCCATAGGCCAGGAGCTAACAAGTAATAAACTCTTGTTTATTTCTCTGGGACAGCCTTGGTTTAAAAGCAAGCCTGCCACTATAAGAAAATAATGTTAAAAATACATCACCCACAGTAGTACTCACTGGACACTATGTTGAAAATTAACTATACAATTTGAGTGTGGGATAGGAGGGGAAAATTGGGAGAGTGAGGGAGGAGATGACATTGTCTAAAAAGAAATGTACCCTTTAACTGACTGATGTAACTGTAACCTTTCTGTATATCACCTTTATAATAACAATAAAATAAAAAAATACACCAACCAATACTTAGTAGGCAGAGATAGGAGGATTTTCAGATTAAGGCTAGTCTGACAAAAAAAGTCATTGAGACTATCTGTTAACAAGCCAGTATAGTATAGTATAGTAGTTTATACCTGTATAGTATAGTATACTAGTTTATATATGTAATCCCAGCTACATGGAAGACATAGGAGAATCATGGTCTAAAGACATACCCAGGCAAAAGTATGAGACCCTACTTGAAAAACAAACTAAAGCACAAGAACTGGGGACATGGCTCAAGTGGTTGAACATCTGCCTAGCAACTCTGAGCCAGGCCCTATGGTCAATCTTCAGTATTAAGCAGGAGAAGGGATGGGTGTGGAGGGAAAAGTATATCTAATGGGTGAAATGTCCGGTCTGGAATTTGCTTCCTTCTGATTCTTAGTTATGATTTATTCTGTTAACCCAAGCTATACTTCTTCCTGACGATATCAATAGAGGTGAGCTCCAAAATAAATGAGTGGATTAACTTCTATTTTAGAACTCCTTTTAATTAAAAATAATATGTATAGCTGTCAGAGGCTCATGCCTGAAGACTGAGATCTGAGAATCACAGTTTGAAACCAGCCTGGGAAGGAAAGTTTGAGGCTCTTATCTCCAACTAAATACCAAAAAGTCATAAGTTGAGCTGTGGCCCAAGTGGTAACTAACCTTGAGCCAAAAGACTCAGGGATAGCATTCAGGTTCTGAGTTCAAGCTCCAGTCTCTCTCTCTCTCTCTCTCTCTCTCTCACACACACACACACACACACACATACACACACACACACACACAATTATGTATGAAGCCTAGCATTGGTAGTGGTTCATGCTATAATCCTAGCTACTCAAGAGGCTGAGATATGAGAATTGAGGTTCAAAGCCAGCCCAGGCAGGAAAGTCCATGTGATTCTTAACTCTACTTAACCAGCAAAAAGCCAAAAGTGGAACTGTAGCTCAAGAGCACCAGCCTTGAGTGAAAAGTTAAAATAGATAGTATCCAGGCTCTGAGTTCAATCCCCAGTACCACAACACCAAAAAATAATATGTACATGTGTGTGTGTGTGTCTAATAGAGTTTTGTGCACAATTGTTAAACATTAGCTGAATTCACACATAGACTCTGATATTTATATAAACAAAAAACGAGTCAGTGCCTCTCACTACTCTTGTATAGTAGTTTCTTGAAACTCCATGTACATGAGTGATTTTTACCCCAACTGGGTATCTCTGCCTCCACATGGAAGAGGAACTAAGGATAGGAAGACACAGTCTACTCTGGCTTTAAATGCTCTCGGTGCCCCCTGGAAAGGGGCGTGGGAATGGTGAGCACCCTGGTGTGTGCTCACCTGGTCTCCTTGGAAGTGCTTTGGCAGTCGCCAGTAGAATGGCTCTGAGTGGACATGCTGACGGACAGTCACGGCATCCAGCAAGACATCAGGGGCCTGGAAATGCACACCCTTGGTTGTGCCCCACAGATCACTCTGTGATACCACACGCAGAAGAGGCTGATCGGAGGCCAGCGTTACCTGGTCATGGAAAGGAGAACGCACTTCTGGTTAAACGACACCCCCACATGTGATCTGTTAGATGCCACAAATGTTTCCCAGATACACTGCTTTGGGCCTTTGTCCTTCACATTCACCATCTGCATTAAAATGCCTACTGCCTTTTAGGGCCAGGCTCTTCCCTCTCTAGAGCAAGAGACCATGGCAGGAAGGGGACAGCATGTTTTGGTTTTGTCTTCCTTCTCTGCAGGAAGCCTTCCATAGATCAGCCAGGAGCCAGCACCAATCCCCTTCAGTGCCAGGTCCATCTGTTTCCCTGGACAGCCCAAATGCAACTGATCCATTTCCTAACCAAATCAGAGATCTAGGATTTTTGATTCCACAAAGGAAAGTCAGTATCAATCTGGACTGTCCCCTCTATGCCCACCTGATTCCCAAGGGAAAGGGAACAGTTGGACTGCAGGAGTGACTCACTGGGGTCCTCACGTAGCCCTCCAACTCCGAGCAGAGCTGTGACAATCCAAAGCAGAAGCAGGGGGTGCATCCCAGGGGGTCGTCAGCATGCAGGCCGAAGGTGCCTGCTCGACATTCACTGCACTGGAGGCCAAAGACATTGTCCTGCAGGCACAAGGTAAGGGACTCATAAGTGGCCGGGAATGGAGGTGGGGCGGAGCAGGGGCATGCAATTTCCATACGCTCGGAGATGAACTGAAACAAAAGTAATTTAAGAGCCACAAACATCACTGAACTCACAGTGGCCTGAGACCAAGCCCTTAATTAAACCCCGCGAACACTGCTTCTCTCAGACTCAATGTGAGATTCCCAAACATGGCTGGCTAGCTGAATGGAATCCATCTACAAGCCTTTGGAAATATGTACTCCCTGATGAAAATCTTCTGGATTGGTCTCAACCCCACCAAGTGATTCTTAGGGTTCAGTTGGTGAGAAGGACCCCTGACCAGGTAATTGCCAAACTAGGTCCCTGCTGTAAAGATTACCATGAGAACTGTAATCAGAAAACCTGGTTTGCCAAACATCCAGAGACTGCTGCTTCTCTGCCTTTCTACCTATATGACTTTCCTCTTCATTGTTCCCAGCCACATAGTACCCATTACTTGCTAGTGGAACCTGTCCATCCATGTAAGAAAGGACCAGAGCACTGACCTCCTTGGGTTTAAAACCTGGCTACTTGGCGGGGCACTGGGATTATAGGCTCATGCCTATAATCCTAGCTACTCAGGAGGCTGAGATCCGAGGATCATGGTTCAAAGCCAACCTGGACAGGAAAAGTCCATGAAACTTATCTCCACTAAACTACCACAAAAAAGAAAAGCCATTAGTACAGCTGTGGCTCAAGTGGTAGAGCATCAGCTTTGTGCAAAAGAAGCTCAGGGATAGTGCCCAGGCCCTGAGTTCAAGACCCAGAACTGGCATTAAAAAGTCTAGCTACTCATTTCATACCCTCAAACCCCAGTGTACCAAGGAGAGAAAGGAAAGCAGAGGGTCGATGACAAATACCTTGCAGGTGCAGGCACCTGTTTTCTCTGCACAGCTGCAGAGACCCTGTTCTGGGTCGCAGGTGTCAGCCTGTGTGCCCCTCAGGTCGCAGTTACAGGAAATACAGTCAGGAAAGTCTCTGTAGCCCAAGGAGCACTGATCACAGTTGTGTCCATCAAACTCAGGCTTGCAGTGGCACTGGCCAGACAGCACATTGCACTGGGAACTGGTGGAGCCCTCATGGCTGCAATTGCATGCCTGAGGGGGGGGAGGGAGGGAGGAAGGGAGGGAGAGAGAGAAAGAAAAAAAAGAGCTCAACAAAAAGCCAGTCTTCATGTCTCCATCACCCACAGTTCTCTGGATTCCAGGAAAGCAGGAGATGAAGAGAAATGATACCAGTGAATGGAGCTTTCTCTTGTTATAGCTTTATGGATTCACTTTGCCTATGTGCTAACAGGAGAAGGGGATGACATTTTGGGACATCTGCCAGCTGCTTATCTTGTGCGCACATGCACGTGCACATGCTTGTGTGTGCTGGTACTGAACTCAGGGCCTCTTGCACTTCCTTAGCTTTTTGCTTTAAGCTGGTACTCTATCACTTGAGCCACAGCTCTACCTCCAACTCTTTACTAGTTTACTGGAGATAAGAGTCTTGTGGGTATTTCTGCCTGGGCTGGCTTTGAACCATAATCCTCAGCTCTCAGCCTCTTGTGTAGCTAGGATTACAGGCACAAGCCAGCAGGGCCTAGAAACATCTGAGAATTTTAGGGACAGCTGAGCTCTGGGCCACAAATAAAATTAAATTTCATAGGTCTAAATGACTTAGCAAAATTATTTTAGAGGCCAAGTAATTTTTCCCACAGTTTTAAAACATGACATTCTCTTAGGAAGTAGTACTCACTGCAGGGCTAAAGGGCACTAAAAAAATGAAAGAAAAAAACAATTCCTAGACATCTACTTCACAGCTAGGTTTCTGAAGAAAAGCCCAAAACAAGGCCTTTGAGAGGTATTACCTCTTCCTTGTTTATTCCTACAAGTATATGAGTTCTGTTTTATTTATAGCTCTATTCATTTCATCTGAATGGAGTCTCGTTGTGTTACCCACACTGGCCCAGAACTCCCGAGGTCAAATGATCCTTCAGCATCAGATTCCCAAGTATCTGGGATTGTAGGTGTGTACCTCTAAACCATCATACAGTTACAAATCAAACCAATGGAGAAAAGAAAAGTTGTTTTGCTAACAACAACTTTGTAGCAGTACGCACCTGGCATCCTCTTTCCACGTCCAGGCCCCAGTACCCATCCTCACACTCCTCACATTTGGGACCCCGGGTATGAGGAGGGCACAGGCATTTTCCAGATTCAGGATCGCAGGTATGGTGAGTATGAGCGCAGTCACAGGCTGAAAGAAGACAAGTGTCATTATAGCTCTGAATGGTTGAGGTGGTTAAAGGGGAGAGCATTGCTGTTACAAGTTATTTCAAGTTATTAATAATTGGAGCCACTGTTTTAGTTCCTCTAGTAGACTTCCAAATTCCCAAGATTCCCCATTCCCACCACATGTCTCCTGAAGGTGGCTGTTCTTTGTTGGGAGATCTTCTGAGAGACTGGAAATGGCCACCGAGAGGGAAAAAGGAAGAAAAAAATCAGAGGAGCTGGGAAGGTGGCTCAGTGGTAGAGCGCTTGCCTCATATGCATGAGGCCCTGGGTTTGATTCCTCAGCACCACATAAGTAGAAAATGCCAGAAGTGGCCTCTGTGGTTCAAGTGGTAGAGCGTTAGCCTTGAGCTGAAGAGCTGAGGGGCAGTGCCCAGGCCCAGAGCTCAGGCCCCACGACCGGTTTAAAAAAAAAAAAAGAAAGAAAAGAAAAGATCAGAAAAAAGAAGATCAGAAAAAAGTTGATGGGTAGAAGAAGAGACATTGATAATGTTCTTGAGCATCTCTTCTGTGCCAAATGCTGTGTTCAGGACATGACACACACCTCACAGTAGCCACTTATTGGAGATTATAATCAGCCTTCTATCTTACTGTTCAACAAACTAAGGTTATGTCACATTTAATAATTAATCTACACAATTAGGAGGTGGTAGAGCCAGAACCCAGGCTTATGCTTGTCCCTGAAAGGGATCAGAAATAGGGAAAGGATATGAAACTTTACAAGCAATGCTGAGAAAAGGTAACAGAACCTTCAGAAGTGATTCTAACGACAAGGGCACACCAAAAAAAAAAGAAAAGTGCAGGACAAGGAACACTCAAGGAACTTAAGATCTTACGTGTACAGCGACCATCCTGGTAGCCAAAGAAGCCATGGGAACACCTGTCACACTTTTTCCCAGCTACACCTGGTACACAGTGACATTGACCTTCATCCGTGCAATCATCTGACATAGAGCCCGTCACACTGCAGTTACAGGGCTGGCAGCCATGCCCCGAGTCCAACCCATAATAGCCAGGCTACATCACAAAAAGGGAAAAATCAGGTGAGTCATTATGCCGTTCAGAAAATGTCTACACACATTAAAATGCTCCCCAAAGCACACATAGGGTGTTTCACAGAATCATGAATATTCATGACTCCATTCCGCCCCTTTGTTGCTGAACACTTGCTGTATTTGAGAAGCAGGCCAACCTTGCATGGGCCATGAACACAGCTCTACTGAACCCTAACAAAGGTGACACACCTCACCACAAATGCTTTCACTGCATGTAACAACCAGTGGGTGCTTACCAGGCACTGGTCACACTGCTGTCCAGTCACGTGAGCTTTGCAGTCACACAGTCCAGTGTCAATGTTGCACACACCAGAAAGGGAGCCGTTTTCATGGCAGTCACAGGCTAGGCACACATGACAGTCAGTGTCACTTCTGGTGTGGTTACAGTACAATCCTCCAATCTCAAAGAAAAACTTAAAGACTCTATGTACCAGCTCACATATAAAAATAATATAAGTCAATAGAACATGTAATATGGCATATTAATGTGTCACATATAAACATACATTTAAACTACACTGTATATACTTACATGTAAAATATAAATACCTATATGTTTAATTATATAATTATATGTATTATTGATACACTATTTTTAGATAGTATACACACTCTGTAAATAAACATAAACATACGAATACATTTTATATAATCTTAAAATAGTATTAAATATAAATATTCTATGCTGGATGTTTAATATATAAGAAACTACAAGAGTATATTAGTTTGTGGCATAAAAAATGTTATATATAACACATAGTATATAATATATAAGTTTAACGTACCATAAAATATATCTAAACACTATATATTATGTGCTATTTATTTAATACATAATATTCTATACAAAGATATAGAATATTAATTTTATGATACAATACAGCATATTACATATATACTATATATAATATACACTGATTTTAGTTTGATCTCTAACAAGCCTATAAGTATACACTTATACATATAATTTACACATATTAATTTACAATAAATAAATTAGCACTTCCCTGAAGAATAAACCAAATTAAGGTTGATGACACAATCACACAAAAAATTCAAGCAATTAACATAATACTACTAAAGCCTTTAAGACAATAATTCACTAAACAAATTTCATGAAATGACTTAGTTGATCTATAAATATTTATCAACAAATTTCTATTAAAACAATACTAGGAAGATTTCAAATTAGCAGACACATTTGGTGACATATGCATGGGCCTATAATCCCAGCATATGTGACTGAGGCTCAGGCAGGAAGATCAAGAGTTCAAAGCCAGTCAGACGCTGATGGCTCATGCCTGTATCCTAGCTATTCAGGAGGTTTGAGACCTTAGGATCACAGTGCAAAGCCAACCTGGACAGGAAAATCCCGGAGACTCTTATTTCTAATTAACCATCAAGAAGCTGGAACTGGAACTGTGGCTCAAGTGGTAGAGCACTAGTCTTGAGCACAAAAGTTTAGGGACAGCACTCAGGTCCTGAGTTCAAATCCCAGGACTAGCATGTATGTGAACAGGCTCACAAACACACAGCATATTACACATATACTATATATAATATACACTGATTTTAGTTTGATCTCTAACAAGCCTATAAGTATACACTTATACATGCACTTCCCTGAAGAATAAACCAAATTAAGGTTGATGACACAATCACACAAAAAATTCAAGCAATTAACATAATACTACTAAAGCCTTTAAGACACACACACATACACACACACACACACACACACACACACACACACACACACACACACACACACACACACACACCAAAACTGGTGTTATTGCTCTGGTGCTATTGCTCTGGAAAGCGTTTGAATTTTCCTCAGAAAACTAAACATAAAACTACCATATGATCCAATAATACCAACTCTTGGGCCTTTAAAAGATCACAAATAAGGATAGAAGAAAATCACTTGCACAACCATGTTCATTGCTGCACTAGTTGCTACAGTAAAGACATAGAAACAGCTTAAATGCCCATGAATGGATAATTTGATCAAGAAAATGTGTATGTATATACCAGTGTAATTTGACTTATCCATGAAGATAATGATATACCCATATCATTTGTAAAGAAATGGATGAATCTGGGCAAAATTGTGCTAAGAGAAGTCAAGTCCAAGGAGACAAAGGACATATATTTTCTCTCTTTTATGAAAGCTAGAACTAATTTATAAATGTACAAGTAAATTCATATGGGGTTGTATGTAGTGTACACAAATGTATTAACCAAAGTATGGTGTATCCAGAGAAATTAAAATGATGTAACTCCTTAGAAAAATGAACTCACAATTCAACAAAATGAATACCAGGAAGCTAGTACTTGAAATGTGGAGAAGGAGTCCAAGAGGGGGATAAGGGGGGAGATGAATTGAAATTAGGAAGGGGGAGGAGAATGAAGTCATAATATTCAATGTTTATCCTATGAAATTAGGAAAACTGACAGGAAGGGTTGGGTTGGGAGGGACCAGGAAGAATGACAAAAAGGATGACACCAATAAAGATGCATTGTTTTTATAGACTGATTTGTTGAATGGTAACTCCTTTGTATAATTGCTTAAAGATAATAAAAATACAAAAAAAAAGTTCAAAGCTAGCCTGGGCTACATAGAAAGACTGTGTCTCAGAAAAAGCAAAAGACAATTTAGCCATTTACTGTCATTCAATCTTGTATAAACTTAATATTTTAAAATGAAATTATAACATCCTCTAGGCATTGTCCATATCAGTATCTCATATTTTAATAAGGAATATTTCTGTTTTGTAAGTCTTGAGTCATTTGTAGTTTCAGGCTACACATTCCAGTTTATCTCATTACTCCATCAATATTTAAAGCTACAAACTTTCCCAGCACTCAAGAGGCTGTTAGGAAATATTTTTTTTCTCTATCACTGGCGCCGTCTTGTGCCTCATCTTGTAATGAAGTAAGACCAGCATTTATAAGAAATCATTAAAATTTCAATTGCCTTTTTTTATTCAGCTTCCTCCTTCTTCAGAACTGCGCCCCTCCCTGCCAAAAGGAGAACTTTGTAGGGTCAACCTCAGGGCCAAGTCATCTCAGATAGAAGAAAACAGACTTCTCTCAGGGAGTAATTCTACACCAGAGGTCATTTCAGTGCTTTGAGCCCAGCTTACCAAGGTGATGTGTGAGTCATACAGCTCATGTGCAGGCCACAAGGGCATGCCAATACCATGCATTGGTAATTTGGGGTCAAAGTCTCACTATTTCCCATTTTGCATCATGAAATCCCATCTGCCTCAGGCTACCCCTAAGCAGATTCAGAACTGTGACTCAGCTCTGAACATGGTCCATCCCTCATGTAGAAATGTGGGACTAGAGCTAAGACTTTGAAAAGAAACCCTTGCTCCTCAAATGGATGTTCCTTCTAGGCCTACAGTCTTCATTGACTCATTACAGAGGGAAAGACTGGGTCTTGAGTCTGTAGTCGATTAATTAGACCACATTAAATAAGAAAGATTCAAGGGAAGGTCCCCTCAAAGGCTAAGCTCAGTGAGTAGATGGAAGGAGACTCCCAGGGCAATATAGAGTGATGCTGACTTTTGAGCCCCTGCACTCACCACGACAATTTTTGGCAGTCACGGCATCTCCGTAGAACCCATCTGCACACCTTTCACAGTGGGCACCGTCCGTGTTTCCCAAACACTTCAGGCATTCCCCAGTGACCGAGTCACAGTGACCAGCCTCAGAGAGGTCCACATTGCCATTGCAGTCGCAGGGCACACAAGTTTCCCCGGGCACTGTTGGGTTTCCATAGTAACCGTCTGCACATCTAGATCAGAGACAGAAGGCAGGATCCAAACAGTACAATTATTCAAGACATGATTCCCACACTCTCCCAGGACTCTCTGAATGACTAGTAAAATAGATTATCTCTTGTCCATATGACTTACTATGGAAAAGATGTGACTGATCAGGTAGTCACCCGTCAGGATGATTGGAAAAGGTCCAAAATGAGGTCTAAATCCAGTAGACATGCACTCATCTATAGGCCCCAGTCTAACTCACCCCAGGCCACTTGGAATGTCACCCAGCACTCAATAGGCTAAGCCAGAGCTGGGTACTTAGACGTATGTAAGGGGAAAAGGCAACACTGGCTTTCCCGGAAGAACATGGCTACTAAATAAAACCATCTATCACTTTTACTATGAACCAGACAGAGTAAGGGACAAAAATGTGTGAGCCATAAATGCTATGGGCTCCTCACTGATTACACCTGTGTTTGATCCAAACTTGAGTGAGCCCAGGAGATGGACTTGTTCTCAAAATCTCTAGCTAGTTTTACCCTTTATTCCTTTCCATAGACATATTACTTTTTCTCTACGACTCCATGAAATAATAAATAAAAATAGTCCATACTCCACTACATATTTGGAAACAATTCTATCACTACATCTTATATATATATCAAATGATCACACTGTGGCTATCAGATGGGGACAGTTGTTATGATATATTTTTGAAGGGGTAGAGAATGAGACTCTCTAATGGACTGGTTGTAGGAAGAAATATTGAGTGAAATACAAATCAAGGATATAGCTTTAAATTTCCCTGGCCATTCGGGTAACAATTAAAATCAAAAACATCTAAAAAAGGTATTTTAAAATAAGCATACAGAATTTATATGGAATTAAAAACTAATGAATGTTGCCTGTTCTGAAGTCAGTAGGGAGGTGCAGAGTACCTCTCACACCAAGTTCCCGAGTAGCCTGGGGCACACTGGTCACAGAGCACTTCATCTTCATTGGTGAGGTGGCAGGTGGGGCTGAAACTGTGAAAATATTAGAAATGAGTGCAGGTTTTCAGCAGATGGTGTCAGTGTCTAAATACTGAAAATATTTCCTTTCTACTATAGCCTCATTCTTACAGACTTTCAATGTGTTCTCAGCCCTGAGTCCAGAACCCAATAGACTTTCAATGTGTTCTCAGCCCTGAGTCCAGAACCCAATCCTCTACACACAGCCCTCCCTGTAAGTCTCCTACTGCCTACTTCTCAGTCATTCTACCCACAATGCACTTGCTTCTCCCATCTGTTTCTGCCTGAGTTAACGGCTCATACCTGATGCCCAGATCATCTGTTGCTTCTTACAGGAAACCTGCTCAAAGCTCTGTGTTCCTCTTTTCAGGGCTTCTCAGGCACTGACTGGCTTTTCCTTCTCTGTGGAGCCTGGCCCACGTAATGGCAAGGGAACGCTCTCACAGGGTCCATATAATTATGTACAGGAGCTCTGACATCTCTCAAAGAATCCTGTTGCTCACTGAGTTGCCTCCAGAGCTTATTTGTGAGTCTGAGAGAGGCCTGCGTAGGACAACTGACAGCTGACAGTGCACCATCATCCCATCATAGTTAACCTTGTTGGTCTCTGCTATCTTTTGGGCATGATTTGAATGTGTTCCCCAGTGGGGCAATGGTGAGAAATGGTAGTATCTTTAACAGGTAAGATCACCTGAGTTGACTAGGAAATTGCAAGACTGCCTTTGGATGGGATTTAGGTGGGTGCCTCTCATGGACTTTAAGTACTTTTTCAAGACCGTCATTACACAAACATGAGACTCATGTTGAAATCTCCTTTGTCATCAGCAGTCCCTCATCCTACAAGTAGGAAGCCATCCACAAGGAAGTACTCAGCAGAACTTCCAGAATGGTGCATCGAATACACTTATTTTCTTCCTAAGTTACCCAGCTTCAGGTATTTCACTATAGCCACAATGAAAAGTGTATCTCAATAGAGCATCTTTTTCTAGCCTGGAGTTTTAAATAAAAAAGCCCTGGGGGGGACTTATTGGGAATGGGTGAAATAAAAATAGCAATAGACAAACCAGTGAGACAAAGAAGAGGCTTTCAAACCATTGGCCTGTGGGATATACATGACCCAGCTGACCTACAAGTCCTTGCTCAATATCTCTTCCCGTCTCCTCTCCTGCACTCGATCCCAGGCCACTTGCAGCTCCTCATATTTCATGTGAGTGCTCACGCTGCCATGACCTGGTGCCCTCACTTCCTCTTTCGTGGAATGCCTTCTATGCTCCAATCCCTTCCTCAGAAGCATCCCTTGCACCCCTCCACTCCTGCCGTCTGGTGGACCCACCTCCATCACATTCATTATGGTCCTGGGGCCAATAGCCATGGATCAATCGCCCGCTGTGACAGCAGGCAGGCCAAGAAATGTTTTTTGAATCAGTCACTGAATTTAGACCTTTCTCATTTAGCCTTTCATTTTTTGGTCATTGGATCCAAAAATTTCAAAACCCAAGGGCAATGCTTCCTTTGTTTCCATATTCCTTCTATCTAGTGCCCAGTGGTAGGCATTACATGTGTATTTGTGAAGACAACATGACCAACATTAGACCAAGAGGAAGATATATGGACACATTTTTGCTCTCACACTTTTTCTTGTATAGTTCTCATACACCAAGCTTCTTAGGTTTTGTTGTTGTTGTTCTTTGGGTAATTTTTGGGGGGCAATACTGAGGTCTGAAGTTCAAACTCAGGGCTTTGTGCTTGCTAAACAGATGTTCCTACCACTTGAGCTATATCCCTTATATTAGTCCCCTCCTTTCGCTCTCCCCTTTCTTTCCCCCTTCTCCTCCCTTCCCTCTTCCCTTTTCTTCCCTTCCTTGTCTTTTCTTTGTGCTGGTCTTAGGGTTTTAACTCAGGGCCTAGGCATTGTCTCTGATTGAGCTTTTCTACCACTTGAACCATAGATCCATTTTTAGCTTTTGGCTTGTTTACTGGCAATAAAGAGTCTTTCCTGCTCAGGTTGGCTTTGAACTGTGATCTTCAGCCCTCAGCCTCCTGAGTAGCTAGGATTACAGCAGTGAGCCATGGGTGACCGAATTTGAATTAGTTATTTTTCAAACAGCGTCTCATGTTTTGTTTTGTTTGTGCCCAGGCAGGCCTAGAACACAATCCACTGTTTATACTTCCCATGAATCTAGTATGACAGATACATGTCATTATGCCCAGAAATTAGTTGAGATGGAATCTTGCTAACTTTTTACTGAGGCTGGCCTCAAACCACAACTTCCCAATCTCACACTCCCAAAGAGCAGGGATTACAACTTTCCAATCTTGCCCTCCCAGATGCTAGGATTACAGGCTTGAACCATGGTACTGGGCCACTAAATGTATTTAAAGGAGATAATCCCTACCCCTCCATCTCTAATTCTAGTTGGTTATTCCTGAGCAAGTTTCACACACAGCTCTGGAAATATATGAACACATCTCAGTGGGAAGCTGGTAGAAGAGGAAGGCTTACTTGTTGGAGGCTGTGGAAAGCGGGCAGGCACACGGCTGGCAGTCCTCAGCAGTTCCTCTTGAAGGCACCCCATAGAAGCCTGGCAGGCACTGCTCACACTGGTCTCCAGTGGTGTTGTGTGCACAAGCCTAGAGTTTATACATGAGAAGAGGAATTAGCTCAGGTTTCCTTACAGGATTTTCAGATTCACCCAGAACAACCTGAAGTCCATGTTTAAGTTTTTAAAAAATATGGAGAAAAAATATAACAAATTGCCAGCTCTAAGATATATATATAAGATATATATATATATATATGTGTGTGTGTGTGTGAAAGACCTTCCACTCTGGCCATGGCAGAGTACCTGGCAGACATTTGTGTATCCAGCAAACAATTAGAAAATGGAGCAAAATAGGCCAAATAACTCAGGTCCAACAAGAGAAACAGGTAGCAGGTATGTGATACCTGAGAGAGCTGAGGTGAGTCCTAAGCTTACACATCTATCTGTAGACACATGGTAGGTAATGGGTGCCCAGGCACAGTGCTAAGTGGAGGAAATGGAAAGGCTCATGTCTGTCATTCAGCTAGTCAGGAGGTAGACATCTTTTTGCAGTTCTGAATCGGTCCAGGGAAAAAGGTGAGACTCTATCCCAATCAATAAGTGGATTATAGTGATGTGTGCCTGTAATCTCAGCATGAGGGAGGCTATAATGGGAGGATCTCAGTTTGAGGCAGCCTTGGGCTAAAACGAGACACTCTACCTGAAAAACAACTCAAGTGAATAGAGCGAATGCATGGCTCAAGTGGTAGCATACCTGCCCACCAAGCACAAGGCCCCGAGTTCAAACTCCAGTACTGCAAAATATAAAAAAGTTGGGCACCAGTGGCTCACACCTATAATCCTACTGAGGGGGCAGAGAAAAGATCTGAAGATTCTAATTTGAAGCCATCCCAGGAAGCCAAATCTAAAAGACTCAAATCTCCAGTTAGTCAGAAAAAAAAATTGTGTCTCACAGGAGTAAAAAAGGCAAGCAAAAGAGATAGATGCCTGAATTCAAGACCCAGATCCATTAAAAATAAAAAACAAAACCTAAAAAGAACTCAAGGAAAGACTGGGTCAGTAGGAGTGGCTTGAGCCTTTGCTAGCAGACTGGGAGCAAAATTTAACCATCTGAACATAGCTCTTTAAGGGCAGTTGCATTTTAAGAATGCTATATACGTGCCTCTCATTTAGTGTGAGCATATTTAGTGTCTTATTAATACATTTGCCAGTACACTTAGTCCATATTTAATATACTTGATATATACTTCTGTAAATATGCAGTTATGGAAGCATGAGAAATATATGCTTTCAAACCAATCCTGACTAAAGCTACTAGCAGCAGGTCCACGGCTTGCCCATCACCTAGAGACACTGGCCTGGAAGACTAAACCAGCAAAATTAAAAAGAAAGGGAGAAAAATAAAAACAAACAAAAAGCCTCCTGAGTCTCTGGGAGCCATGCCTCTAAGGAAACCTACCCAAGGGGGACCAAGCCACCTGCAAACCAGCACTCGGGTGAGTCTTGAAGCAGAAAGTGAAGCAGAAAACCAGAGCTCATTTCCAAAAGGGAGAAAGAACCAACCAAATTCTCCTTGCAGAAGAAAGGAAGACTAGTCTCCAAAGACAGTCAGCAAGCTAGGACATCAGGGCCCCAGATCTTCTTGGTGGGCTGATAATTAATTTTCCCTGCCTTTTGACTCCATCAATCTCTTTTCCAAAGAGCCAGGAATGCCTCCCAGATGGGGGAATAGGGCATAGCCTAACAGCATTCACTCTGTCTTAGAAGACAGAATCCATTAGAACCCTGAGGGTGGTCTGACTGCAAGGCAAAACGGCCCTGCAGGAATTCCTGACTTAAGTTCTTAACTATAAAGCATTGTATAATTTGCATAACTTATAAAGTGTATAATTCCTCTTATGATTTACTCTGTAATATAATTTGTAAAATAATACTTTCATTTAAAAAATCTGCTTCTTCATAGTTAATAGGTATAAAGCTTTCCTTTATAATACTGGCTAACTAAATAACAACTTTCTTAGTGTATTAATGTTTAAAAAATAGGAATACTACATAGCCCTTTCCATTTCAGGTTGAGCTTTCTTTGGGATGAGGAATATTTTCTTTTACTTGTGGAATCCTGGGAATGAGACCTAAGTCTAATTAATTTTTGCTTCATGTATACCTTATACACACAGCCCAGAGGTAATGCTATATAGCAACTTTAGTCTGCTTATATTTTATCATATTTTCACATATGGCCAGATGTGGTCTTGTGTCATTGCTCAAAATGTTTCAGATTTAGGAACATTGCAGATTTCAGATTAAAGATGTTCAACTTGTTCCACTAAATCAACTTTTATTTCCCCCCAAACAGGTTAAAATATGTGCTTAGCAAACTGATGTCCTGAGTTTAAAACCTAGGATTAAAAAAAAAAAGGTGACGGGAAGAAAAGGAGTACTGAAGAAAAAAAACAGCAAACTTTTAAAGACATGAACTAGAGTTTATAAATTTCTGACAAAATTTGGGCTGTCCTGTGTGCATGCATGCTGGTACTAGTGCTAGAACTCAAGGCCTTGTGCCCGACTTTGCTTTTGTGCTCAAGGTTGGTGCTCTACCATTTGAGCCATACCATCACAACTTTTTTCTGGTTATTTGAAAATGAGTATCACAGATTTTCCTGCCCAGGCTGACTGAACCACAGTCCTCAGATTCCAGCCTTCTGAGTAGCTAGGATTAGAGGTGTGAGCCACTAGAAATGAGAGTTACGCCATGGGCAGATCTGAGTTGGGCAGTTGGGTTGGGAGTGGAGAGATTTCAGCAGTACAACTTACAAAGCAAACTCCATGAATGTCACATTCAGATGCATGGCCATGGCATTCACATGGCTGACAGATTCCTCCAAAGAGTATTCCATCCACACGATAGTAGCCAGGGATGCAGGTCTGCAAGACAAGTGGCCATTTGTGTTATGAATATGGCTTCCTTGTACCTACACAAAACATCTTTCTAATGCATTTGAAAAGTGAGCCCCTCAACTTTCCATGAACAGAGAAACATTTCTTGGGGTTTTTTTGGGGGGGAGGAATGTATCAAAAAGCTTGAACTCAGGGCCTGGGCACTGTCTCTGAGCTTTTTTTTTTTTTTTTTAATTTAATTTTATTTTATTTGTGAACAAACTGTACAGAGGGGTTACAATTGCATGGGCAGGATAATGCGTACATTTCTTACCAAGCATTGCAGCCTCCTCCTTTGTTTTTGCTCAAGGCTAGCACTCTACCACTTTGAGCCATAATGCCACTTCCAGGAGTCTGAGGGACTTTCCTGCCTGGGCTGGCTTTGAACAGTCATCCTCCTATCTCAGCCTTCTGAGTACTAGGATTATAGGGATGAGCCACCAGCACCTGGCTTTGTTTTTTCTATTTAAAAAAATTCATTGATATATCACTTACATGTCATAAATGTCACCCATTTTAACTGCAATTCAATGATTTTTGGTGAACTTACTGAGCTGGGTAGCTATATGGGCATCGTAATACACTTTCCCATTTCATTTTAAGGGTAGTAATACAAAGAAACTTAATGTCTGTGCCATGGGTCAGTAACTTAGTGACATCCTCTGGAACATGGCTACATCAGCAGTAATGTAAAGTTTTCTAATAGGCGTTTCCAGTAACATTAAGTTCTTTTTTTAAATTTCCCTTTCAAGTCAATATTTTTCTCTTTTGCTTATGATTCATTAAAGGTTACTATCAAACAATGGATGTGTTTAGGTCTATGGCACACTGCATCTGTTTAATTAAGTAGAGAATGAGGTTTGCTTTCTGTGGACTCAACTCAGAGAGACAATATGGGTGTCCAAGAATGCTCCTCCCTTCCTACTAGGAGCTGGCAACCAGCACACAGTGTGATGCACTAACTGTTAGACAACCCTGAGAAGCAGTATGCCTGGAGCACAGAGTCACATAGCATCCGGTGGCTGTGGGATCATTCAAGCAGGGCATACCATCCTCCAAGGTCACATCCAGAACCAGCTGCTAAGGGCTCCCACACAAAACATGCATTTACAGAGCAGACTTAGAAATGATTAATTTGGAACTCAGCACACTTCACTGGGGGAATAAGAATAAGGGATTGGATTTGTGTTTTGTTTTCTTTCAGAATCCAAAAGAATCTTCATGAGAATAATGCAGGTTTTTTTGCATGGAACTGTGCAAGTCTCCTAAGACCTTCACCCAGTTAGTGTCTCTTAGGGTCAAGGGCCTTGCTTGCAGTGGGCACTTGGTAGTGTCTCTTAGGGTCAAGGGCCTTGCTTGCAGTGGGCACTTGGGCATGGATTTTTATGTCATATTTTACACAGTTGCAAAGAATACTATCCCTTACCAAGAGCTGCTTGGTTTTCTGTGTGTTTGTTTTTTTGGTGTGTGTGTGTGTGTGTGTGTGTGTGTGTGTGTGTGTGTGTGTGTGTGTGTGTGTCTGCTCAGGGCTGGCACTCTACCACTTGAGCCACAGCTCCACTTCTAGCTTTCTGTTGGTTAACTGGAGATAAAAGTCTCATGCACTTTCTTTCCTAGACTGGCTTTGAACCTTGGTCCTCAAATTTCAGCCTCCTGAATAAGCTAAGATTACAGGTGTGAACCACCAGGGTCTAATTAGATGCCTTATTCTTTAGGTGAGCTCCTGAGTAGCAGTCTGATAGATTTCACATTTCTGATTAACAAAACACTCATGAACTTGCAGTCAGCCCTCCACATCCACAGATCACTAACCACAGCCAACCAGGAACAAATGAACTCAGGGGGAAAAAATCTATCTTAACTGAACATATACATACACAGCTATAATGGTAGCAAGTTCACTTCTCAATGTGACCACTTCCTAGCTGGGTGGCCAGATGATAGAATCTAATTGTCCCTCAGCCTCCTAAGCTTTGGAAGAGATGGTATCTGAAGGCCTGATTTTTATCAGGATTTAGCGAGGTAGAATATAAAAAAAAAAACTTAAAATATTTCCAAATTTAAGCTGGGCACCAATGGCACCTGTTACCCTAGCTACTCAGGAAGCTGAGATCTGAGGATCACAGTTCAAAGCCAACTCAGGCAGATAAAACCAGGGATTCTTCTCTCCAGTTAACCAGCAAAAAGCCAGGAGTAGTGGTTGGGACCAAATGGTAGAGCTCCAGCCTTCAGTGAAAGATGTGAAGGACAGCACTTAAAGCATAATTTCAAGCCCCAAAACCGGCACAAAAACAAAAACAACAAAAACGCTTTTATGGGGTTGGGAATGTGGCTTAGTGGTAGAGTGCTTGCCTAGCATGCATGAAGCCCTGGGTTCGATTCCTCAGTAGCACATAAACAGAAAAAACTGGAAGTCATGCTGTGGCTCAAGTGGTAGAGTGCTAGCCTCCAGCAAAAGAAGCTCAGGGACAGTGCCCAGACCCTGAGTTCAAGCCTCAAGACTGGGAAAAAAATGCTTGCAAATAAAATAGCATATTCTACATCAGAAGAGTTATATTAATACTTATGTCCAAATAAGTTCAAAACTTTTATTGATAATCTGCAAGTATATATAATAGCCTTTCAGTATCCATGAGAGGATTGGTTCCAGGACTTTACAAGAGATTTTATCCTTCTTGTTGTTCTTTTTAATGTACTTATAATGTATTATGTGATTTTTTTTGTTTCTTTGTTATGTTCTTCCCTCATGGCACAACCCTTATTGTCACTATATTTGATTCGGTGTCTTGTATCTTATATACACATTTTTCTAATGTGAGGAGGGGAAGGGAAATAACAAAATGCTGAAATAGGGACACAGAATGACTCAATTAACAGTGAGATGTACAAGACACTATGTTGAAAATGAACTTTACAACTTTGTGGGAGGGGGGTGGGAGGGAGGAGTTGGGGAGGTGGGGAGCAGAAGGATGGTAGGAGAAAAACAAAGGAGGGGGTAACAATGCTTGATAGGAAATAGACTCATTACCTTGCTCATGTAACTGTAACCCCTCTGTACAGTATCTTTACAATAAAAATATATATTTTAAAAATCCTTAAATATTTAAGTTCCTTATATAAAATGGTTTTGTATTTACATACAAAATACGCCCATCTAGGGTTTATTTAAGCTTACACACTTTAAAAAAGTCTCTAGATGACTTATAATACCTAATACAATATAAATGCCATGTAAGTAGTTGTCAAGCAAAAATGTCTAGTAAATAATTACATGAAAAAAATCTGTTCATGTTTGGTACCGGTGTAATATTTCCTTTTTAAAAAATGGATCCACTGTGGGTTCAATCTATGGATACAGAACCTGTGGTGTATATGTGAGGTACAGCCCCTGACAGTCAAGTAATCACATGCCATAAAAACCTCACGATGGGCCCAGCTGGTTTAAAGTTATCCTTGTCTTGTGCTGGTGAACCACCAAACCCATTCCTCCTTAGACATGCAAAATCCCACACTGGTATTGCAACTGTGCTGCTGACTAAGGCAAGAGAGCACAAAGTGATCACACTTCAACTGTCCCAACCTACCCCTGGCAGAGAAACCAGAGTAAGTGATGTGACACCCAATATTCCCATAATTCCGTTCAGTCTATACCATGTTCTTGGAGGTTTAAACATGCATCATTATGTCCACTTCAGTGTGCTGCTTTCCCCTTTAGGGGAAGAACAAAAGGAAGGAGAGTGGTAGGGAGGGAAGCAGTACCTCACAGGACGTGCCCATGTAGCCTTGGGGACATTCACAGTGCTCCACATCGGTGGCTGTTGCCAAGTCTATAGCATTCTGGTTTGCTGTGTCCAAAGAGACAGAATTCAACCTGCAAACACACGGAGGGGAGGGGTGTCTAGCATGTGACTCCAATACTTGCAAATAACATCTCACACCTCGGAGAACATGGGCTTTTAAAGATCTAGTTCAAACAAAATGTCATGCAACTTTTGTTAAGTACCTAAAGATTTTCCCAACAATATACTCTGGGAGCCATGATTATTCTAGGAAGTACCTCAATGTTTGTTGCAAAGATGTGCTATATCCCTTAGATCGTTGTAGGAAAAGTCTGCTGTTGCCTACTAATTCATCCATTCATCATTTTATCATAAAGACAAAGATGATCCTTAAATGAGTTATACTATGTTTGTTTTCTCATCATCGAATTGTGAGAAATTGGTTCCTCATGGTAATGTTACCAAGGATGAACACATTAACCTAAATTATTATACAAAATGGATACTCTTAGCACCAAGAGAGGTAGAGAGATGGGGAAAGGAAGAGGGAGAAGGAGAGTCCGAGACAGAGAGAGACAGAAAGAGAAAGAGAAAGTAAAAGTCCATGATCCAGGCAATTGGTTACTCAAGTATGAACATAGTTACTCATCAAGTAATTCTGGGCGATACCATGAAGGTTTTTGTTTTTGTTTATTATCTTTAAGTAGTTGTACAAAGGAGTTTCAATTCAACATATCATTTTGTAAGTACAATGCATCTTGATCAACGTCACTCCTTCCATCACTCCTAACCCCGCCCCTCCCCTCAAGTTACTTTATTCCGTTTTCACATATGTACATTGAATATAGTGACCTTATTTACTTACCTTCCTCTCTCCATTCATCTGCCCCTAAAATCAAGTCTGTCTCTTACTAAATACATTTCTTACAAATACCTAAGTCATATTTTTTAATAAAATTGCATGTATAAAACTAATCAATACAGTTAGTTCCTTTCACTGTGTCCCTAATATAATACTAAGCTTAAAATATACAATAATAAGATAAGATTTCATCCCTGGACCGTTAATGTCATTTCCCTCTCTGGTACATGCCTGTAAAGAGCCATTTTTGCAGAATTGTAGTTGGCTCTAATCAAGAGATGTGTCACATTGGCAAGGACGGTCATGAGCTGGTCGCGATCAATCTCTTTTCTGTTATTAAAGTCTCGGAAGTTCTCAGGCACAAGTCTAACCACGTTGAAATACTCTTCATAGGGTTGCAATGAGAGGCCCTCAGCCTGTGTACTTAGAGTGAGTCCATTTCCCTAGCATTTAAAGACAAGAGGAAAGACGTATGTACTTCAATGTAAGAACCAAAAATAAAACCAAATGCTATATCCAGCAATGTGGTTTTCCATTCATGCCTAGATTCTTGCAAACAAACGTACAATTGTGTATATGACTCTTGCTCCAGAATTATCAGAGAAAAGATGCTTCATAATATGCCTCTGAGATGGAGTCCAATGATAAGTCTAATGGCTGTGTGCTTTGCTGGGTTTCATTAAAGAAATGATGTCATAAATTTGCCCATAATTTTCATCAAGCAGCCCATTTTACATCCCTAATCTTTATCTAAAACACAGAAATAAATGACATAGAAATAGATGAGCAATAAGTATAATATCCAGTTTTTCACAAAACTGCTATTGACAAAAGTGATTTGCCAGCTGGGTGCCAATAGCTCATGCCTATAATTCTAGCTACTCAAGAGGCTGAGATCTGAGGATCATGGTTTACAGCCAGCCTGGGCTAAAAAGTCTGTGAGACTCATTTCTAATAAATTACTCAGAAAAAGCCAGAAGTAGCTCTGTGTATCAAGTGGTAGAGAGCTAGCCTTGAGCACAGACAGACTCAGGGACAGCACACAGGACCTGAGTTCAAGACCCAGAACCAGCATGGAAAAAAAAAGGTGATTTACCTTTCTCAGTTTCCATTTGTTCAGGTTTCCATTATTGAATGGTCACCTGGGTAGTCTCCTTGCTAGGACTACTCTGCCTCACCACTTTCGGTCATCAAATAACCACCACACTGAATCCTAAGTTTCACCATAAGAGCAATGCAAATCAGTCACCTTAATGATGATGTCAGCATGAGACATGAGGTCATCATCTACTGTATCCGCTGGAATGTCGTAGGAAACTGTGTATTTCAGGAAGCCACCATAGGCAGTCAGCTGAAATGGTTAAATAGGAATGAAAGGGAACCAAGAGAGACAATAGTCATCCATGTCCTGAAGTAAGGGGAAGTTGTTGCTAGAAACCACCTCAAAACACCTAGCTATCCAAGCAGTCGGCATACAGCAAAGAAACTTACATTAAAGGCAATGAAAAGCACATTGAATGAGTATTTTGTTTAGCTCGTATTACCAAATTGTGGGATATTGTTGAGATACATTTCTTCTTAGAAATCCTAGGACAAATGACTATCAAATTTGTTAGTCATGTTACAGACATTTTTCTATGTAAATGAGTTATAGGATGAGAAGTGTGACCCATTGACTACAATCTCCAATTTTTTTCCATTGCTAGATGTGCCAGAAACCAGTATGTTAGAGCTGCTATTTAAAGAGGACTGAAAGTATATCTTCCCAAATAAGATGACCCCCAATATGAAACAGATTTCCTTCCTGAATGTATCATAAAAAGAAAATATTCAGAACACTTTTCACAATTACGAAATTACATACTACTTTCTTTCTTTCTATTTCACTTGTTCTTTTCTTCTCTCCTTTCCTCCCTTTCTTTACTTTGCTTCCTTCCTTCCTTCCTTCCTTCCTTCCTCCCTCCCTCTCTCCCTCCCTCCTTTCCTTCCTCCCTCCTTCCCTCCCTCCCTCCCTTCCTGCCTTCCTTCCTCCCGTTCTTCCTCTTGTCTTCTTTTTTGTGTGTGTGCTGATACTGGAGCTTGGACTCAGAATTAGGCATAATTCCTTAGCATTTTTGCTCAAGTGAGCATTCTACCTCTCAAGTCACAGTTCTAGTTTTGGCTCTGTGTGTGTGTGTGTGTGTGTGTGTGTGTGCAGACACACGTACCTTATTTCCAAGATAGGTCTCAGGGGCTGACCAATAATACTTGGGAGCCAGTCTCTTCATGACTGCAGTGTTATTGATGCTTATCTGCTGTCGTCCACCCAGCTCATCCTGTTGAGACTGGATCTTATGTGGACTGATCAAATCTGTGATCAACCACCCCGACATATTGCTCACCTTAAAAAAAACACCAATGCGCCAAGATTTTATATTATGAAATATATGTCAGCTTAGATTTCACCCACTCCTGCACAAATAGCTTTCTGATAAGAGACCTATGCAGAAATCAGAGCTAGGGGTGAAGTTAACATAGCTGTTAACTCCCTCTTGTCCAAGGATCAAGAAAACCTGAGAAGTCACACATCCATGCAAACCCAGATCAGTTATAAGCCAGTAAGGTAGCAAGCCATAAAAATCATACATATTAGATTAAAATTATAGTGAGGAATTTATCACAGGTTGAGAACCCCCATCTGAAAATTCCAAATGTAAAAGAATCCAAATTCCAAAATACTTTGAGCCCCACGTACAAAATTTCACACCTGACCCCATGTGTTGGTCAGAATCACAATTCAGGTACACTAAAAATACTTCATAAAGTTACCTTCAAGTCTACTGGAGAGGCTGAGATCTGAGGAGTGTGGTTCAATGACAGCCCAGGCAAAAAGTCCATGAGGCTTTTTGTCTCCAATTAACCAGAAAAAATGCTGAAAATGGAGCTATGGCTCAAGTGGTAGAGCACTAGCCTTGAGCAAAAAAGCTAAGCGACTGTGCCCAGGCCCTGACTTTTATCCCCAGGATTGGCATAACAAAACCAACAATAACAAAAAAGTTGCCTTCAAGCTCTGCATATAAGGTGTAGGTGAAACAAATGGATTTCATATTTAGATTTGGGCCACTTCTCCAAGATATCGCTATGAATATATGCAAGTATTAACAAATCTCAGAAAGTTCCAAATCCCAAATCCTTCTTCTGGTTTCTTGCATTTTAGGCAAGGGATATTCAATCTGAAAATGGCAGTGGATAAAACTCCCTCTTCTTTGTTACATCCTGTATTTCCCCCAAATGTTAAAAAAATATATAAATAAATAAATATAAGCACCACTTGAGATGGTGATCCCTCTCCCTGGGGGGAGGGGACAGGTCACAAGAGAACAAACTGTAAAACCCATTTCAGAAAGAGTCATTCTACCCTCCAGCCACCACACACTCTCTTGTCACCATTTGGCAACTCTTGAACTCATCTCCCCAGATCTTCCCGTCCTCCCCCCTCTAAAATAAGTCTATCTGCCTTTAAAACCCCCATGCCCTCTTGCCACTTGAGTGTTTTACTGCTCCCATCCCAGCTTCTCTAGACCTGGGTCCTGGTGTCTCTTCTGGCCTGAGAACAGTGTGGGCAGTTTGGAGAGATTTGACTCCTCCCACAATGGGCATACTCCCCATAAAAGAAATGGAAATGGGATGCATTCTACAATACCACATTGAGTGGTCTCAATAAGAACATGTATGTGGATATGAATACACTACTTAGAAAAAAAATGTAAAAGCCAGGTGCTGGTGGCTCACACCTGTAATCCTAGCTACACAGGAGCCTGAGATCTGAGAATCATGGTTCAAAGCCAGCCCAGGCAGGAAAGTCCGTGAGACTCTTATCTCTAATAAACCACTAGAAAACTGAAAGTGATCCTGTGGCTCAAGTGGTAGAGTGCTCACCTTGAACTGAAGAGTGCAAGGACAGTGCCCAAGCCCAGAGTTCAAGCCCCTCAACCGACAAAAAAAAAAAAGAAAATGTAGAGATACTTCCAGGACAGGATAGTCATTGACCCATTCCAGTGTTGCTCATATTGGGTGAGAGAGAATGGTACACAGCCATAGACATGAGAAGGCATGCTTATTAACCCACCATGCCCAAGACTCCCACCTGACCAAAGGACCAAGAAAGGCTGTCACAGACATCAGAGACGCCGAAGCAGAAGCACTCGGTGCAGCCCTGGGGGTCTCCTTCCTTCAAGTTATAGAATCCTGGCTTACAGCGATCGCAGGTTTCCCCCTCAACATTTTCCTGTAAGTTATAATAAATTAGAGCAGGTGAATCCCGTATGTCTCAACAGAGAGAAGAGAATGACATTGACATAACAGGGCCTTTGGCAATTCACAGAAACAGGTAAGTTAAAAACCATTCAAAGTATCCAAGCAATCCCACTCTTGGGCATTTATCCAATAGAGTACAAACATGGTTACAGTAAAGCCACATGCACAACCATGTATACTGCAGTACTATTCACCATAGCCAAGATACAGAATCAGCCCAGATGCCCCTCTATGGTCATATGGATCAAGAAAATGTGGTATATACACTCAATGGAATTTTATTTATCTAATAGAAAGAATGATATGGTACCATTTGTAAGAAAATGGAAAGACTTGGAAATAATTATACTAAGTAAAGTAAGCCAGACCCAGAGAAACAAAGGTCACATGGTCTACATAGAATGTACCTATTTATAATTCTAGAAGAAAACATGTTGGGTAGTATGTAAATGGTTTCAAATGAATTAACTGAAGTATAATAGACTCTATGGATAGTTGAAATAATATAATTTGTTAGAAAGACTAGGTCAAAGCCCAACAAAATCAACCCCATGAACTGGTTACATGCAAGGAATGGGGGAGGAAGGGAGGGCAAGGGGTAGATGAATGAAGTGGGGGAAGGGAGGAGAATGCAGTCAAGAATTCATTGTAAGCCAGGTGCTGATGGCTCATGCTTATAATCCTAGTTATACAGGAGGCTGAGATCCGAGGATCATGGTTCAAAGCCAGGCCAGGCAGGAAAGTCTGTGAGACTCTTATCTCCAAGTAACCACCAGAAAACTGGAAGTGACACTGTGGCTCAAGTGATAGAGCACTTGCCTTGAGCTGAAGAGCTGAGGGACAGTGCCCAGGCCCAGAGTTCAAGCCCCATGACCAACAAAAAAGAAAAAGAAAAAAGAATTCATTGGATACAGCACAAAATTAAGAAAAGTAAGGGAAGAAGTAGGCCAAAGTGGGGTGAAAGGTTGAAAAGGGTGACAGTGATCAAGATGCATTGCATTCTAAAACTGCTTTGCTATATGGCACCTTCTCTTTACAACTACTTAAAGATAATAAAAAAATTAAATTTACAAAATACAAAAAAAGGACACACCACATCTCTTGAAGTAATTATTTCCAGAAAAAACAGTGTGAAATAACTACTGTTTGATTTTGTAACCAAGAACAGAGCTGCAAAATCTTAAACAGCTTAGTTGTTACATTTAATGATTTTTTTCTGTTTTGTTTTACATCTTTCATTTTTTCCTGATTATATAAACTACGGGTGTGTGTATGTGTGTGTGTGTGTGTGTGTGTGTTGAAACAAGATCTTGCTATATAAATTCTTTATCCTTCTGCCTTAGCCCTTCTCCCTGGTGGTAGGATTACAGACATGCACAACCAGGCACAAACACTATCAACATCTTACATTCTGAAATGGTCTAGTAATTAATTTTTAGCACGCATAAATTCTCAAGATCATTTCTGATCATGTATAAATGTGCCCGAGACTGGGCTTCCATGGGCAACAGCATATGACATACAAAGAGGAAATTCTAGGAATTCAGGGAAACCATTATTAATATGCAGCCAATGAAACCCATCATGATGACCACATGAATACATTTCTTATGACCACACAATTCTTTTTTTTAAGAGACTCAAGACAAAAGTTCTGTACTTTATTAGTGTTCCTGGAGATTTTGTATTTACCTGGTTTGCCTCCAAACACAAAGCTGGAAAAGAATGTCTTAGGAAAATTAAGCCAAAGCCAAAAAATATGGTATGCAGTATTGGGTTTTTTCTGCAGAAATGCCTCAGGACTCAATGGCAATCACCCAGAGGTAGAATAGAAAAGAAAACCAGCTGCCCACCTGAGTCCAAGGATATATAATATGGCCAGCTTGCCATGACATGTCAGGCTTGGGGGTTCTTCTTAAACCTTATTGCTTTACACAAGCATCAATCATCAGAGCCAGTGGAACTTGTTTCCTTTTTTGGAGAAGCAGAGAAGGCACTGTACTTACCTTACACAGACACGGCTCTGTGCACGGGTCATCATTCACACTGCCAGCCAGATTGCACTCGCAGCGGACACAGTTGGGGAAACCCCGATAGCCAAACTGGCAGCGATCACATTTCTCTCCTGCATAGCCTTCCTTACAAGGGCACTGGCCTGGCCATTTCCCTGGAGGATGGAAAACAATGCAAAGACTCAGTTTGAAGGTAAAGAGTGGTTGCAAACTTTTCCTGGAAAAGGCTTCAGAGTACATTTCTAGGGCCACAGTCTTTGTTGCCACTGACTTGGCCATTATTGTTCAAACATATTCAGAGCAAGCAGTAAATGGATTTGATCCATGGGCAATAGTTTGGTCAATCCTGAATTAAAGAAAGAAAAGATATGAAACCCAGAAATGCTGGTGACTATTATGGCAACAGTTTGAACACCTGTGGTTCACTCCTGTAATACCGGGTACTCAGAAGAATGAGACCTGGAGAATCGCAGTATGGAAGGATCTTCCTTCCTTTCAAGAAGGAAAGAAGGAAGGAAGGGAGGGAGGGAAGGAGGGAGGAAGGGAGGGAGAGAGGGGATAATAAGATAGATTCAAAGTACTATATAGTAATTGCTGTATGACAGAACAATTCTAAGTAAATTTCCAAGAAAAATTAAGATATACATTCATCAAAACAACTTGTGCATTACTGTCTACATTATTCATAATAGTAAAAGAGCAGGAATAATTCAAACATTTATCACCTGATGAATGGATATGTAAGAAGTGATAGAGCTACATAATGGATTATTCAGCAATAATAAAGAAGGAAGTACTGAAACATGCTCCAATGGGACTCTTGAAAATATCATATAGCTGTTTGAAGTCAGTCACAGAACTCTATATATTATATGGTTCTTCTTACATGGAATGCCCAGAATAAGCAAATCTATACAGAGAAAGACGACTAGTGGTTACCAAGTCCAAGATGGTGTGATGGTGTGTGTGTGTGTGTGTGTGTGTGTGTGTGTGTGTATGTGTGTTCAGAGTGTGAAGAGGAGTCACTGCTAATGGGTAAAGAGTTTCTTCAAGCAATGATGAAAATGTTTTGCTCTTATATTATGGTAATGTGTACCAAAAAATTGAAAACATTGAATTATATACTTTAAGTGGCAGAAACTATAAGGTAATAAAATACTAAAAGAGTTTTAAAATGAAGTACAGAGGTAAAAGAAAAAACTCAGTACCATTTTTGTTTTTTTTTTTTGTCGGTTGTGGGGGCTGAACTCTGGGCCTGGGAACTGTCCCTCAGTTCTTCAGCTCAAGGCTAGTGCCCTACCACTTGAGCCATAGCACCACTTCCAGCTTTTTTCTGCTTATGTGGTGCTGAGGAATCGAACCCAGGGCCTCATGCATGCAAGGCAAGCACTCTACCACTGAGCCAACTTCCCAGTCCCCATCTTTGTTTTTTTTTTTATTATTTGTTTGTTTGTTTGTGTCAGTTATGGGGCTTGAACTCTGGGCTTGGGCGCTATCCCTCAGCTCTTCAGCTCAAGGCCAGCGCTCTACCACTTGAGCCACTGCACCACTTCCAGTTTTCTGAGTGGTTTATTGGAGATAAGAGTCTCACAGACTTTCCTGCCTGGAATAGCTTTGTACCATGATCCTCACATTTCGCCTCCTGAGTAGCTAGGATTACAGGCATGAGCCACTGGCACCTAGCTCCATCTTTGTTTTTAATGCTATCTCTGAATCTTACTACCTGTGTATCCTTGACCAGTTTCTTTGCTCATAAGATGGGTTAAATATTTTCTACATTGTATGGTGGAAAAGCTTAGGTAATATTTTTTAATTTTTTTAAACCAAGGGTATAATAATTGTCTGCACCTTCGTCATCATCTTTCTATTAGCAGTCACTTGGGAGAACAGATTTTGTGGGTGATTTGCAGTCCACCATACCAATGGGCCCCTCTCTCCCTGATAAGCCCACAGCTACCTTTACTGGATGTGGTCACAGAACTCTGAATAGATGCAACCTGTTCAGGTTCCTGCAGTATTTGCAAGCTTACTTGCATGTTTTTGGGGAAAAAAAGACACTGATATGTACAAAGTTAACTGGAGGACTTGCTCTCTGGCTGACGATGTACACAGAAGCCCTCTGAATGTCACTTAGGAGGTAAGTAGCTGTTCACTGTGCTCCATATATGGCTTCAACCAAGGCTTATTTCATCAGGTATCGCCCAAATGCCATTTCGCCACCAACATAGTCACCTCCACACCACGCTTCCTTCTCCTATGTTTGCTTCAAACCCTCAGTACCACCCCAACCTGGCTTTATACTACTCAAATCCTCATTTATTTAGGGTTGCCTGTGGTCAAAGACTTTGATCATCTGCTTCAAACACACACACACACACACACACACACACACACACACACACATTTTCAGGTTTCAGAAAACTCCTTGACATGTAGTAGGATTAAGTTAATAAAAAGATAATAAAGAATCATGAGATTGGAGGCATGGCTCAAATGGTAGAGCTCCAGCCAAGCAGCAAAAGCATCAGAAACTGAATTTGCATCCCAGTCTTGGATTACAAATGATGATAGTGCAAATCTTACACAAACATACCCTAAAACACCCACTGCAAGCTCAAAACTGAGCCAAGTGCTTACCACTGTGTATGTCAGAATGGAGATCATCTTTGATGCAAACAGAGCTGAGGGACCCCACAGGGTGACAGTCACAAGGACGGCAGGGCTCATTCTCATAAGGAGATATCTGGAAAGCAGAGAGGGACCCTGGATTACGCTACTACAAGCACGAAGCCACCAACAACTTTGTTTTCTATTATTGAGGTTTGAACCCAGGGTATTATACTTGCTAGGTAAGCACTCTCCCGTGTGAGGCATGCCCCTCTCCCTGCCATCCCTTTTTGTTTTATACATTTTTTGATAGGGTCTCACATTTTTGCCTGGGGTGGGCCCCCAAACTATGATCCTCCATTCTCCACTTGCCACATAGCTGGGATTATAGCTGTGTGTCCCTGTACCCAACCTGACACAGACATCTTTTTGATGGTGACAGCAGTATCATTAGCAAAGTGTCACTTTTTCTGATATCACTGTTTTCTAGCCTGTCACTCTGCTGTGTCTCAGAACCAGTTTTTTAAGGATTACCAATAAACATACTATCCCAAGAACCCATGAAACAATTCCATACATTGCCAACTGAGGATTGACTGAATACATCCACTAGGAAAGATACAACTGCTTTAGTTACTGGCACAAGAAACAGAAATCTAAAGTACACTACTAGCATTCCAAGACTGAATGAAGGAAATAAGTCTTCTCGCTAAAGGCTGAGATATGACAATCTCCCCTCGACAGCTAAGCTGTACTCACTTTGTGTGGCCGGTAGTATCCATCGATGCACGTCTCACAGTTGATGCCCGTGGTGTTCTGCTGGCAATCAATGCAAACACCTCCTCCCTCGAACTTCCCGGAAGTGTTCAAACTCCTCTTCTGCTTTGCAATATTCTCATCATAGTAGCAGTCTTTGGCTTTATTATGACAATTACATTCTAGAAGAATATTATAACATCTTATTTAATCCCAATTGTATGTCCTATATTATGCACTATCTTACTTCCCAAAGTAAGGGTCTAAGAGTATAGTTTAAGTTAAAATTTGAGAATGAATGATTTTAATTAGATAATGCCATAAAAGACAATTGGGAAGAGTTATCAACATAATAAACCTCCAGGCAAGGAATGGTGGCACATGGTTGTAATCCCAGCACTCAGGAGGCTGAGGCAGAAGGATTGAGAGGTCCAGCTAACTTTGGCTATATAAGGGAGGTTAAATTCAGCCTAGTTACATAGTGAGAACCTCCCTCAAAAAAAGCAAAGGCTACAAATGTAGCTCAGTGATAACATGCTTGCTGAACATTCATAAGGTTTTAGGTTCAATTCTAAGCAGTACAAAATAACAATAATGATAATAATAATAAATATGTACCCCACTTGTCCAAGCAATCCATTTTGTGGGATTATAATTTGCAGAAGGGCCCGTACAAGCTTAGGAATGATAGGCACAGGATTAATCATTGCACCATATTTATCTTAACAAAGTCTGGTAACAACTGAGATATCTTTATAATGGAAATCACTGCAGCTGTTTTTAAAAAACAATGCCAAAATGTTCATATGGAAAACACTGTTTTGTTAAACATTAGAAAGCAAAGTGGGGAGCTGGGAAGATGGCTCAGTGGTAGAGTGCTTTGCTTGCATGCATGAGGCCATGGGTTCGATTCCTCAGCACCACATACGCAGAAAAAACTGGAAGTGGCGCTGTGGCTCAAGTGGTAGAGCTGAAGAGCTGTGGGACAGTGCCCGGGCCCAGAGTTCAGGCCTCACAGTCAACCAAAAAAAAAAAAAAGCAATGTAGCTAGTTAGGCATTGTGGTATACAGGTATAATCCTAGCATTTGGGAGGCTGAGACAGGAAAAGTGGCAGTTGAGAGCAGTATGGGTGATAGAGAGTAGTTCAGGTTGCATTGGGAGACTTTGTCTCAAAAAATAATACATAGAGCTCGAATATGGCTCAGTGGTAGGGTGCATGTTTAGCACACACAAGGTCCTGGGTTCCATCGTAACACCAGAATCAACAGCAACCACTGACTGTAGAAGGTCGATGCCACTACATGCTCTAATTGCATAAAGTCTTAGGAAGAATATTGTGGGAGGGCTAGAGATGTAATAGAAGCATTTACTAAGACTTCCGCATATTGTTGATTGTTGAAATCTCAGCAATAAATACCATTCAAAATAGAACATATATGTATTTCCTTAAATAACACAGCAAATCTCTAAAGATACATTTATCCCTGAATAATCTTAACTTTTATAAGGTATGCTGCTGCTTTGAGCACTATTTGAGGAAACAAGTCATCTCTATATCACAAAAGTTGGGATACCATAAGCTTAAACAGAAAACATTCTTCCCATTGTAAGTGAGCTCACCTTCACAAGTGTTACCAGAAGAAATAGTGCCAGGCCTCCAGGGCTGCTGATGGTACCCAGGGCAGCACCGGTCACAGCTCTCCCCACATGTATTATGCTCACATTGGCATCGTAGTTGCTAAAGGAAAAAGGGGGTAAAAAGTTGGATCTGAAAGATTGATCTGCATTGTCTCCTGAATGTCCCTTGAGGAAAGATTCTCTCACAGTCAAACATGGGTCAAGAATTTGCAATGGAAGCACACAACTATATCAAACAAAGTGGCATTTAACTTCTAGAAAAGAGGATACACATATCCCAGTTACAAAGTGAGAGTAAAACACAAGTAAAATAGGAGCTAACTAGTACAAATATTTGTAAAATGATATGTCGACCTTGTTCAAGGGCTTGACAAGTCTTGTTAGTAATTATTTTTATTAATCATAGATTTTCTTCCTAAGTTTCTGATGTTCATTAATATGTTTTCAACATAAAAATAGAAAAATCCAGGCTGGGAACATAGTTCAGTGATACAGGAGAGGACTGTCCCAGTACACATGAGGCCTTAGGCTCCATCCCCAGCACAGCAAGATGAAATAAATAATCAGAAGTATTCTATTCAAGACTCACAAAATTGAAAAAGAAATTGAGGGGAAAATAGGCAGATAACCTTCATGAATGTTTAAAGGAAAATTTCACATTAGTTAATATTATTCTACATCAGGTAAACTTTATTTTATCATCACTTAGTACAACCAAAATGGAAGGAAGAAAATAAAAAGAGAGGAGAACCTTCTTTTAAAAATGCAAATATAAGTTATGGTAGCAAGTGGTTTTTTGCTTGACTCTTTTATAGAGATAAGAGTTTGAAAATCCAGAAGACCACTGAATTATAACCTTAAGATTGGAAATCTTGCCACAAATAAAAATATGGTAAGGGTTTGATTAGAAATATATCCTCCTAATGAAGCAGAATGGTGAGACTGTTTAAACAAGTGAAACCAGCTAAATTATCTGAAATTTCTCTTTGCAATTTTAAAAATGATAAAAATCACTGTTGTACTGAATGAAGGAAGAACAATGAAAACTATACAGTTATCACCTACAGTTGAAGTTCCAGAAAACTGTAAAACACTAGAACTTACCTTTGCAGTTTCATCCCAGGGGCAGCTACTAGCATGGCCATAGCAAATACACATCCCTCCAACAGATATGTCTTTTATTGAGTAGTAATACTGAGGAGAAAAGGGCATTACAAATGAAAATGAAAACCTCTTTATTCCACTAAAAAAAAAAGACTGGCACACCTCAAATAGCAGAATTATTATTGGTAATCTAAAATATAACTACATGCTCATTGCAAAATGCTATTTCATGCACAAAACATCATTGTGCTCAACTAGAGTCAATAGTGCTCAAAATAGCTTACCAGAAGAAACCAAATGAGGCTAAAAGAACTCTCCTACCACCGCACAGCAGAATGCAGCATCTCCTTGCACTTATGGCCTGTTCTCACCACCCCTCCTTCCTTTGCATGTGACTGCAAATAGACTTCTAGATTTCATTTCCCATGCTTCACTGCTAGTATTTATAAATGTGATTCATTTTAATTCACTGACTTCACATAGTGCTACATTACTGAATCCACCTCTTATTTCTAGTAGTTGTTTTGCAGATTATCTATTCACATGGTCATGTAGACAACCAATGATGGTTGTGGATTATTACTCAACACTCTGGGATGTTTGTGATTGATTGATTGATTGATTGATTGATTGATTTTTGGCTGTCGTGGGGCTTTCACTCAGGGCCTGGACATTGCCCCTGAGCTCTTTTGCTCAAGGCTAGAGCTCTACCACCTTAAGCCACAGTGTCACTCCCATTTTTTTGGTGGTTAATTGAATATTAGAGTCTCATGGGAACTTTTCAGCCTAGGCTGGCTTTGAACCTCAATCTTCATATCTCAATCTCCTGAGTGGCTAGGATTACAGGCATAAGTAACTGGTGCCCAGCACTTTTGATTTCTTTATCCTCCTGTTATTGGAAAATAAATTTCCCAATAAACAATATAACACTGCCAAGAGGAATTAAAGAAGTCTTAGCTGAGTGGGGAAAGAAGCATGTTTATAGATTAAAGGAGTCGATATTGTTAAAGAATCTTCTAAATTTCTTCCTAAATTGATCTAAACTGATAGTATTCCAGTTAAAATCTTGGCAGGTATTATTTTATTTTCTTTTGGTGTAAATGAACAAAGGGATGCTAACATTTATAAAGACATGTAAGGAACTTAGGTTAGCCAAAACAATCTTGAAAAAGAGCCAACAATTTACCTGGGGGAGTTTAAGTTTCTTTAACAAACATCACTAGCTTAAATATGTATAGAGGGCAAATAAGAACTTTTCATCCTATCTTGCATCAAACACAAAAATTAATTTGAGATGTGGTATAGACAAAGCTACAAGTATCAAGCTAGTAGGAGATAGCTAAGATTATATTTTTTATAAATTTGGGACAACTAAGTATTTTTCCAAAAGGACATAAATAGCATTAATCAGAAAAGAAAAATGACACATTGGATTTCATCCAAATCGTGTAAATCTCCGCACATCAACAGGCAGAGCTAGCAAAATGAGCTGGGCATGGTAGTCTGTACCTGGAATCCCAGCTACTCAGAAGGCAAGGGCTGCAGTTGAGGCCAGCCCAGTCAGAAAAGTTCACAAGAGTCCATAAAGCCCACCTCAACCAACAAGCCAGGCAGGGTATAGAGCTCTCACAGTCTGAAGCTGGCCCAAATAAAAATTAAGCCTCTATCTGGAAGAAAACCCACAAAAACAAAAACAGAACAAAGGCCACTACATTCAGTTGCGGTGGCATTGCAGCTACTTGGTAAGGGAACCAAAGGGCATGGTGCGGTGCCATTATCTAACGGAAGTCTTTGTAACAAAAGATAAGACAATGGTGCTCAATAAAATAAGGCAAATCTGGAAGAACAATCAAAAGGAAAATAAACTTTTTATGGAGGCAGGACACCACTGCACACTCACCCTTCTTGTGACAATCGGATCGAGGTCTCTGGGGTCCCGGTGGCTGAGGGTCATGAGATCGGCGTTGAGCGTCCGGATGCGCTGTAAGCGCAGGCGGATGTATCGTGCAGAGGTGAACTCCAGCAGTTTGGGAGAGAGGTCGTCAGCGCTCGGTCTGCCATTGATGAGGGATGTATGAATCTGGAGAAAGCAAAATAAAATATCAATTTAAACCATGGAAAGATACACCCTGGATGTTTCCTCAGGACATAATCTTTATAGACACTATCTAAACATCAAAACCAGACCCTGACTGGCCGACTGCTAGTGGCTCTTTCTGTAATCCTAGCTACTCAGGCACTGGAGATGGGGAGGACTGCAGTTCAAGGCCACCCCAGCAGGAAAGTACATGAGACTCCACTTCCAATTAATCAGCCAACAGCTATGCTGGAGGAGTGGTTCAAGTGGTAGAGCACCAGCAGAGCAAGCTGAACGAGCACAAGACCCCGAATGCAAACCCCAGAACTGGTACAGAATTTTTCAAATAAATAAAAATGAAACCAATAGGCTGTTGTAAAATCTGTCTAGCACATTTCCACTACTTATGAAGCACCCTGATCCTTACTGTTGTTTGAATTCATGGAATAGAGCTTATCCATTCTAGTCTCTGAAAGATTGCTGGAAATCTTTAACAGGGCATTTCTACCAAAGGAAGGCTACCCTCCTCTCTTAGGTAAACTGTTCTCAAAACAACCAGGCTTTTTGCAGAGTTCCTGCCCTGGGGAACACTTCAAGAAGTTTCTTAAGTTTCCTCTCAAGCCACATGCTATCAAAGAATAGGCTGTGTCTCAGCTGGGCACTGGTGGCCCACACCTGTAATCCTAGCTACTTCGGGAGACTGAGAACTAAAGATTGCAGTTTGAAGCCAGCCCAGGTAGGAAAGTCTTGAAGGTGCTGAGAACCAAGTTGGCATATTGTATGGCCATCTATCTCTCAATCTTCCACTTCCTCCAAGGTAGTAACATCTCCAAAGAGAAAATGGGGGGGTTCTATCTTTTAAAGGCAGGTAAGAAATCTCTTTTAAGTTTTCAGTAAATGAGCCAGACATGGTGACTCATGCCTGTAATCCTAGCTATTCAGGAGACAGATCTGAGTATCATGGTTCAAAGCCAGCCCAGGCAAGAAAGTCTTTGAGACTCTTCTCTCCAATTAAGCACCCTAAAAAGATTGAAGTAGAGTTGCAGCTCAAGTAATAGAGTGCTAGCCTTGAGCACAAAAAGCTCAGGGACAGTGCCTGGGCCCTCAAACCCCAGGAACTAGAACCAAAAAATAGTAAGATTCCAATAAATGTTCCTGTTCTGGTGTTAGGATAGAGGAATCCATAGAGTTATTTAATCCCAAGGGTCCTCCCTGTAGGGAAGAAATCAATAAAGTAAAAATTTCCTTAGTGAAAGGAATCACAATAAACACCACTCCAGACAACTTTAAATAGAGCCAGATAGCTTGAGGGTTGATCTTTGTATGAAGAGTCAGCAGCTCTGTAGGCTCAATAGTGGCTCCTACAATGGGGATCTTAGCATTTGAGGGAGGAGCATGAAAGAAAAGAAGCTATCAATGGTGGACACAGTACCTCCCCGTGCTCCAGTGGGACCAGTCTGGAATAATAGGAGGTGCAAATCACTTCATCATCTGCTCTGTAAGTGGGTGGCCCTCGTCTGGGAATTATGTTGTAGCGGGTCAAGCACTCAGAGTCGCTGACTGCGTAGTACTGCCAGGGGCTGAACGTGATGCCATCCACAGAACGCTCCAAAATCCAGTTTCCCGGGCGGGGAGCATTGGCTGCTTTAACGATGACATATGCGACTTGAAAGACCTGAAATAGCAGACATTGCAAATCTCAATCCAGAACGAGTGGTAGGTCAGCCACAGAAAGTCATGCATTTCACAAGATCAATTATAGGAAGACTAAATAACCCTGCTCATAAAAGAGGAGAGGGAAATGGAGACTCAGAGGAGTTGGACGAAGAGATAATGTGAATGGATGCATAATTTCAGCCATGAAAGGGGTGTTGTATAAACACCTGACTACATTACAATACCGTGTGCTAGAAATTTACTAAGAGGAGAGTTATGTTTTCTTAGTATACACACACACACACACACACACACACACACACACACACACACACACACACACACACACACACACACACCAGGTAGCAGTGAAATGACAGATGTGTTAACTTTCTTTATTGTGCTTATGATTTCAGTGTATGTGTGCATTAAATCCCCAAGTTGTCCCATTAAATGTCTAAAATTTAAAAATAACAAAACCAGTAGTAACAACTTAAAAACCAAAGTTTTTCTAGAGAGAATCATTGTGACAATTGTCAATGTCTTTCTGTTTTTGAGAGTAATTTCTTACACACACATCAATCAGAAATAGGCCTTGTGAGATTCCCGCTGGAATCTGTTGTCAAAATAACCCCCCAAAATACTCACAGGTAAATCTGAATTGTAAGCATGTGAGCTCTTCTGGGGACAGTAAATTCACGGGCTTCCCAGTGAGGAACTAGAGGACCTAGATTTACATTGATTCAAGGTCTCCCACAAATTCTGTACTCTGGGGCTACAGAAAACATGTTGGGTTCCACCTCAAATTTTGAATGTCACTACTGTATACACACACACACACACACACACACACACACACATAGTATATATACTATATATATATATGTACATATCCATGTATATAGTATATATACAGTATATATACTATATATACTACAGTATATATACTGTATATATACTATATACATGGATATAAACAGTAGTGATATGTATATATGTGTGTGTGTGTTTATATCCATGTATATAGTATATATACAGTATATATACTGTAGTATATATAGTATATATACTGTATATATACTATATACATGGATATGTACATATATATATATAGTATATATACTATGTGTGTGTGTGTGTGTGTGTGTGTGTGTGTGTGTGTGTGTTGCCTCGAAACCAAAGACTTCTTTCATTTGGCTGCCACATTTCAGTTTCCTGAAAGTAATCATTATTTAACAAGAGGCCAACACCTCATAATGATGTTCTAAATACAATCTCAAAAACCTCCAAATATTTTCTGGATTGAGAAGAAAAAGTGGGAATAGCATGGCCCTTCTTATTAGAAACTCAACCTTGGCAAACTTTGCTCTTTTTCTTTTAAGAGCAAAAACTCAGATTAGTAAATGAGATCCAGGAGATATAAGCAATAACAAATGTCTTTTTCCATGTAGACCTAGCACTTCAGTTTTTCTCTGACCCAAGTTGATAAGATGATTTTATTAAAACCAAACTCCAGTATTTTTGCTTAAATATTAATTCAGCCCTCTATCTGTGAATCTAGCATCTCTAGATTCAACTAATCATAGCTAAAATATACATATATATTTTTTTAAATTATGCCCATACTGACCATGTACAGATGTTTTTTCTTATTACTATTTCCCAATAATAAGGAGGAAAGATAGCATACTATATATATGTATATCTATCTATCTAGTGCTGAAAAATAGAGAGAGAGGGTTTGTTGGTTGGTTTTTGCTTCTCCTCAAATTAATGTATATCAATTCCAGGAACACAGAGCACAGAGCTCTGTGTGTGTGTGTGTGTGTGTGTGTGTGTGTGTAATAAAGCTATTTAATATTAACCTACCACAAAATAAATGGTGGTTACACTCACTGGCTAATTCTAGGGACTATGCAGGGGAAGAAAAATCCTGTCTCATTATAATAAACAATAATTTGTCTACAAGAAGTACTGCCTACCAGAGTTTACTATAGGTGACATGATTGTGTCTGATATGTTGGATCTCCACGTTCAGTGTTCTTTTCCTCTGTGACTTCCACTGCTTTTTTTAAAGTTAATTATTTTTATTTTTTGTTTCTTTTAATTTTTTATTGTTATTTTAAAGGTGATGTACAGAGGGGTTACAGTTACATAAGTCAAATAAAAAAGTACATTTTGTTTTGGACAATGTCACCCCTTCCCTCACTCTCTCCCAATTTTCCCCTCCTGTACCCACCCACAAGTTTGTACAGTACATTTTCAACATAGTGTCTAATGAGTACTCCTGCTGCATTTGTTCATGCTTTGTTTGATTTTTTTATTTTTAAAATTATTTTAAAGGAGTTGTACAAAGGGCTTTCAATGCCACATGTCAGTTTATTAGTACAATGCATTATGATCACTGTCACCCCTTTCTTCATTCTCCCCCACCTCTCCCATCGACCACACAGTAGAAGTCAAATGATGACCTGAGGCTTTTGACACATAAGGACAGAGAGAACATACTCTATTGTCTTGTCACTCTCCAACTGTTTTGCACATATTCTATCATATAATCAGAAGTCTATGAACACACAGGCTGTGATCACTCCCCACTGCATGGTTATGAAACTAGACTTTACAAAGTAGGGGTGCCAAGCAGAGGAGGGCAGCCAGGCAGCTCACGGAGGAGGCACAGAGGCATATGAGATAGAAGGCATTTGAGTTTAGAAACGTGAAGCGCTTTATTCACAGCATCCCTTTCAATTCAGATCTGGAACATGATGTAGACAGTTCAAAGGACAACCTGCTGAACTGCAGGTCCCCATAAGAAACAGGGTTCTTCCCCTCCAGTGTCCAATTTCTTTCTATAAGGACAACACCAGAAGATTCTCATTATTCTCCTAGCTGTTCTAGTTAATTCTGCAATTTTCTCATTTCAACTTAGTATGAGGGGTGGGAAGGGATGGCGGATGTGCAAGAAACAAAATTAATAAATATTTATTGTAAGTAAGAACTATTAATTAGAAGTAATTACAGAGTACTTTCTAAGGCCTGTAACAATGCTGAATGCTTCATTAAAATCATTACCTCTGGGCTAGACTCTAGGTCAAGTGGCAGAGCTCTGCCTAGCAAACATGAGGTTCTGAGTTCAAACCCCAGTATGACCAAAATAAAAACTGAAATCATTAGCTCTTAGAATCCTTGCAATTGCATTCTTCTTATGAAGGATACATATATAGGAGGAAAGTTGAGTCAAAGAAAGGTTAAACAACCTCCAGGATTTTAAAAGAGCCACGATGTATCCACAGGGTTTGAACGTAGGCAGTGTGCCTCACAGTCTCTTAGCCATGCTGTACTAACTGCAAAAGGAAGAAGACAAAAGTCCTGTGGAGGTGCCAGGGGAGTACCACTCACTTTTTCCAACTAGAAATCTAGATCAGTGTTATTTATTTCAATGCCACAGGCTAATACCTTTATCAAACCCTTGTCAGCTTTTATACTGAGAGCTGAGTCATGTGGAAGAAAACCATATCAAGTAGAAGAAGAAGTGTAGTGGGAAAACTTCAGGTAGCACTTACTTGAGTCAAAGCCTATTGTTATGGAGCTGAGAACTATTGATAGTTCTTAAGATTCCAAAATTGTGGCTATGAAACAGACTGAAAATGAATTGGAAGCTGTAAGTCTAAGAGGGAAAAGATACATGGGGAGTCTAAATACAATTTTTCTTCAGCGCTAGCACTAATGTGGGCTGAGTGACATCTCCCCTTCATTTCCTGTGTTACAGTCTACATCCTCGATCCCTCTGAAAGTGACTAGAGATTGGACATTTATGGTGTAGTTAAAGTAGAGGTTGAAACCTGTTATTTCGTTTGAGCAATATATAAAAGAAAGTAAAATATAGCTGATTCAACATGATTTCTGTCTTTATCGGAAGAACTTAGGACACAGACACATACAGTAGAAAGACTAGAAGACAGAGAAGAAAGCCATAAGCCAAGGAGACAAGCCCTAGACAAAACAACAATACCAGAAACCCTATCAGCACCTAATATTAGATATCCAGCCTCCAGAACTGTGAGAAATCTATTTCTCCTATGTACACCACCCATTCCATGTTATTTATTATAGCAGTCTGAGCTGACCAATCACATTCCTGTTTGACAAGCAGGTCTTACATGAGGCAGAAAAAAAATGACTGATTCTTCTGTCAGTATATGTGACTTTAAACCATAGTCCAAATGAAATTCATGATAATTCTGTTTTCCTTTTATGGCATGGTTGACTAAACTGCCTTCTCTCTGTAGAAGGTTGGATGAACACAAGTTGTTGATGCAGGGGTTTTCACTAGCCTTACAGGCGTTGCAGCCTTGCCAAACCTGCAGCTGATACAGCCATTTTTAAATCCACTGTCTTCATGCTTTTCCACCCAGTGGCCTTTGTTAATGATCACTGGAATGCACATAAATAGTGTCACACACATAATGCAGGCACACATCAAACACTACTTTCCACAATGGAATCCAGACAGGAATGTCCGTGTGAGCCTCGTTCGTAACTTAAACATAGTAAATCCATCTCAGACACAGATGTCTGAAAGTACAGATAGCCTAATTTTCCCAGGTCAGAGGTCCATTTCCCACGTGCAGGGAGAAACACAGCCTTTCTTCTCCATAGAAGGTGCCGCTGCTCTCTGCCCAACTGAGCGCTCATGGAATCCTCAGGCTGGGCATAGGTCTCTTCTGCAAATTCTCCCTGGAAGGACCTACCTGCCACCATGACAGTGACCAAATAGAAACTGGGAGTGTTTTCTCTTACATGAGGGAAAGGAACTTCTCACAGACTCAAGAGATTTAGGATAATAGTTAAGTGTATTTGATAAATAATATCACTTGATGACCCCAATAAAAGCAGTAAATTTATGCTTGGAACTTTATGGCTTATGGAAGGGGAGATACCGATCAAGATATATGGTATTCACAAACTTCTTTGTTAAATGGCAACTTATTTGTACAACTACTGAAAGATAATTTTTTA